TGGTACCGATTGCTGCCACGGCTGCTGCTGCTGCTGCATTTTGCTGTTGTTGTTGTTGTTGTTGTTGCTGCGCTGCTGCTGCCGCTGTCGCTTGTTGTTGTTGCTGTTGAAGCTGCTGCTGTTGTTGTTGTTGCTGCTGCTGTTGTTGTTGTTGTTGTTGGTTGGCAGTTGTTTCAGTACTGAAATGCTGTTGCAGCAGCGATTGCGGCGCTGCTTGCTGCTGCTGCGGTTGTTGTTGCTGCTGCTGCTGCTGTTGTTGTTGCTGCTGCTGCTGCTGTCTCGCGTCTATATTACTTGCCTGCTGCTGATTCAGGGAATTTGGCTCGATCACAGATCGATTAATGGCTTCCTGTGCCATGGTTTTCAATGAAATCGCATCGACAGCATTGCTATTGTTATTGGTGCTGCTGTTGCTACTGCCACTGCTGCTACTGCTGAGTGAGACGGGCAGACCTGTAAAAGAATGAAGCATATGGCATTATATATTAATTACGAGCTTAAATATAAACCAGAAAGGATTTTAAGATTCTTAACAACTTTTGCTTATATATTTATATAGATATTTGATTCCACATTTGTTTCTACATCATGTGGCTTAATATATTGAAAACATATTAAGCTTGGTTAAACTATTTTGTATAACAAATATTATTGTTGCTCTGCAGCAAAAATTTATTGTCTGCCCTGTTGTTACTGATCCAGAATTTATAGATTTAAGTGATGTAGAATGTATTCTGTGTTAGAATTAGAAGATCCTCTGGAAGGATATAGAAAGGGTGATCTAATTGGCAGTGCTGGGTGAAACTCTAAATTGCTGTCACATTCGTATTTATAAACCCACACGCACACATTCCGCTACCTTGGACTCTGCATCTTCTCAAATAACATCTTTGTTTATCTTTATGCTAGACGAAAACGGAAACATGTAGCGGCACGTGGACATAACATAGTGCACGTTGGAAACACCTAGCTAACGACAAAACCCTTAATCTGCTTTCAGTTGGCGTGAACCACTAAATTAAGTTATACATGGAAAGATTCACAAATAATATATATAAGTAAAAAAAAGAACGTGATGCTAACATATTCATGGTACCTTATTTTACGCACTTTAAAAAGCAGAGCCTAAATTTAAACGACCCTAAGTATAACCTTTATATTAGCCAATATTAACAATGTATTACCGTTTTGCATGTGTGAGGAATTCGTTTGAAGATTGGATAATTGCGCCGCCTGTTGCTGCTGTTGTTGCTGTTGTGCCTGTGCGCTGGCACTCACAATGGCGGCCACCGTGGGCGCTGTTGCCTGCTGTTGCTGCAGCACAGGTCCATTTTCCAGTAGTGCTATTGACAATAAAAACAATTTACATAAATAATATTTACGTTAGCTAGTATTTTAGCGGAACCTACATGTGTTGTGTTTAGCCACCGCTGCAAATGCAATTGTTGGTGTCGCTTGAATCACAGATTGGCCTTGAATGTTGTTGGTGCTGTTGCTCGCTGATGCCGCAGCGGCAGCCGCTGCTGCTGCTGCTGTTGCCGCTGTGCCCGCGGAGACGGCAACATTAACTGCACTCAGACCAGGCGTTGGAGCATGTGGCTGCACGGCAGGATTGTGACCACTGGCAGCGACATTGCTGCTGCTGCTACTGCTGCTGCTGCTGTTGTTCTGTGTCCCGCTAGACGCCAAAACGGAAGCGACCGTGGGTAGCTGCTGCTGCTGCTGCTGGTTTTTGCTGGGCGTTGAGCTGATAATCTTATTGACTTGAGCTGCTAGGGAATTTAAATTGTTGTTTATTTTTTTACCCATTAGTTACCCATCGAATTGGCATTGAATTTTTGGTACTCACTATCACTACCCGCGGGTGCTTTTGCTGTGGCACGCACTGGCGTCGGCTTGATCGGCTGTTGAGGTTGCTGCTGCAAATGGATGCGTATAAATTAGATCAGGCTACAAGACTTCATTAGGAAAGTTAGAGTGCAAAATAAACAAATTAAAAATTTAATTTTATCAATCATTATCAACAGCCGAGTCAATATAGGCCATGTACGTCGCTTTGTTAAAGGAATCAGACCACCTTATCATATAGCTGTCATAAGATCTATCGGTCGGATTTGTAAGACAAAACTTTTGTTTATAAGATATTGTAAACCAAATTATTTCTGCTCCCAACATCTTATCAACACCCAACTAAATTATATACTACAAGAAGCTACACGGAGTTGCAAGGGTCAGAAAACGCACCCGTTCCAGAACGATACGAAGTCACTTAGATGCTTATGCATCGAATATTGATACTGGAAACGGGCTGAACTTACGTCCAGCCGTGTCTCAGCCCGAAGGAACCACGAACCACTTTGACTTCTATTAACTACACTTAAAGATCGAGTCAAAGCCCATGTTAATGACAACATATAAGGCTAGGAGAGCTTTTTTTTGAATTGCGCTTTTTGTATAAACCCGTTGTAAGCCCGCTGTTTAGATGAGCATGCAAAATACGATTGTGTCCGCGAGCGTATTTGTTCTCGGGCAGGCCAAATGAAATTTTTCTGGGGAGAAATCATTTTACCTTCGCTTTGCTGCTGTTAGCATTGCTTTCGCTGCTTTTGTTGCGCTTCTCGCCACCTGTTGTCGCCTCGGTGGACGTTGTCGCTGAGGATGAAGCTGCGCTGGTGTCGCTCGCATAGCCCACATTGTTGCCATTCGATTGCTGTGCGGCGGCTGCTGCAGCCGCTGCGGCTGCAGCCTGCAAATGCTGAAATTGGGCAGCACTTGCGGCGCTGGTGCCACCGCCTGAACTGCTGCTGCCTGCCATTGCTGATTGCGGTTGTGTGGAGGAGGATGGCAACACCTGCTGCACTGTAACTGGCGATTGGGATGGACTGCCGCCGGAGGTAACGCTGCTGGGCGAGCCGCTGGTTTCGTTGCTGTTGTTACTGTCCGTTGTGGCCGTTCCGCTCAGCTCGACCTCGTCTAGACCGATAATGTCGTCATAGATGAACTCGTTTTCCTCAAAGTCCGGCTCTTGCGATGAATCAATATAGTATTCGACATCATCCTTAATTTTGTTCACCTGATCCGCTTCGACACCATCGTTATCCAGCAGTCGCAGCAGCGTTTCCAGCTTGGTTATATGAAATTTATGACGATCTAGCTTACTCCGCAAGTCATCCATGCGCTCCTGTTTGTCACGATCCACACGTTTCTTTTTTCCCGCTAACAGGGATTCAATTTCGCTCTCATACTGATCTATTTGAATTTGCAGTGTACTAATTGAGCCGGTTAACCAATTACGCGCATGATCTTTGATCCGTTGCGCTGGATCCATTTTTTGTGCGGCGCCCAGCCCCTCCTTGGAATAGGCTTTTGTTTTTGTCTCACGCTCCACAACCTTGAAGCGTTCCATTTGCTGTAAGGATATTCGAATGGGCAAAATTAATAACATAGGTCTGGATAGTCGCTAGGAGGCATTGTCGATAGCTTATCAATAGTCGAAACATTGTAATAATTAATTTAAGACTTCTATAAGATAGGATATGCATTAAACAAATTGCTTTCAACAAGCTATTGAAGCGACATCAATTTATAATTTTTGATGTTAGAAATCTTAATACGTCCGGGATTTGCTCTTTGATTAATCAATATTGATAATATAGAGGGACGAAATGTTTGTTCGTCTAAAGATCAAGCCATCCATAGCTATGAACACAACTTGCCGTTTCAATGAGCCTTCGGTTCTCAAGCAGCGCGCTTTTATCTTTGATCTCGGCGGATGCAATCCATGATTTGATTTGATCACGTAATCGCTGCAGCTTCTTAATTTCCTTTTTAAGATCTGCCTCATACTTTTCCTGCAGGTGCTTTTGCTATAAAGAGAGAGTAAAGACATTAGGAAATTCAAACGTAAGCGCTTGTCATGGGCTCACCTTCTGGTTGGTATTTGTTGCATTGTGTACCTTTTTCCATATATCCTCAAACGTTTCCACGCCCTCGCCTACCTTTTTTAAACATCGATCAATTTCACCTATCGTAGGATATCGATAATGTTTACAGAATCAGAATTTGAAGACACGCACGAATATGTACATATATATATATATATATACAAATGTATGCAGGGAGAATTGTGCTTACCTTGCAATTTTCTCGTCGCAGCCATGGCTATGTGTGCTCTTGTGGTTTCTGCTGGCGCAAATAGTTAGACATAGTCCGTTGCAAGCTGTCGCGATTGTTTAGTTATATCACCTGGCCGCAACACAATCTCCGCTTGTGTGGTGCTTCTGCCTGGCCAGAAGTCGACAACGGCGTCTGCAACATAAAATTGATCAATGTAAAATATGCATTAATTGCGCACATACACACACTCACACACACACACAAAAACACATACACGCATAAATGCGTGCACCGTACTTTCGATGTGTGCCGCGGCGTTGGTGTCAGCGGCAGAATTATTTCCATTATTTGGGTACACACCTGAGCGTGCTGTTACTGTTCATTGCTTTATTTACCTTAGATCCAAGTAGCTTCACTGAAACGTGTGGGAAAACACTCTCTGCCTGGCTTTGGTTCTTCTGCCTCTTTTTGCATGCACTGATGTATGGCCTGTGTGTGTGTGAGTGTTGTGTGTGATACCTTCGGGCCGTCGGAGATTTCGATTTTTTTTTTGGCTTAGCCTTTTTGGGCAAACGCAACGTGGCAGCTGTGCTGGGATTTCTTTTATATTGATGAGTAGAGCATTAAATATGTGTGCTTGTTCTTAAATTTAATGATTTATGCAATTTATACATTTAAATAAATACGCTTAAAGATTTTTCGCTTGCTTTTTGTTCGCTTCTTCTTCTTCGCACATTCCAAGATGGCGACTCGCCAAGAGTTATCGAATATAAACGATTGCGCCATCAACTTTCGATAGTGGCACACCACCCTGGCGAGTTTCATAGCAGCTAGCTGTCATTCGTAATATTGCATTTTGAATTTAAACTCGCAACGCTACGAAATTGATGATTATTAATTTGTTTATTTGCGTTTCTTGTGCATTTTTGCAAAGGGGAGAAAAATATAAGAATGCACGTTTAGATTGAGTAACTCTTAAATTCGTTTCTACATTAAAGCGGCAGCGGGCGCCATGCGTTCGCCTGCATTCAATTTGTCAATAATTACGTTTAAAATTTTTTTTTTGCATTTCTTCGAATATTTTGCAAATAGTTAGTAGTTATAGTAGTTGTGCTGCCTATCACATACGTTTGATGCGTTATCCTGCCGTCCTAGCGAGCGCCCTTAGCGTTTAAATCGAAACCAAAATTTAATCATATTTCAAATTGCCGCCTGGCTGCTGCTGCTGTTGTTGTTGTTGTTGCAGTTGCAGTTGCAGCTGTTGTTGTTGTTGTTCCAATTGCAGTTGCTCGGCAGACTCGGAGTCGGTTATTTCGCCAGCCAACTGATAGGACGGTATGGACATACAGTTGCGAATAAAACTACACACACTCTGCACATATTGTGCAGGATACTTGGTATAGATCTTAACATGCTCGGCATCCTCAAAACAAACAGACGACACATTGATGCCCTGATCACGCCGCATCCGTATAAACTTCTCCACATCCTTGTACGGTATGACCACATCGCTTTTTGAATATAGAAACAGTTGCGGATATTTGTTTGTCTCGTTCTTCAGCTCACAAAATGGACTGGCATGCAATGGCGTTGACTTGACAAACAAATTCTTAAAGGCTGAATAAGTTTCCTGCAATTGAATGGCACATTAGATGACGTGTGGTGGATGGGTGGATGGATGGATGGATGGGTGGATGGGGCAGCAACCTGTAACTCACCTCGACAAACCACATGATGCTCAGTGTCAGGGTTATGGCCAAAGCTGTGAGGCAATTGCATCGCTTCTCTTTTCCATAAATTGCTGTTATGGCACGATACAAGCCGAGCATGCGACGTTCGCCTGGCGCCGAATCAAAGATGACACCGCGCACCTGCAATGGGGACTTGTGCTTTCTGACGGCCAGATTGATGTGCTGATAGAGATAGGCGCCGCCATTGGAGAATATGTGAAAAATCAACGGATGCGCATCAAAGTTCATGTCCTGTATCAGTTTTAAGATCTTTTCTCCAATCGGAACCATTTCGCTGCGCTTCCAGAACAGCGTATCCACAGGCGCCGTATAGCGTACGGTTATCAGGCTGTTAATTAAATGATTATGCCACATTTATGTTAATTCTTATTATTATTATTATTGTTATTGTGCTTACCCCCTCTCCTCGTAGATCTTTGAATATTTCATCAAATATCGATCCTGGCAGCCCGCCCAGCCCAATAGCATTACGATTGGCACATTATTATGCTCCTCATTGCCGCTGACCAGCACGAAATCATTATCGGCCGTCGGTTTTGGAAACTTGATGAAATATTCAAGCGCATCCTCACGCTCCTGCAGATCCTGCTGTTGTCGCCTCAGTTGCTGCTGTCCGGTGCTTGACATTGAATTGCTGGCCACAATGCCGGCCGATCCGCCGTACGGCCGATACTCAGTAGCAATATCATTCGCTGTCAGTCCATATGGATGTGATGCTGACGACGACGACGACATTTTGGCATTCAAATATGTTTACTTCTGAAACTCACTGTGTTTTTTTTTTTTTGGAATTTTCGTGTTGCCTTTTTTTTTTCTCTTCACCAAAATAGAAACTATGTACGTGTTTGGCTTGGTTACGCAAAAGCCTACTTAACAGGATGTGAGGTGCCCAGTGCCCTGGCGTCAGGTGCCAAAGCGTAGCTGTATTGATTTTACGGCGGAAATGTTAACGTTTGCTTATTTAAACAATTTCAACAGCTTTAACTGTGTGCAGCCACAGGACTTTTTACCACATCATTGATTTTTTTTTTAGCCGCTGACGATAACAGCAGGGCTTGACCTTCTGGGCCACGCACAAACAAAACTCAAATGCGCTGCTTCCTGCTGCAGTAACATGCCGCATTCCAATGCGTCGACATTAACTTCCAGACGTTGCTGTTGACCCATTCGGTTCGAGTTGGACATGCGCAGTTGGGTCGGAGGATATTAAATTAGAAACTACCATTTGATTTGATCGTGAACTTAGTTATTATGTTCCACGTTAATAATCTTGTTTTCATAGTTATATTAAACAACTTTTTCTCAACGAATGTAAGGTTTAAAAACTTTATTTAGTAACAGATTACAAATTTAAATTACCGCTTGCATTTTCACAGCTGTTGGTTATGTAACGAAACGATATCTCATTAAGCACGATATATCGATAATGATGTTATCGATGTGTAGTGATGCTTAAATGTTCACCAAGTATCGAAATTTAAAACACATTTGAACATTTTATAAATATATTTCAAAACTCAAAATATGCATTGCCCAAGTGAACTGCAAACTAAAAATATTGTGAATGTGGAATTCTAAGGATAATACAAAAATTTGAGCCTGAACAATATGGATATAATATAAATAATTATTAAATAAACTTTACATTTACATTCAACGCGAAAATTAAAAAAAGTCTGTTTACTTAGACGATCAAGAATAATATCACTAAAACGGTTGTTTAATGGGAGAACTGTAATAAGGGTATTCACACAAGCAAAACAAAATTTTCAATTTGGCAATTTTGGTATTTCAGTTTCAGTACACATAAAGTATAATTTGGTAATATTATTGAACTAAATTTGACTAAGTTGTTAAGATCTGTGCGTTACAGTTCCTCATGTGCCGACGCCTCCTCTGCGTGATCTGCATCTGGATCGGTGTCCACTTTCAACGCTACTGTAAACAAAATATAAAAAAGAAACACAAATATGCACAATGAAAATACTGCAGATGAATGCACAATCGCACGAATTATTCACAGAATAAAATAAACGTTCTATCAGCGAAAAATTCCGGATGTCTTTTTGGGCTTATAATGACTTCATAATTAAATCCTCTAGCTGTTTTGTGTCTATTTCAGGCTTTTGGGCGCCCTGCGCCGTCCAATTTAACCAGTACTCTGAGGCAGCTATGTAGATAGCGACCGCTCCACCGACAATATAGGCAATATGTGTGGAGCTCTGAAAGATTACGCACGTGGCCACGCACATGCCAAAGTAGGTGAGCAGCCGGGTGATGTTAACATATGAATCACGTTGCTGGGAGGATAGATCTTTCGGTTCCAGCACATGGGCAAGAAATGTGAAAGTTGTTTTACACGCAGCATTGACCAATCTATACAATCTATACTCACCCTGACACTTGCCATCCTTCAGCTTATAACCATCAGCGCATTTCCGGCACATGTCCGGGCCATCGCCATCGCAGCCGTCACAGGAACGGTCGCACTCGAGACAAGAGAACGAACCCTCGTTGTTAACGCAAAACTGTTGTGGCCGGCAGGCTCGGTGCTGATCCACACACTCATTGATATCTACGCAACCGTTTTCGGTGTCCATGCGCCAGCCATCCTTGCACTTGCGACAGCTCTTCGGACCAGCTCCGTTGCAGCCGCCGTCCCCACAAGCGGCATGACAAGATGTGCATAGAAGCTTTGTTGCATCGCGAAAGGATTCATAGTGTAGCTCATCGCACTCATTGCAATTGGTGCCGGCATACCCGCTGTCGCATAGGCACTGGCCATTGCCCTTGCGCGTGCCACTTCCTTTGCATTTGCCTATTCGATATGGTTTTTAAAAAGAATCAATATCGTAACCCAAAATAAAATTGCCGGTTACCCACCATTACTGTTGCAATCGGTGCACGGCTGGCACGTGGGTCCATATGTGTTTGGGGGGCAGCAAACGCTGAGCTGTTTAATACACAGCCAGGCATGCAGGTCGGTCTCCTCATCCTGCTTGTGTATGAACCAGTCTTCAATAAGCGACTCGTGATCGTTGCTCAAGGTGTGGCAATGGTCCTGTCCACGCTTGACTTCACTGCACAGCTGCTCTTGGATCTCAACGAAACGCACCTCGCTATTTTTATAGGCACGCATTTTCTCCTGCTCCCAGGCCGCATCCCCGCCGGCATGCTTGCCTCGTTTAGTTCGCTCAAGTCCCAAATTGAATGATTCCACGAGTACGGTGCAGGCTTTGCAGGGTGGCAATTTTGTTGATTTATCCTTTAGCTTTTGTGGATCATCGACTGCTATTGCAACTGTTAAAAGTGGCAGCACAAAACATATTTTTAATATCATATTATTTTGTCTGGGCGTTCAGTTAAAGAAGGTTTACGTGTATTTCATTTAGGGATGTTGATGCGGTATCGACCTATCGATGCCTTAGAGCTTACGGCGATATCGATACCGATACAATTTGACGATATCAATATTTTGGTATTAATTTGATACTGTGTTTAAATTGCAGCATTTAAAAAAATGTAATTGGATAACAATTTAATTTGTACTTAATTCTACTTAACTAGATATGGATCTATAAACACAATTTTTATGTAAAATAACATGTCTTATTTAAATATTTATTAACACCCAACACACACAAAACTTCGAATACGTAGCGAAGCTTAATAACAAATGTAACCTACATACTTGTAAATTTTATCTATTTTTATGCAAGAATAAAGAATTAAACACAAGCTGCTTCACCATTTAATATTTAGGGCCGTGTTTAGTTTTTCTACAGCATGATAACTGGTATGCAGAAGCTCTAATGATTTATCCGTATGTGCGCCGTCCAGAAAATCTGTATAAATTTGTTTGGTATAGGAATTATCCGGATTGGAGCGAGGCAGCTGCTTATAGAGTTCTTCCAATTGTTGGGTTAACTCCCGCACATGCTGGCCTGTAGTTGGGCGCACCTGTGCGCCACCATTTATGCAACCGGAAGGGCAGGCCATGACTTCGACAAAGTGATAGCCTGGTCCCTTGCCACGCTTTAGCTTCTGCACCAGATTTTGTATATTACGAAAGCCATTGGCAATGGCAAACTTAAGAACGGTTTTGCCATCTTTTTCCAAGCTTATTTCACTAAAGTCGCGATTGCGCAGCGCCTTGAATTGCAGCTCGTTGGGCGTTTCCTCGCTGAACAGCTCTTTGGCGGCATATTTGAAAATATGTTCCGCATAGCCGCCGGACATGGTAGCCTCGTGTGCCCACACCGGAAACTCGGGTTGTTGATCCGTCCAGGGCCAGTCTATGTCTGAGGGCTCGAATTGCTGTAGCGTTTGTTCCTCTGCTTGCAGCATTTGCTCCACTTCAACTGCGGGGCGAAAGAAAGAATTGACAAACCGTATGAGCCGGAAAGAACGCTGCACTTACTCGAGGTAATCACACAATCCACATCCCTAGAGCCATTGACTTCACTGTAGAAATCCTCGCGTGACGCCTCCAGCTTCTTGTCGTAGCAGGGCATGATTGTGGCATGGTAGATACGCGAGCCGGGCACACCCAGCTTTTCGGCCAGTAACTGTTTAACCAGCACGCCCATAATTTGTTGTGGCGATCGCGTTGTGGCTATATGTGGCAATATAAAGTTTCCATGTGTCTTTTCTGCATAGCAAACCCAACCAGGGCACGATGAGCTCAACATGCTGAGTTCGGCGTTGTCGCGGAAGCGCTCTACAAACTCTTGTCGGCACTCGAGAAGCGCCAAATCATCGGCAATTTTTGTGCAGAGCACATAATCAGCGCCCAGTTGCCGCAGATAACCGGCCAAATAACGACTCGCCTCCTCAACGCCGAGGTCATAGCGATGCGCCAGACTCAGCAGCGGTTGAACAGAAATTGTAAATACGATTGTCCGGACCTGATCATTGTCACCGGATGCCTTTAACGTTTGATTTTCTCGAAGTACTTTCAGCAACTCCTCCTGACTTTGCTGCGTAATGAGCACGCCCTCCGCGGAAGTTATGCAGCCGGAACAGGCCAGGCAATCTTGTAGTGTGATTTCAACCTTTTGAAGCTTTTGCTTGCCGCTCTGTAAGATATTATATTTTGAACATATATTAAACATGTTTTACAACAATTTACCTCTGATTGCTCGTAGTACCCATCTGCTTGAACCGTAATTTTAGCTCCAGTTTTTGATTTGGTCTTATCAATCATAACGGGCTTTATGCATTCCTGAATCGTACATTTAATAAATTCATTTATTATTTTATTACTGCGGAGCAGCTTACCTGTGAAGGAGTTATAAAGTCGTCCAGGTCGGTAAGTTGCAGCGCTCCGCTAAATCGCGACATGGTGTGAATCTTCTGATTTAAGTTTATTTAAGATAACGCAATATATGTCAAATCATATGTTTTCGCGTTAACATGCGAATGGCAAATCAGATGCCGTGCAATAATAACAAACATAACCATCAGTATACATAGTGTTTATAATTTTTTGACAAATTTCACAGAGACAGCACATAATTATGCAGTCACAATTCAAAATTTTATTTTCGAAAATTACAACAACGTGCGCACATATAAATTAAATTTTACTTTGTGGTCTGTACTGTCGATGACAACCCTGCTGTGCTGTGTTGTTTTGTATAAACGACCAAACAGTTGGTTTTAATCGATGTGGCAACATTGCCGTTTCTCAACAAAAGCATTTCATTTCCACGCTGAAAAACACAGAACATTTTTCGATGGGGCGAAGTAAATTCGTTTCCTCCTCGCCAAAAAAGGTAATCGATGCAAAAGTCGAGACTGTCCATGCAGAGCATGCATTACTGATTCCATTTACAATATGCAGGTGATGCAGCACGGCGAGTTTATAAGCCGCATACAAAAAACGCTCTACTATGGATGCGTGGACACAACGGAAGCAGATATGGAGGTTTCCATGCCCTTTGCAGAGTATGCAGCTGATCTGTTCTCGGAGCCACATCGGGGACACTCATTGCATCGTTTGAGCTCTATTGCGGCAGGCAAAACACATGCAACCCCATGCTCTCTTATAATGGCCCTGATTTACTTGGATCGTCTTAACATCATTGATCCGGGCTATGGCTATAGAATCACGCCACAAGAACTGTTTGTTGTGTCATTGGTGAGTGTCTGGGTCTCGCACAGCAGCTCGTGACGAAACCTGTTGATTGATAACCCACCTTCCGCGCAACAACGCATACATTTTCATTAATTTTATGAGTGTATTTACACACACACACACACACACGCATGGGCAGCAATAGGAACAGTGCTCTAAAACAACAAAATGAGTATAAAATGAGCATGTGTGTTGGTGAGGCAGATCGCTATTTTATTCTATTTTGTTGTTTTTGTTGTTTGGCATTTATTTTTAATTAAACAACAGTTGGCACTGCTGCTGATAAGCTGCAGCCGCATTGCAGCCTACATTGCATCAAATGAATTTTTATATAACTCTGTTATTTTTAGCACTCATTTTCGGCCAGCCATGTCATGCCAAAACTGTGACGTCATGAATTTGTTTTGTGTTTCTTGTTTTGTTTACAGATGATTTCAACGAAATTTTATGCCGGCCACGATGAGCATTTCTATTTGGAAGACTGGGCTAAAGAAGGCAACATGAGCGAGGACAAACTCAAGCAAATGGAACTGGAGTTTCTGACCGCCATTGTAAATACGTTTGCCCAAATTCTATCTATTATTCGATTAATATACAAGTTTTACTTAACAGGACTGGAACATATACATATCGAACGAGCAATTCTTTGATAAGCTCAGCAGCGTGGAACGAACGCTGGCACAGCGCGAGGGCTTGCGACGCGGCTGGCTCACTTACAGCGAACTGATGCAGCTGTTGCCCAACTTTACAATAATGAGATTTTTGCTAAATAACCTGGCTGTGCTGGCGTTAAGCTATGCGGCCAGTGTGTTTACAATCGCTGGGGCATTTTTCATTGCTAGCCAAGTGCCCGGCACGCTCTGGCATCGTCGCACAGACACGAATGCGACGGCAACGGTTAACACAACGCTGACGACTCCCATGACAACGACGAATGTCACTGATGCAGCGCCCGTTGTCAGCGGCGATCTATCGATTCGAGTTGCGGCGCCCAACGACAGTTGCAGTGCTTTGAATGTGGAAGCGGAACTAATGAATCTGGAGCAACAATTTTGCGCCGAGGAAAGACTGATTGATTTGGAACGTCGGCGACGCTTGGAGCAACCGCCCAATCCACTGCTGCCGCCCAATTTTCATGTCACGCACGCTTCCACGCAACAGGATAACACACAGCATTGGCTCAACATTAAGTCGCAGTACAGCGATGACACGGAGCATCGCAATCCTATGTCATTTGGCCACAAGACGTACAATTGGAAACAAGCGCAGAATGCATCCATTTTTTGGCAGGTGCTCAGCGAAGCCATGTCTCACCAGTCGTTCTTAGTGCGCTGGCCGGTGTTGTGGCCGAAATTGATTTAAGGCACCAGCTGCAATTTTACAAACACGTTCTGTACTTTAATCTATAACGAAAATTCTTTCAAAATGTCAATAAATTTTGACTACAAATAAATTATATTTTTTCAACACTAATAAAATTGATAATTAATTACAATTTGCTTCAATTTAATATCTTTATTTATTAAGCTCTCTACAACTTGGACTTTGATATTGTACATAATGTATATTTCTTGCTACTGAGTTTCAATATTTTTTAAAGCCGATTTATATTTTTTTATGTAACATGGGTGGAATAGCTTCGAGTGAGCGCATAGTCAAAGCATTTAATAGGCACTTTGCAGTGTGTTGTGTTTCAAAGTCGGATAGTCAAGTGTGTAGGCGTTATATTCTGTTGAAACAGGCTTTGCTTTATTTTAAAATTAAGCTAGCCAAACGAAATGATGATGTCAACTGATATTGGGCTTGCATTTAACAGCCAAGTTAACTACAGAAACGTTCTATTTTGATTTTTGGTGTTACAGTTGGACCTTTTTGCAGCTACGATACATTTTCAGTTTTATATTTACCACTAGATTATATTTATATCTGAGAATACAAAAGAATTGTTGCGTTTCTCCTATAAAACAAAACCAGATGAGTTTTTAGTTGCAGTCAGAATCAGTGCAAACTTGAAATTACATAATATTGATATTGAATCTTAATGTTACTAGGCGGAGTTAATAGTATTTAATTAGTAGGTACTTTGAGTGTCACATTAGTTTTTTTTTACATCGCGTGAACTTAATATAGTTGTAAACTTTAATGAAATCAATATAAATATTCAAGTTACGGGAATCTTCTCCGCAGAAAATGTTCAATTTCGAAATAAAATCAAAAGTTTGCATTCGGATTGCGATCTCAACAGAAACTCCATAGAATTGACTGTTTCACTAGTTAAATGTTGAATGTGGAAAACCTAATTTTCAGCCGTTGGTTTCGGTTCGTCGTTAATCAGCCACAAGGGGCACATGCCGATTAGGCAGCCGACTGTGATGCCCATAATGCGTCCCTGCAACAAGACATGCAAATGTTATTAATAATTCGATTCATAGCATTCATTCGAGTTGCTTACCCAACTGGAGGCTCGCCTGCTTGACTTCAATTCAAATTGTGCGGGCGTCATTCGTGGTTGCTTGAGTCCCAACAGCTGACAGCCTTCCTCCACATATGTGGCCATGGTAATGCCCATAATATCACTTATGGTATTCCCAAGTCCTGCGGCGGCCATTGTCGATAGCGTTATGAAATGGCCTAATGAACTTTCTATGTATTCACCCTGCAAGTCATGATACCATATTTGTATAGAATGTTGATGGGGCGAGCCTATATATAAGCTATATGCTGATAGTGGAACACAGCATCAATAGGATTACTTACGGCCATGATCATAATGAAGTTATCAAGAAATCCAAAGGCTACAAATGGCACGGCATTCACAAAGAAAACTGCAACAATTTAATTTAAAAACTATAGGAAAATAATAATTATTTATTTTTGGTACTTACTGCTATAAAGTTGTCTAGCGGTGGGCGGTTCTGCCGCCTCCACTGCGAAGAGAATAGAGATAAAAAGATGATTAGTTTTAAATTGCATTGGTATGCTACGTTATTCTTCTTCTTCTTTTTCTTGGTACTGCGACACAGTTAATCAGTTATTGTGGTTTTTGAGTTTACCCAGTTTCTTTTTCAGCCACTCATCGGGCACCGCACAAAATGTACCGGTCGGATCCACTTGGCCCACCTTATTGGAAAGACGTCCGAAGCGCGTCCGCCAACTGCCAACAGCTAGTTGGCCTTTGGTTTGGATGACAGTGTGTTAAATCGTTGTTGTGTTGTGCCATGTGATTGGTGTGTGGTTGTTTGGATCCAGTGTTGTTAACAATACAGATTGTAATTGTTGTGTAACAGTTGTTAAAAATCAAAACATGGAGGAAGTGTTTACATATGCAAATAAAAAAGAAGAGATTATAGTCATTTAATATGAGAGAGTACACAACTGAATATTAATCTCATAATTACATTTAAGCGAACATGCTAATACCTAAATAATAACTAAGTAACCAATTACAGAGCTCATGATCAGAAACTAAAGTTTGAAAACATGATAATAACCGAGTCATTTAAATAATTATAGGTTATGATTTTTTTTTTTCAGCCAGGGTTAAGGGTGTAAGCTGCTTATAAATACTTTGCGATGACGCAATTTTTATAACCTTCGTCGGAAAAAAGTTTGTCCAGTTATTCAAATTAATATATACATATTTATAATATATGTAGGTAGCAGGTAATTTTGCTTTCGCGCGCACACACAGCTAATTAAAATGTTAAAAGGCTGAAAGGTGTCGCACTTTATAAAAGATTTCACATCAATCGTCCCGCCTACCCCACAACCACTCAACCCACAGCCACTCGTCCATTTACGCTTGGCGAATTGCATTAAAATTGCATTTGTCAAGCAACAAGCGCGTTGAATGGCTGTGCCCGGCGTTGTATGTATGCGCATGCATCTTCGTTTATACGATAAGACATCAATTTTGCTTCATTTATTTATTTATAAAAGACAACTCTGAACAACAATTACAGTCAGACAAATTATTTGCAAATAAATACTGATGCGTTGCCACCTTTGTTAGCGTCGATTTTTTATTTTCGACGATGTGGTGACTCTCTATTAAAATATGAACTGATCGGTTTACCAAATGTTGATAGGCCAAGAAACTTGCGTATGATTAACTTATCTGGCAGCACTGTAACGCAAAATTGATCTATTAACAGTTACATGAGTTTTGGCTGCAAAGTGCAAACGTATAAACGCGTGTTTCTGAATTTCTCACGCTGCACCAAATTAAGTTTTGCAATGGCCTGCGTTGCCTTTAATTAAACGCTGCATATTTTCACGCGTCGCAAACGCAGTCACGCCTTTGCAGCCGTGTGAGCGTAAATATGTGTTTGCCTGCCAGTTTTATGTGTGCATAGCCTGTGTGCGCGTCTCTGTGTGTGTGTGTGTTTAGTTGTGTAAGCGACGCATTTTAGCGCCACTTTGGGTGCCGTTAGTTTGCCCAGCACATAACCATTAGGAACGTATTATAATTACCCTTACAAGTGAATGTCAACAGCCAGACAAAATGGTGCCCCTAACTGTCATCATAATTATCATTATTCCCAGTGTTGCCACCTACCCCAAAGTGCTCAATTAATTTACAGCTTCGCTCTCAGAGTAATCACAACGGGAGCCATTAAAAATGTGTGACAGAAAGTTAAATGCATGTTTTCGCTTAAAGGCAGGCTGCAATACTCTATAAACAGTCCAACGTTGTGGGTAAGTGCAACACAAATAACACTCATAACTGTTAACAAGCTTATTAAATAGTTATGAGTAGTGCGGGCACCCTGTTAATCTCGAGCCCACAATTGAATGTACATAAATTATTAATTAGGATTGCGATATGAACAAGAATTATTCATTTTAAAGTTACATTCAGATTGTACTTTTTAATCGAATTAAACAGAGATAACGGCAAATTTAAATTTAACATTAAATATTTTTTTTCAATATTTAAAACATAAATTTACATAAAATGCGTTAATGAATCTTATAACTTTGCTCTGGGTTGCTAAATATCTTATTTTATTTGAGTTTAACATATTTCATATTTCGTAGATACTAATCTACCCTTTTTTAACCTAAACACGGGGCATTATCAGTGTGTCACAGGGGCCTATTTCGCCATTAGACTCCTGTCACACATCAGTTAAATACATCCACACACACACACATATGTGGTAGACACGTACGTTGCTCATAAAAATAAACATCCCGCTAGACTTGACTGAGCAATTTGCAGGGCAATTATGTTGTTTAGCTGTCGGTTAAGCGTTAGACATGAGATTCTCACTTGATTCAGCGAATCAGAAAAACATGCCATTAAACATGCGAAGAACTTTTCTAAGAGACTTGCTTGACTATCTAAATACCCTAACCAGTTTACGTTCAACATTTAGAATGTAATATAATATGAATTATATTTAAATTGTATTGCATACTTTATTTTAAACATGTGCATTAGTCAGATTGGATATTTATAATGTGCAGTCTTTTTTGATTTCCTCTAAATGTTTATAGGTACATTTGAATAAAATGTTCAGGGCATTTTGTATCGAAATATCATATCCTCATATCCTTTTGTCTATGCTCTACGATAGTCGGCATATCACATAGTATCTTTATAATTTCAAAAGGCTTCGAAAGACAAGAAGCTAATTTGGTATTTATGTTGCAAAAAGTAATTGGCATCTATATATGCCCCGGAAATATACCCAATGCAACTATATTAGGTGTGGGTATTTTTATAGAGGCCACAAAGGCAATCAGCTGACCTTGACACATCCTTTTTGCGCGAGCTCGCGCATTGTGTGTCATATGTGCGTACACACACACACACACACACACACACACACACACACACACACACACATTTGATTTGCTGCGCAGCGTTTCCAAAAAGCAGGCAACACTCGCAGCTCGATTTGTACTCGAGCTGAGAACTGAGAGTGGCACTTGGCCTGACTTCTTTTAATGCGTTTTGTTTTTTTTTTTATCTGTCCCTTTAGTCTATTCTTAAACTTACACAAAAGACAGCTCGATTTGCTATCATGGCCAAAGCAATCGAAAGCCATGAAAAAAGCAACAGGAAAACGTGAGCGTGTTTGCCCGCAAAAGTGTGCATGTATGGGTAAGCGTGTGTCTGAATGTATGTGTGTGTGTGTGTGTAGATATTTGCATAACATTTAACATAGTTTATTGGCGGGTTTGCGGGCTGCTGCTGTTTAGCATTTAAATTGGCCTAACTGTGCATATATATATATATATCTTTTCATTGTCAAGAAGTTCAAAAAGTTCAACTTGCATAACGAACGTGTGCATGTCTGAGGTCAGCCCAAAAGCACACTACACAAATTTCACCAAAGTCCGTGCAAGGCCAAAAAAAAAAAACTGTTTGTCACGACAAAAAGCTGCAATTAATTTACTTTACCACAACAGTTTTTAAGCTGGCGCAAGTTTCTTTCAGATTATAATTTGCAAGCCGCAGGCATTTCTTGTGAAAACACTTTGAGAATTACAGCACAACAAATGGATATTATAAATGCCTGCCGAACCTGCTTAGTTAATCAAGCTCTGTGCTTAAACATTTCTGAAGCTATAAGAAGTCGAGATTGTATTCGTCTAACTATATTTTTTGGAATTGATTATGAGGCGTCTTTTCGAGCTGCCGTTTCCAATAAACCATTTTAAAGTCCATTTTCCAAATTTCAAGCTATTTCGATTGATTTAAAATTTAAATTTAAATTCTTTAAGATTTAAAAATGAAATCGCAGTCCTGCAGCGAATTCTTAATTAGTATACTTGAATTGCAAGAATAGGAAAGCTGAGATGATTTCTTGTTATCAATAAATTATAATCAAATGTGTATTAAAGTCTACTTGAATTAAGCTTAAGATATATTTGTAACCCTTGAAAGTTCTTGGAATTTTTGCTTAATACAATTTTTTTTTTATATTTCTGTAAGCTTAAGCAATCCTGTGTTACAATCCAGAAGTTTAGCAAAATATAACATAAAAACATTGTAAGCCTTTTGTATGTATGTGTGTGTGTGTGTGTGTACTTGCCTTCGCATGTATTTGTGCGTAGATGTGAACGCATTTAGTCATGTATACCTGCCCGGGCTGAGGGCCACTGCGTCAGCTTGCAAAGCTTAACGGGAACAGTTTTCAATTTATCGCTCTGCCTTTTGTGCTGTTGCTCTCTTTACGTTTTGTCTTTCGTCTGTTGCTTTGTTCTATTGCCTTCACACTCCGTTTTTCTGCCTGTGAAGCTTTGTGCGAGCGATGCGTTGCTTTGTTTTATGACTTTTAAGGGCATACACACATACACATATACATACACACATATGCATACGCATACACATACAGAGCAGCTGTTGCTGTATCGCCTGTTGCCTGGCCCGGAAACTCTCTGGCATCGCTTGCGTGCTCAGGTGCCAACTCAAGACCCTGTCAAACACATCGGCACGTGCTTTTACAGACAAGAAAAAAAAAAAAAGCATCAGCAAATTAATTCAAATTGCAGAAGGCATCGCTCTGCTTCGTATTTTGCCACGCTCTGCCACGATTGACTCATTTAGTGTTGAGTAATTTACATTAAGGCCACAGTGTTGGAAAGGGGGCGGGGGGCTGCACGACTTCTGCAGTGCTGTCAGAAAAGTTGACAGCCACTCGACTTACATTTTTGAGGGGGCATAATATTTGATGAGCTGCTTCATTTGCCATACAGCTCTTTGCTGTAACTTTTCCGTTTCCGGTTGATAAAAGAAACTGTTTGAAGTCTTCGGCATTAAATATGCTAAATGTAAAGCAATATGCATTAGGCTGCTTCGAGGTTCATTTAACATGGCAACAAAATCTTTTTACATAAAAGTATGAATTATATTAAAGCTCTGTACATATTTGTCGTAAGTATACATCAGTACAAGTAACTAATTCTGAAAAATGTTGCATAAAATATGATTTAGAAACAATTTTTATTTAATTTTCCTGCAAAATCCTAATGAATTTCTAAGCTTAACAATTCTTAGTTTAAAGGAGTATTAAAGCTTCGTGTATTAAAGTTTTTAGTATGCAAATTGTCGTATTGATTTTTTGGCTCGCAATTCTTAATGTTTTTGTTGCTTTTACAGTGCAAAGTTCTGCATTTGTTGTGCTGCGTCAGTTTATTTTTCGGTTAGTCAAATGCTACGTATATATCCATAAATCTCTATTGCTCCAGCACTCGGCTTATAAAAGATGCAGCAATCAAATGGGGTGTGTGTGAGTGTGTGTGTGTGTGTTGGGTGGGGGGGAGGTACTTTCAACTCCCTCGGAAATAAGCTTTGGTGATTGTGATAAATGTAGTTCCAGGCAAATGTAATTTTTAAATTCAAGCTCATGTGTTGAGCCAACAATGCAATGCAATACAAATGAGGTCAAATAACGCCCAATAGAATCTAGATACGCACAGCAAGTGAAAGCGAGAGAGAGCGAGAGAGGGCAAGAGAGGCCTGGGCCTTGGTGTTGGTTGGGGCTTCACTTGCTTGAGCAGCTGCTGCTTGCTTCAAGGCTCACCGACTTTTTCGTACATAACAGTGAACATCATTTAATCTGCCCAGGACAGGCAAGTAGGCAAGTACTTGGGCTTTAACCGTAAATGTGTGTGCGTGTGTATGTGTGTGTGTGCGTACCTAACAGCAAACGAATTGCCTCCTTCTGTTTTATCAGGGTTTTGTGTTGTTGCCATGCAAATATTGTGCGACATTCCACTTAACGGTTGTTTTTCCCAAATATGCCCGCTGGCATTTTGAGTGTTCAGCAACCGCTAATTTGATTAAGTCGGCTTTGTATGCAAGTATCAAAGCTCTTTAGGCAACCACCCCTAAACAAAAGAGATGCTGATTTTGAACTGAGTATCAAGTTGAAAATTATAAAACAGACAAATCCATTGACGGACTTAATTTTCTATCAAAATTATTTAAGATTAATGAAAGCTTTAATGAACTACGCTCCATTGGCTTGCTTTTTGTTAGAAATGGTTTAGTTTTACCTTATATGTATGTACACCAGCTGCAGCTGATGCTATTTAAGCATAGCTTTATAATGCCCTCTCGCTCACTCCCGCTGTTTAACATTATACTTTCAATTGCGCACACTCGAGGAGAACACGACCGATCGGCTTGGCAGACGCGCACAGACTAAATCGACGCACCAGGCTTGAGTCTACGCTAAGCCAGCATTCACACTAATACACTCACACCCTAGCTAATATAACTCTCGCGCTCCCACCATGCACAGTGCTCGCAGCACAGCCAATGGCGTGTATCCACTGTTGAACACACACACACAAACAACGTTCGCTCTTTGCATAAAGGTTCTTTCTCCGAGCATAATCATTTTTAGCAAGCCCGTCTCTTCTCTTAACTAATCTTCTTTGCTATTGAGCCATAGGATGTAAGTTTGTTTTGGTATTGTTAAAAATATTCTTCTTCTTTTAGTATTATTTATTATTTTAGAATTGATCAAAAAATGCCAGCTTCTTGTTATCTATTTCTATTTAAGTATATTGTCAAGTACCCACCATGCAAACTTTTATCAACAACTCGATGAAGTACTTTTTTCATGTAACATTTGCGTTGCTTAAATATTTGTTAAATCACTCAACAAATTCTTATCAGAAAGCGAAGGAAAGAGAGAGAGAGAGAAAATAAGCAAAAGTTACGTGAAGAAACTCGTGAAACTTCTGCTGATTAGTTGAAACATTGGATATTGTTGGCAAGTGTTGTTAAGAGAAGTTTTTGTTGTTTTTAAGCCAATTTGTCTGCATTGAAGAGTAATACCAGAATTTAAGCTGCAACAAACTTATCAACAAAGTTATCAAGCAAAAAAAAAAGAGTCCATTCGCAAGGGCGGCAGCCAAACTAAAAGCTGTTGCGCTAGCTGTGACGTCGGCGTCGACGCTGGCATTGCGCCTAGTGCGTAAAGCAGTTTCGGCAAGTTTCAACCAGCTGCAGGCGGCGCAAAATTTTGTTGCTGCCTGTTGAAATATTAATGAGCAGCCCACCAAAACGAAAACGGGACCGAAATGCGTTACCTGAATTGTGAGCTATGTACATACATATGTATATGCTATGCTATGCTGTGTGCTGCAAACAAACAAACGCGTGTGTGTCTACAAATATGTAGATAAATACAATGCATGATTAAATGCGCATATTTAAAGAGCTTCTTGGTGAGCACAAAAAATAAAGATAAAATAAGAACATGAAGAGCAATTGTTTCAGGCTCAACAACATAAGCCTAACTTTGTGCTCGCAACATGCTTAGCAAAAACATTTGTTGCCAAACATTAAAGCATGTTGCAAATATGCACTAGCAACATTTTTCATTCAGCAACGTACGAGGTATAAGCCTTAATTTGTGATCGCAGCATGTTTAGCAACAAATACTTGATGTTGCCAACAAAGCGATTGATATGCATGTTGCAAAACTGTCCTAGGAATAGTTCTCTTAAAGCCATTTCCAGAGCTTAGCTCAAATCGATGCTCTTTATATTCTACGCTCATGGCGGCAACATTTGCTGCTCGAAATTAGTGCTGTTAACAGTTTAACATAAAATGTTGCACACACAGTTAAAATGAATCACACTGTTGCTAACAGTTCAATGTTGCCATCGATTAGCCTGCCAAAGATTTGCGTCCGATGTATAAATTATGCGGCACGCCTTATGTTGCACAGTGTGAGCGTAAATCTGTGCGCTCATTTGGTTTTATGTCTTCGCCAGGAGTCACGTACGCACCAAAAGCTGTGTGGCTGCCACAGAACATATGGACAGCAGTTACTTTAAAGCTATTGAGTGAGAATGGCGGCTGCTCGGCGTTGCGCGGCCTCGCACTCGACGCTGCTCGTCGCTTATAATTGAGAGTTGGGTATCGAAAAGGCTTAATAATAGCAATTAAAGACTGGACAATTAATTGTACACATTGTTAAGTTGCTAAACGGATCGAAGTCTATAATTTCACAGCTGACGAACTACAGCTGGGAGCTATAAAATGCTCAACATTTGACTGGAAATGTCAACAGTTCAATTTGCAAATTAGCCACGTTAACAACAAACATGCAACGTTTCGTATTCACTGTGGCATTGGTCGCCCTGCTGGGCGCTGCTTTGACCAAAGCCTTTGACGAGAAGGCCGCCATGGCCAAGTTCCTGGAGACGGCCGAGCTGTGCAAGGGCGAGGTTGGAGCCTCCGATGCGGATGTGCAGAGCGCCATGAAACATGAACCGGCCGCCACCTACGAGTCGAAATGCCTGCGCGCCTGTGTTATGAAAAAGTTCAATGTGCTGGGCGAGAATGGTAAACTGGACACGGAAGCCGGCCGCGAAAAGGCCAAACAATATACGGGCAATGATCCTGCCAAGCTAAAGCTGGCCCTGGAGATCGGCGACGCCTGTGCGGCCATCAGCGTGCCGGAGGATCACTGCGAGGCAGCCGAGGCCTACAGCATGTGCTTCAAGACGGAGGCCTCCAAGCGTGGTCTGATGTAATTAATTAGCCAAAGGCAGGCAGGAACTATGAAAAACCGAGCAGGACCCCAAGCCACTAGTATTTAGTTTTTACGTACGCCCTTTAGGCTATTCAATTTGTATGAAAAGGTTATTATAAAGCAAATTTCCACAGCAAAATAGATCAAGTCACCTATTTCAATACAGGGTAGCAGCTAGTCGATCAAGTCTGTTTGTTTAGTTCAGATACCCGCTCAGCGCTAACAAAATGCACTTACTTTCGAACTGTTTCTTCACCAAATCCGCCTCCAGCTTGCACATGGCATCGCGCAAATTGAGACGCTCGTCCTCGTCCAGATTGCACAGCAGCTCCATCGCCCGCTCGCTGTTCAGGTGTGTGCTAAACTTGGAGTAGCAACGGCTACTTGCCACCAGACGCTGCTGCAGGCTGTTGATGTATTTGCTGCTGTTGCTGCTGCTGTTGCTGTATGTGGCCAGGCGGGTGAATCTGCGGCTGTTGCAGCTGCCGATGACCGCTGGCAGCTTGGACTGCAAATGGCAATGGCGCACCAAATGCCTAAAGGTGCCGCGACAGTGTGTCATCTTTGTTGTTGTTGTTGTTGTTGTTGTTCGTATTCAATTTGGCAGGCGCGATCAAATTTGTGACGTCACAGAACACTCGCGCAGAGGTGTGGGGCGTTATGCTTTTGATTGTGTGCGTTAGGGTGTGTGCGTGTATACCCGTGTGTATCAATGCGACTCTGTGTACATAAACAAAAACACAAGCTACGCTTTGGCCTCTGCCGTTGCCACGAACCAAAAACAAAACACGACAAACAGCAGCCGCGACCCGCTGACCAGAAAATTTGTTGCGTATGCAACTTCGTTGCCCGTTCGACTGAGACGACGACGACGACGGCAACGGCAACAACGACGACGACGACGACGACGACGACGACGACCCTTAGGGTTCACGATGACGACAGGCTAAAAAGCTTTGGCCAACAACTTCTCTCGCGCTCTCCGCAAAAGTTTCGGCTGGCACTTTTGTGTTTTTTTTTTTTGTTGTGTTTTTTTCTTTTCTTCTATTTTCTTTGCGCTCTGGCGATTCCAGACCTCAACAGCTGTTCGAAACGCTCGCGCACGTTGGATAACGTTTTGCGTTTGTTGGCCACCACACGTTACGATTTAGGCACATTTTAACCACAACATTGCCAATAAATCTTAATACAGTAAATTTTGAAAAAAAAGTATACAATTTTGGTCGGCAATTTATTGAACAAAAATGGGCATGATAGCAACACTGATATTCCGGAAAATTCATTATACCTCGAATTGAAGTTTTTAATTGTGTTGTGGGCATTCCCAAAATTGTATATCGAGTGTATTCTTTTAACAAATAAATATATTAATAATTGTAAAATAAAATCAATTACCCTAAGAGATTACAACAGCCTCTAATTACTTTTGTAATTCTTCCGGGCTGTTAGTAGTTTTTTGCATTCGACCAATCTTTGCTTTGTAAATTAGCTGATTTTATTATTTATTTATTTCTTTAGGGAACATTTGTTATCGATATGTTTTAGAGAAGCACATCGCATGTAAAGTGTTACAAATCGAACGACTCGTCGTATCGTGCGTTGCACTGTTTTGGTATTACTTGAAGAAAAAACAAAATGGTCACCTTAAAAATACGCGCTAAAAAATACCAGCGCAAAAATTAAACCAATGAACGTTACGAATGCGACCCTGGTTAGAATATAGTTTGTAAACATGGCCGAAATTTAATTTGAGTGTTTTGTTTATATTAGTTTTATTTTCTTGTTTTGCGAGTGTGTGTGTGTGTGTGTGTGCTTACAACTAATTGGCAAAAATCTTAAGAACAGATTGCGAGCCTAGTCAGCAGCAAAAGGAATTGGCATATAGGACACATGATAATTATAAACATTACTATGTGCAATCGTTGGCGCGCTGTCCGGGAATGCCGCGCAGCTCTTGATTGAGAGTGCGCAGCAATGGATGCTTGCCGCAGCCGCAGCGACCACGGAAATCATCCAAATCCAGGGCCCAGACCATGCCGCCGCCCAGACGCAGGCCGCGCACAAATTGCGCCTTGCGTCGTATGTCCGCCACATCGTCGTAGGATACCCATTGATTGCCGCTGTATGCGAAGGGTCCAATGCGACCCTCCTCGTCGCGCACCACCGTCCAGCCGCCAGCGCTGACCTTCTCGCAAATTTCATAGTATGCCAAAAAGCCACCGGCGCGTGTATAGGTGCCCGCCTGGCCAGGTCCAATGGATTTGTCGTTAATGGATCGTGCGTTCTGATCGGCCAGCGTGAAGGACTGGCCGTACAGGGGCATGCCCATGATCAGCTTGCTGGGCGGTGTGCCCTGATCCAACCAATAGTGTATGCTATAGTTGCCATTGAAGTAGGGATTCGTATCGCCTTCCACATAATACAGGGGCGCCACATGGCCGGTCTGCTTGTCCCAGTGGCCGTGGAAATCGTAGGTCATCACGGCTATCCAGTCGAAGTAGCGTGCCAGCTGCGGCACATCGTAGCCCGCATCGATGACGGTTTTGCTGGGTGAGACGGCGGCGGAGAGCAGCAATCCGCGTGGCCGGAATGCATCCGATAATTCTCGCACAAGTGCCGCAAATCCTTGCTTCTCCGCTGGCGAGCCCTTGGCACAGTCCACCTGCCAGCACACCGGATACTCCCAGTCCAGATCCAAGCCCTCAAAGCCATATTTCTCAACAAACACCAAAATGCTCTCGATGAAGCGCGCCCGTGCCTGCGGATCGAGCACCAGGCGCGCATATTTGCTGCCCAACGAATCATTCCAGCCTCCAATTGCGACTGTTACACGCAAGCCCTTCTTCTTGTACTCTACAACGCGCTCGTAGAAGCGATTGTCGATGTCTGCCCAGGAATCGTGCGTCTTGATGGTCAGCGTGTTGCTGTTGAGCACCGCAAAGCCGTAGACAATGTGTGTGCAGAGATTCTCGTCGATATCCTCGGGCACATATTTGCCTTGGCCGGGCCGATACCACGCCCAGTTCGTAAAGTAGCAGACGACCTTGTAGTTCTCGTTGCTGCCCAGCGGTGGAGCTGGTGTTGGTTTCGGGCGCGCTATGGGCTTCTTATTGGGTGGTGTGAAGGGTTTCTTTGTGGGCTTTGTGGCGGATACGCTGCTCTCCGTGGTGCTGGTTGGCTTCGGCCGATGCACCACCGGCGGCTGGGTGGTCTGGTCCGCGCGAACCGTACAATGCGCATTGTTTGGCCAGTCGCAGTAGTTCTCGTTCCAGTGTAGACCAGCGGGGCAGCTGAAAGAGATGAGACACGATTTTAGTTAAGGAATTTTAATCAAGTTCAATTTTCGACTAACCGTTGCTCAATAAATTCGCCGTATTGGCATATGTAGTACTTGTTGCAGTCACGCTCGTGCGACGCATAGTTGCGTCCAGCGCAGTCCAGTGGCTGACTCGGATCAGGCCTAGATGAGGTTGCAACTATGCTAGCCGGAGTCACGGTGTTAACGGTGGGTCTTGGTGATTCTATGGTGCCCTTGTCGCCAGCAACTGCAATCGGACATTTTATTTAGATCTCAGTTTTACTTTCCTTCCACTTACCCATGGTCTTTTCGCTCTGCTCCAGCGTGCATCTGGGATGCGGTCCCGGATAGCCACGGAGCACGCGATTAATTGTCTTGAGCAGCGGATACGACTCGCAGCCGCAATCATTTTTGAAATCATCCAAGTCCAGAGCCCATATCATTGCGCCGCCCAAGCCCATGGCGCGCACATATTCGCTCTTGTGTCGGATCATTGGCGCATCGTCAAAGGAGACCCATTGATCCCGCGAGAAGGCGTAGGGGCCCATGCGACCACGTGCATCGCGCACTACATTCCAGCCGCGACGTTGAATGTAGGAGCAGATCTCATAGTAGGCTAGGAAACCTCTGGCGCGCGTAGCCTCGCCCGCCTCGCCGCCGCCGTAAGTGGGCGCATTCAGCTGATGATCGCTGGCCTGGGCCAGTGAGAAGGATTGACCGTACATGGGCATGCCCATGATAAGTTTCTTACGCTCGGCTCCACTTTCCAGCCAATAGTTTATGGAGAAGTTGGCGTTGAAGGTCGCCGTGCCTTCGGGGTGATCGTACATGGGTGCCACATGACCCGTATGCTTGTCCCACTGACCATGGTAATCGTAGGCCATCACCGCAATCCAATCAAAGTAGCGTGAAAGTTCAGGGACATTGTAGCCGGCGTCGACGACCTTCTTGTTGGGCGAAACGGCAGCGGAGAGTAGTAGTCCCTTTGGCTTAAATGCCTGCGAGAGTTCACGCACCAGATCTGTGAATCCTTGCTTCTCGTCGGCAGTGCCCTTCTTGCAGTCCACCTGCCAGCACACCGGATACTCCCAGTCCAGGTCTAGACCATCGAAACCGTACTGCTCGATAAAGTCCAACACGTGGCGTATGAATCTTGCACGTGCCGCAGCGCTTCTTACCAAACGCGCGTACTTGTCACCCGCCGAATCGTTCCAACCGCCTATGGCTACGGTTATCTTCACACCCTTTTTCCTGTAGCCCACCACGCGCTCATAGAACTTGTTGTCCAAATCCGCCCAGGAGTCATGTGGTTGTATTGTAAGCTTATCACGATTTAGCACGGCAAAGCCGTAGACTATGTGCGTGCATAGCTCGGCATCGATATCCTCGGGCAGATACTTGCCCCCACCCTGACGATACCACGCCCAGTTGGTGAAATAGCATACCACCTTGTAGTCGTTGCCGGTTTCAGAGCCGGAACCAGCTACGGGATAACCGGCTTCCATTTCAAAATCAATCTCTTCGACTTCGTTTTCTTGTGAAGATTCTGGTTCGTTGTTGCCTTCTCCCTCCTCATTGTTGCCTGTCTCTTGTGGAGTAGAATATTCCGGCTCCGGGTGCTGCATTACAGCCACCTCTTCTTGCTCCTCACCGCCTTCGCCTTCACCTTCTTCGGACTCGCTGCTTCCTTGGCCAGTTGATCCCGTTGAAGATTGCCCGGCTTCGCTTTCTACAGATGCTGTTCCAGCCTCCCCCGAAATGGCTTGCTCTTCCACTGATTCCACTTCCGCCGGGGTTAGGCCAGCTGTGCAGATTAACAGACAGCATATAATTTAAGCATTCTTGTAAAAGTCTTTAGAGACTTACGCGTCGGCTCATAACCGCTTGGCGGATCCTTGAGCACAGCATGAATCTCACGCAGCAATGGATGCACGCCATCGCCGCATCGATTCCGGAAATCATCAAGATCCAAAGCCCAGACCATGCCACCGCCCAGATTCAGGGCTCGCACCAATTGTGATTTCTTGCGGATCATTGCGGGATCATCATAGGATACCCATTGGGTACCCTTCCGGGCATACGGACCCATGCGACCACGTTCATCTTGAACTACTTCCCAGCCCTGATGCTTGACGCGCTCGCAGATCTGTTGAAGTGCAAATAGTGGTAGCTACTGTTCAAGTAAGAAAAGTTTTCCGCGAAGACCCACCTCATAATAGGCCAAGAAGCCTGCAGCTTTGGTGAACTCGCCCGCCTGACCAGGTCCTGGGGCCTTGGCATTCAGTCCATTGTTGTTGGCATTCTCCAACGTAAAAGATTGACCATATAGCGGCATGCCCATCACAATCTTGCGAGAAGGAGCACCTTGCTCAATCCAATAATTGAGTGAGAAGTTCTGCAAGGAAAAGGGCTCTGATTAGATTCATGAAATACAGATGTCGAAAATGATTTACCGCATTGAAGTAATCGAAATCATCATCGGGATGATGATACAAAGGCGCCACATGACCTGTCTTCTTGTCCCACTGTCCATGGAAGTCGTAGGTCATGACAGCAATCCAGTCGAAATAGCGGGCTAACAATGGTACATCATAGCCTGCATCAATGATCTTCTTGCTGGGTGAGACTGCAGTTGATAGCAACAGACCGCGTGGCTTGAATGCCTCCGATAGTTCCTTTACCCAGGCAGTAAATCCTTCCTTTTCATCGGCGAAGCCCTTGTTGCACTCGGTTTGCCAGCACACCGGATACTCCCAGTCCAGATCGAGACCCTCAAATCCGTATTTCTCAATAAAGTCCAGAGCGTGACGTATGAATTTGGCACGAGCCGCTGCGTTGCGCACCAGTCGACTATATTTGTCGCCCTGGGAGTCGTTCCAGCCGCCCAGGGCCAGACTGACTTTGACGCCCTTGCTCTTCAACCCACTGACGCGCGTATAGAAATTGTTATCAATGTCCGCCCAAGAGTCGTGGGTGCGTAGCGTTAGCTCTGTGTAATCCAAAACTGCAAAGCCGTAGACCACATGGGTGCACAGATCCGTGTTAATGTCGTCGGGTGTGTAGCGACCCAGGCCCTTGCGATACCAGGCCCAGTTGGTGAAATAACATACAACCTTGTAGTAGCCATCCAGTGGCTGGAGCTGTGGCTTGTCTGTGGGGTAAGTGGGTCTGGGCGTCGTCGAGGGTCGCTGCGTGGTGGGCACGGGCTTGGCTGCAGCCGGGGGCTTAGGCTTTGAGCTGCCAGAGCTGCCGGAGCTGCCGGAGCTGGCCGAGCCACCCGCATCCTCTTTGCACTGCGCAGCGAGTGGCCAATCGCAGTTGCCCAGCGCTTCATTATAGTGCAAGCCCGGCGGACAGTCAGCTGCCTGCAGGCGATTCCACAGACAGAACAAATACTTGGAGCAGTCGCCGGGATATGGCACACGTTCTTCGCCATTGCAGGGATCCTCCTCGCTTGCCTTGGACTGGACAATGCGCAGATATTTCTTGCTGGTGACACACTGCACATTCTGCGGCCAATCGCATATCTTCCGGATGCCATCCCAGTGCAGCTCGCCGCCACATTCGCTCGGCACAAGCGCTCCATTTACGCAGATGTAGTACTTGCCACAGTTCCGGTGCGTGTAGTATTCACCCTCGTTGCAGCGCGATGAGGTGGGCGGTCTAGGACGTCGCGTGGTGCGATGTGGTTTCTTGGTGCTGCTTCCGGGCAGCGGTTGCTGAATGGGTTTCTGTGTGGGCTTGCGACTGGGCTTGGCTGATGTCGTCGTCGTTCTCCTCGGTTTCTTGCTGGTGCTGGTGCTGGTGCTGGTTCTCGTGCTCGTGGTGGTGATGGGTCGTTGGGTGGTGCTTCTGGTGCTGGTGGGTAAACTGCTGCTCGTGCTCGTCTGCTGCTTCTTCACCGAACACTGCGCGGAGGCGGGCCAATCACAGCTTTTGACCTCGCTGTTCCAGTGCAGGCCGCCGGGGCAGAATTGCTGACGCAGTTCACCCGGTACAATGCAGTGGTAATACGCGTTACAATTCTTTGTATCTGGATAGAATTCGCCAGCCTCACAGTTAGAAGGCTGAACCACTGGATAAACCAGTGCTGGGACTGGTAAGGTGGTGTGAGCCGGACGAGCGGTTGTCTGCGTGGGCTTAGGCTTGGGTTTCGCAGGACGTTTCGTTGTTGTTGCGGCTGTGCTGGTCCACCAGGCGGGAGTGGTAGTTTTGGTGGTGCTGGTCCACCAGGCGGGCGTGGTGCTGCTGGTGGTGGGCCTTCGGGTTGTTGTGCTGGTGCTAGTGCTGGGTCTACGGGTTGTGCTGGTTTGATCCCAGGTGGGCCAGGATGTTGTGTGATCACTGTGACTGCCGCCCGATGAGCCATCGCTGCTTATGGTGGTCATTTGCGGTGGTACTGGCGTAATCGGCTGTGGTGGACGCTCGCAGTTGTTGCGCGTAGGCGGCTCAGTATTAAGACGACCCAAGGCCCGATTGACAGCCTTGAGCAGCGGAAAGGATTCGCTGCAGCAACGATTCTGATAGTCATCCAGATCCACGGTCCATGCGGCGATGCCACCAAAATCATTGTTGGCCGCATAGCGCGCCTTGGCCTCCACACTGGCCGCATCCTCATAGCCCACCCACTGATCCCGCAGCATGGCATAGGGTCCCGACTTGCGATCCACGTCTCGGCCCGTCTGCCACTTCTGCTTGCGTATGCGCTGACAGATCTCATAGTAGGCCAACATGCCGGGCTGTTTGGTAAGCTCACCGGCCTCGCCGGGACCGCTGGCGGCAACACCCTCGCCCACCAGACGCTGACTGCTCTGCTCGAGCGTAAAGCTTTGGCCATAGAAGGGTATGCTCATGATCAGCTTTTCGCGACGGGCGCCCATTTTCACCAGCAGCTGCATGGTGAAGTCTGTGTTATACTGCGGATACTTGTCCTGCGGCCGACCATAGAGCGGACTCACGTGCCCAGTTTGGCGCTCCCAGGCGCCGTGATAGTCATAGCTCATCACAGTCATATAGTCGACGATGTCGGAGAGTGCAGCTAGCTCGTAGGCCTCGCTGATGATCTCCTTGTAGCCGGAAATGGCTACGCCTATTTGCATCTTGGGATTTACGCGGTTTAGCTCTGAGCGCACTTCACGCAGCAGCTTGGTCAGGTTGGGCCTGTCGCTGGCCGGTCCCTTGGAGCAATCGCTTTGCCAGCACTTGGGATAGTTCCAGTCCAAGTGAATGCCACTGAAACCATGCCGCTGCAGGAAACCCGCGGCACTGGACGCGAACACCTTGCGCTTAATCTCATCGCTGACCAGGCGGGAATACTTGTCGCCACTGGAATCCGTCCAGCCGCCCATGGCAATGAGCACGGGCACGCCCAGGGCAACCACGCGCTTGTAGTACTGATTCTCAATATCGACCCAGGGATCGAATTCACGCATGGTCAAGTGATCCGGATCGAGAGAGGCAAAGGAATAGACAATCGCTGAGCATAGCTTCGGATCCAGTTGCTCGGGCACAAAATGACCATCCGCCTTGCGATAGAACGCCCAGTTGGACATATAGCAGAGCACCTTGGGAGCCATATTGTAGTTCTTCTTGTCCGTCGTCGCTTTCGCCTGCGATAGCGCACCGTAGGCGACGCCATTTTCCGAGAGATCTGCTAGGGCTAGAGCACCATAGAACTGCTGCTCCGTAAAGCTGTCCAGCTCATCGATGTGCTCCAGTTGCTCCAGATCCACAGACTTCAGCAGCTGCTGATGCGGCGAGCCGGAGCGATAGGGCTGCGGCTGATAATTATCATTTGCGCTGGGTGCAATGAAGGCGGCATATTTGTCGGACACCGTCCAGGGATCTGGTTGCACCAGCGTGTGGGTGAGCTTTTCCTGTTGCATCTCCTCCGGCACATCGCGCACAAAGCTGGCTGGCGCTCCAAACTGCTCTGGCTCGTCGTCCTCATCGTAATCGCTGGGCTGTGCCTCCACGGAATCCCGCACAAAGGATCGCAACGGCGACGATTCACGCAGTTGCGCAACGTTTCGTTCATTTATGCTGGGCACGCTTTCCACGGCGCTGCGCAACGGTAGAAATGTCTCACCAAATGTGGGTCGTATGCTGAAGCGACTCAGTGCACCAGGCTCATCCTCCAGCGGCATGCTCTCCACCGCGGCACGAACAAACGCCGGCTTGTAGCTGGGCGCCACATGCACCTCGGGTGCCTCGATGCGAATGTGGCCCGTCGCCGCCGTTGTCCACAGGCATAACAACTGTGCGAAATTCAATGAATTCATATTTAATGTAGCATAACCAGAGAAACTTTGTTATATTCAGCATGCCGAATATAAAATACCCTAACAGATACACTTCTATATTTTCTAAGTCAATCATTTCCAATGGATAGCATCTATATAGGAATGCGCAGTTAATAATATCAGCTGCTAATGCTGATTAAGTATATGAATACTTTATTTGGGTGGATATATCTCCTTCAATTCGATGCTATTTCTATACTCTGCTAATCTATATATACATTTCGATGTGGCAAACAAAAGTTGAATCTATACATTTTTCACATATTCCGCTAGCGCGAATGAATTTTGTAAAGCTAGCAAAGATATTCAGCTAAAAATTAAAGTCATAATGATTGATGATGATTATGATGTCAATCATGATTATGATTGATTGAGACTTACCAGCAGCCTGCATGGCGTAGCTCTTCTACGCATTATATAGTCTCTCCTTTGTTGCTCTTCCTAAGCTTCTATTTAAGCTTTTCCTCAACTGCAAAAAAACCATTTAAAATAATAATTAATAAAGCTTGAAATGCAAGCACTTTTCAAATTTGAATCAGTGTGGCCAGACCTTGGCTGATTCTTGATGTATTTATTGATTAGAAGCATGAATGTACCGTAATTTTTATTGAAAATTTAATTTCTTTCTATGTTATTTTGATTATTTTATATAGCTATTTATTATTATATTTATTATTGTGTTTAATTAATATATAAACTTGAAATGCAAATGCACTGTTAAAATATTAATCAGTGTGCCCAGACTTTAGCTGATTGTTGATGCATTCTTGAGCATGAGGCATGAATGTACCGTGAGTTTCCCCGAAAATATAATTATCATTTTTATTTTCGCTTGCATTTAAACATATTTCCCATTAAATCGGCCGTACAAATGATTTATTAAGGCAGACGCACGCATTATCGCGTCAGCGTTGTCCTCTCATATTACGTGCGGCTATGCGTCGCCCATTTTAATGAGATTGGGTGGAGGCTTCGTTCTTTTTTTTTTTTTTTTTTTTTGGCTAACAAATTGGGAAGTAATTGTTTATTTTTCAATGTTTTGCGCCCGGAACTTATTGAAATGCCTATTGATTGTAAGTGATAAATGTCTACAGATATATATATATATATATATATATATATATGTATATATTTATTTATTTTAATATGCCCGCTGTAACCTGACCTAGGCTCCGAGCACACGAAATGTCATATATGTATATATGTAGCATGTGTTTCAGCTCTGAGTTCCTGAAACTGGCTTACTTTCCCACAGTTATTTGAAAATTGTTATAAATTGAAACCAAAAGATAAGGAACTTGTTTTGTTCGATGCATCATTTAATTGCCAAAAACGAAATGTTTAATTAATTTCATAAATCGCTCTGTTCAGTTGACATTAAGTTCAAGTGTTTGAATTTGCCGCTGGGTTATAAATTGATTTGTGGCTTTGATATTGACGTACGAAATTTTATCTGATTCTAAAAGCTTTGCTATCTTCATATATACGCTTTCAAGTTGAGTTGGAGCGAAAATGTTGTAAACTAGCGTAATTGATATTGAAATCCTCACACAAAGAAACTGGCCTCAAGGGGAATTTACGGTCTATATAGTATTTGATTCGTTTATCTTTGTCAGTTTTATGTTTCAATATTTACACTCATAGCTTTTAGATAATTAACCGCCTTTCCCTGTCTCTCTCGATCCCGCTTCGGCTCATTTAAATTGGTTCTCTATTGCTAACATTATTGTTTTTGGCTAATATGCAAATCCGTTTTCAGAATTGGGTTAAGAGCTTTTCGCTGTTGACCGGTTTTTTTTTTTTTTTATTCTTCATATTTTTTTGCTATTGATTTTATTCCTGTTCTCTGAATGCTGGCGGCAAATAAACGATAACGAAAAGACGCGTAATATGGATTGTATTAGGTATGGTAATCAAAAGAAATGTAACCTGCGGGTGCTTTGTGAAAAGATGTTGGGCAAGTTTTGCGATTAAATTTTGTTTAAGCTGACCGCCGCCACAGAGCCGGGCAGGTTTTCATTTGCGTGAGGGTTCATTGAACGCCAAGAACCCAAACTGATCCTGTCTGCATGCCTAAGATGTGGCAAAACGGGAGATTGTGCAACAGAGAAAGGCCGCAACTTTGAAGCAATTTGGCTGCGTGTTGCTTTCAGCTTGTATATATATATTTAAATATACTTCGATTTTTTGCAAAAATAAATCTGCATCAGAATCAGCAGAACAAAAGACCTGTGCCATATAAAATGCTTGGCCATTTTATGTTCGACTATTAAAAAGCCATAAGACTGGTCGCAGCACAACACACTGACAAAAATTTTCTATGCACTTCACGTACACAGACAAAAATTCCACTTTATATGCATTTCGATGTCCATTTACTGTTGGAACAACAAACGACACAATTAAACACACACCACAAATGTTTATATAGAAAGTGTCTGCGTTCTCCGGCACATTTCTCACTTCTCCTGACTCATTATTCACTCACTTACTCAACGGCCTATCCAAAATGGGGTGTGGGTATATTCCGAGGGAGCCAACGGTATTTCTTTTTTTTCTTTTTTTTTTTTTGCTGCTGCGAGAACCTCTGCGCATGCGCGCCCGAAACGAAACTGTTGGCCATCGCACTGAGGACGCTCCTATTTATACGCATGCGTAGCGTGCGGCAAAAATGCAAAAAAAAAAAAAAAAAAAACAGAACGCCCACAGCAACGTTCTCCAATGTTAAGGTAACAGGAAAGGAAAGTTTGCTGCAAATCGTCGCACTGCAAATACTCTTTCAAAGGATAAAAAATGAACAGATCAGAAATTTAAGGCAGCATATTCTCATATTTTGTTGTTTAAATTTACATAAATCTTAATATATTTTTACTCAAAATAGTTTAATTAGCCAATATATTTTCTAATATGCACAATATGTACTTATACAATTTTTACATTTTCCAGGAATTTTAGAATTTACAGGAACATTTAGAAAAATTTATATATTTAAAAAAAAAAAAGACAATACGGTCTTCGAATATTTTTGGTAAGCGTATTTTCATAATCTTGTTTTATATATCTATATATATATATATATTGATTGATTTCACATTATATTTTTGATATATACAATATATACAAATATACAATATTCTGAATGAACGACCCTTTACTTAACATAAATGCTCTATAATGTCAAACTCTTTGACATAATTGTAATAGCTTCCCAGTTGGCAAAGCCGAGAAGACATATAATTTATGCGTACAAAAAAATCAAAACAAAAGCGTTAAGTTTCTTTCGTGTCTTCTTTTTTTTTTTTTTTTTTGATGGTTTGCGTGTAAAATCTCTGCGCGAATATGGAAATAAAAACAAAAAATCCGAAAACCGGCAAATGGTGTACACAATACGGCCAAGCTACTGGAGAAGCTACCGATGTCAATGTCCAACAGAAACTGGTCCAGTTCTTCTGCTTCATCTGTCATGCAAAATCAACGGACGTAATTAATAAACGTATAGCTTGTCTATTGGTTACTTCGTTTGCATATTTCTGTGAGCATAGTATTAAGTGGCAACGTATGATAAATGGGCTGGACTTTCTCTTAGACAGAATGTGCTATTACAAAGAATTTCACGTCAATAACTCAGTCAATAACCTATCGATGATGACTCTTTTATGCTAATTTTGATTAATATATATTAAATATAATTATAGGTATTTTTTGGTAATTTGCAAATCTAATAAGGCATATTAATTTCATTTAATAATCTATTGAACTGGAATATAGTCCAGGTTACGTTCTTTTTATTTATTAATATATATGAAAATGTAGAGCTATCCAAAATACATTTTATGGTGGGAGGGCGAATCATTTAATTTTTTGTAGGATTTTGTAGGCATTCGCCATCCAAAAGGGTCGGATTTTGCGAAAGGTGTGCAAAATCCTTCAAATTAATTCAAGCAAAGTTCTTTGAAAATCAATTTGCAGCCGTTTCGTTTCTTTTCCATTTTTCCATCCTTGTGCATGAAATTTCCAAAGTTTTAATAACATAAGGTAAAAAGAGACAACATTTTAGCCTAATAACTACTTGCAGCTCGGGTTGCGTGTTTATCACCAATCAGTCAGTTATATATATAGAGACATATATGAACATCTCTACTTACATTTTTGAAAATTGCATATTGGGACATTATTTTAACGTTAATTTCAGATGTGCATTATATATATCACATACACACGTGCAGACGTTCATATATATGTATATATACATGTACACTTAGTCATTTTATCTAAGGGCTGTCTTATTAGTTTGTTCGGTTGTTATGCATTTGAAAAACCGTTATTTAAAGCACCGGTTTTGAAATGTACTAAAATTGGGCAAACGCGTGTCGCGTGCTGCTATCGTTTAGCCGCCACACTGTTATCGCACAACATTGTATCGATAGCTGTGGGGCAACCTGTATGCAGCTGCTACCCTTACTGCTGCTGGTAAACAAATAATTGTTGTAAAGTAATATATATAGAAAAGTGGCGTCCCGGAACAAAGCATATTAACGGCAGATGCCAGGCAGGTGAAAACAAACAGGTTGCGTAGCGCAGAGTAACACGAGCAGCCGCGACGGATATTGCAGCTGTTTATTTATAGTACCATAGCAACAACAACAACAACAACAACAACAAAAACAGCAACACGAAACCCAACAACAAGCCATCTCCTACCCCAACCCAAGGCAACCTAACCCGACCAACGAGTAGTTGTGAGTAGGCGTCGTAATTGGCCGCGGCCGCAAGTGCAAGGATACACGATTTACAGTTGCCGTAGCGAGCCCATCGCATAGTCCCGTCAAAGTCAAGGTGAGCAGCGAGCGAAGCGGCCGCGTGACGTCTCCATTTGACATTTGCGTGTGTTATGAAATTACGTTTATTGACGGCCAATTGAAGCCACAAAAACTTGATTGTGAAATTGATTTAAACTTATCAGATTTTAGAAACAAATATGGAGCCAAACGTAACTGCAGTCAACGTAGCTGCGGCTCCAGCTGCAGTGACGGCGGCGGCAACGGCGCCAAATACCAAACGCGGCACGCAACAAGGACGCAAAAAGTCTGGACCCAAATTTGAGCTAACCGAGGCACAGAAATCGGATATTAAGGAGGCGTTTGATTTATTTGACAACGAGTGTACCGGCTACATTGAGGTCAAGGAGCTGAAGGTGGCCATACGCGCCTTGGGTTTCGAGCCCAAAAAGGAGGAAATCAAACGGATGATAGCAGAAATCGATAAGGATGGCAGCGGTCGCATTGCGTTCAATGACTTTCTACATCTGATGACCATGAAAATGGCCGAAAAGGATACCAAAGAGGAGATTTTGAAAGCGTTTCGCTTGTTCGATGACGACGAAACGGGCAAGATCTCATTTAAAAATCTGAAACGAGTCGCTCGTGAACTCGGCGAAACCCTAACGGACGAGGAGTTGCGGGAAATGATCGATGAGGCCGATCTGGACAACGATGGCGAAGTCAATCAGGAGGAGTTTCTGCGTATTATGAAGAAGACCAGCTTGTATTAATCACATTTTCATTAAATTCAAATTGAATTCATAGTCATAAGCTGCATAAGTGAAAGTATTAATTTTTAAGTTGAATTTAAGCTTTTGTGTAGCTAATTTATTGCCCAATTCTGCTTCATTTGCTCAACGGCAACTTATTGAATGTGGGCTGCTTTTTGTATAAGTCCCATGTGTGTTCCTTTCTCTGAATGTACAAGACAAGCAAATGCACCGCCTGTATTTTTGCACAATATAATCTCAATGATGAATAAAACATCAGCTAGTTAACGTTGTCAATAATTATTGTTGTTTTAACTGACTTATAACTATCGAAAACTAGACTAGTAGAGGTCTTAATTGCCTTTCCACACACAATAAGGGTTACTTGTTTACATTCGTTTCTACGGTTACATATAAAAACATTGCTACTTAAACAATCCAATTTGTTACCGTTTAACATAGTTATATTTATAATATTTACCAGTTTGTTGAAGCCTCATTTCCTCAAGACGCCGTATCGTTCTTTGCTCAAGCCGCTGTCTCCTTCATTTAAAGCCGACGACTTCTGTATAGTTGAGGCCAAAGCTACCTTTTTTGCTCAAACAGTCTTTTCCTCCATAGTTAAAACAGCCGCCTCCTCCTTTGCTTAAGCAATCTCCTCCTGCGTAGTGGCAGCCGTTCCCTTCTTTGCTCAGGCCGCCGCCTTCTTTATAGTCGAGGCTGCCGCCTTCTTTGCTCAAGCCTCTTTCTACATAGTTGAAGCCGTCTTCTCCTGTGTTCAAGGCGCCGTCTCCTTCTCGGTTCAAGGCGCCGTCTCCGCCACTGCCTAGCTGCCGCCTCCTCCAAAATATAAGACTTACTTGAATTCATGAGAATCGCGTAGGAGGGCATTTGTTAAGAGTACGTAATTTTAGGAATTTCTAGAGCAGCTTGGGGGAAAGTTGGTCTTGCATATAAATATTTAAAATATATGCATGCATATATAAATGCGTCATAATATATACATGCATTCACACATACAAAATCTTATATATACATACATATGTATATTCATACAAACACACATCATTATATGCTAACTACACACACATACGCTGAGATACATAGAGTCATTCTAATAATTCATACATACGTAGATGCATACATACATACATAGGTGCATACCTAGGTACTTACGTTTATGCATAAATACGAACATACATACGTTAATACATATGTACATACATATGTAATTAGATATGTACAAACGAAAGAAGATATATGCGCACATAGATACATACATACATACATACATACATACATACTTACATACATACATACATACATCCATACATGTCCTCTATTGTTGCTTGTAATTCCCAATTGGTTAAACGTTCGGACTGAGGACAAGGCCTTGCAAATCTAGAGTCGACAGCGAGATTCTTGTAATAGCTCAACATACAACCTGTCGATTTTTATATTATTATGTATTATTATTTATTTTATTTTTATTATATTTGCTTTTATTCATGTGAAAATTCTCTAAACATTTTAATACTTTGCAAACCTAAAAAACTAAACAAAAAGGCGGAACACATAAAAAAAACTAAGCACACAATAAACTTAAATTCGTTGTAAACATAATATAGTGTCGGTTGGATATACCTAAGATAAGTACATCTAGGGAACTGGCGATCTAGACGAACGGCGCATTGAAGTAAATCTTGCGTTTGCTCGGCAAGGGTTTGGTGCTCAGGCCTGAGCCCTCGATGAATTTCTCGAAACTGGCCAGATTCTTTTTCATCTGTTTGGCCTTGGCGGGCTCTGGTTTAATGGGCTTCTCCTCCTCCTCCTCCTGCTCCACTTCCTCCATTTGCTGCTCCTCCTGCTCGGGCTGCAGCTGAAACTCTTCGTCCAGATTGTATTCATCCGCCGCCGTAACCAAGCATTCATTGTCGTCCTCACTGATCTCCGCCAGCATGCACTCGCCTGCCGATATCTTCGGCGCCTCGCTGCTTCTGTCATACTCTGCGTCCAGATTATACCAATCGAATTCGGCCTGGAGCGGAAGGCCGCCGCTTGCGTCCGCCAGCTGCAGCAGTGATTTAGATGTGGGCGTTGTGGGCAAGCTTTTGGGCGTGGTGGGCGTGGTTGGTGAACTGGGCAAGCTCATGCGCTTGTTAATCTCGGCCAGTATGTTGGGCACATGCTTGCGCTTGTACTGGGACGGCATGGTCTGTGCATTGGTCGTGCTGGGCGGCAGCTGGAGGCGCAGCGTTTTGGGCGCCATCAGCAGATAATCGGCGGATTGCTTGGGCGCTATGATGGCCGCCACATTTGGTAGCTTTGGTATGTCGGCGAAAATCTCTTCGATTTCCTCAGTCTTGTGCGAGGCGGTCGCCGAGCAGGCATCATCATCCTGTTCCAGTTCCAGTTCCCGTGCCGGTTCTGTTGGCGATTCGGTCGATTCGGGCGCCTTATGCACATCGGCGACAATTTGTACGCTCGTCACGCCCACCTCGGCTATGGAACAGTAGTCCGGCTCGCTGGTCGTTGTCGTTGTCGTTGATACTGCACAATCGCCCTCGTCCTCCAGCTGCTCCTCCAGCTGATGCAGCGACTTTTTGAACTTGAGCAGATTCGCCGGCTTCGGCGGCAGTGCGGGTGGCAATTTCTGTGGCGTCTTTGCGCTGCTGGCATTGGTATCCGCTGACGCGGCCGCCATGTCCACATAGAGATTCGAGGCGCGCTCGGAACCAATCGGCTCGTACTCATTGCTGTAGATGCTCTCGTAGTTAAGGGTATCACCGGGTGCAGCGGGTGCTGCCGCTGCCATTGGATGATAGTGTGAGATCAGTTCGTCGTTTTGTTGTTCCTCCTCATCCTCGTGTCGGGGCACATGCACCATGCTGTTCTTGGTGGAAAAATGCACCCGCTTGCGTCCATTCGCGCCGCTGCGACCGCTCAGCGAGCTGCGTCGCGGCAGATTGGCTGCGGCCTTGGGCGCCAGGGCCGACTTGGGCGTGGTGGGCTCTCGTAATGTCTCCTCCATGGACTGTTGCAGCAGTATTTGATTGACGCATTCCAGCACGGGATTAACGGCGCCCTGGCCATATGGTTTGGACACCGCCGGCGCTGTGCTCAGCTCCTCCTGGTCCGAGGCGCTGGCATACCAATCGTCTGTGGTCGTCTCATAGATTTGTTTGGGTGACGCCTCGGAGAAATCCGCACAGCGTCGCTGCACTATTTTGATAGCGCCACGTGACATAAGCTGTTGCTCCTGCTCCGGATCTAGTTCATCGAAATCCTCATCATCCTGCGTGGGCGAAAAGATGCCATCGTCCTCCTCCAACTGTGCGGCCACCGAGGAGGCCGTCTTGCTGCTGCGACTGGAGGCGGAACTGTTGCGCCTTCGTTGCTGCTGCTGCTGCTGCTGCTCCAGCTCCAGGCTGCTGTGCTCGGAATAGTCGCCATCCTGGAGCGTTGCTTTCACGCCGTGCATACGTTCCATGGCTCTGGCATAATTATGCAGCTGCTCGTAGCTGGTTTGCGAGTCCTCACGACTGATGCTGCTCGTATTCTCCTCCGACTGCTGCTCCAGTGCCGCATCATCAATGTGCATCGCCCGGGAGCGCATGTAATCCCTAAACGTGCCCGCCGTTCGTTTGCTCGTGTAGCGCACACTGCGCCTGGCGCCATAAAACGACGATGAGACAGTGTCATCGCTGGAAGAGCCGTGCTCAGCTGCATTGGAGAGAATGGTAGCGAGAGCGAGAGAAGAAAAATTAATATGCTATGAAACAAGGACTAAGGATTGTTTAGATATGGGAGCGTGAAAGGGCTCACTACACGAAACTCACGTATCGCTGTGAACAGAGTTGCCTTAGTTCCGAAATAAATTTAATAAATGCATTACAGGGCTATAAACCCCAGAAAATGGTCGGTGGTTCGAACTTATTTAGTCGGTTTGCAAAATTGGATTTCCTCATTCGTCGATTATTTGATTAATACATAGATAAAGTTTTCTGTGCAAAAAGGTTCTTGGCAATCCTAGCTTGTTACTGACAAGAATCCTCATTAAATTGTGCAAAAATGTTATATATACTAATATTTTTTTTTTTGTCTCTTGGGTATTCACTTTTTCTCACTTTTCGCTCCCATCTCAATAATTCGAATATTTTGCATAACTCACCTTTGGCGCTGACGCCCAGTTCCTTGCCACAGGTCTGTGTGCCGCAGGCTCTCAGCTCAATGTCATAGAATTGCTTGCGGCAATTGTTGCATTGCAAAGCCTCGAGCACTAAGCATTCCTCCACATGCTCCTCCTCGTCGGCATTGGTCTCTTGGTCGGCGACCATGCCCTCATCCCGCTGATGATCAACCAGACGCTTGCGCAGCGCACGATTCTGGCGCAAGAGGCGACAGATTTCGGCATCCCGATCCAGCAGACGCTGATTGACCGTCTTCATGTCATTCTTTAGCTTGGACTCAAAGCAGATCAGGGACTTGACCACACAGGCTAGCTCCTCGGTGCGCCGGCGTTTCTCCTTGGCCAGTTCGCGATGCAGCTGCTTGTTCTGCTGATCGTAGTTGGAGATCATTTGCAAAAGCCGGCGACGCTGTAGGCGATCGGGTGAATTGGCCCCAGTGGCTACTGGCGCACCCGATGAACTGGAGCCGGAGGAGCTGCGTTGCACCTCGCTGCTGCTGCTGCTGCTGTGTGTGTTTCTCGAGGATTGCGAATTGTCTGAGTTCTGCAAGCGAATTCAAATTATTTCAATTAGTTGTCTGTTTAGTAAATTCTACTTTGTAGCCCGAAAAATACCTTGTGGTGGCCCAGCACATGGAAATGTCCCCCGAAAGCCCATTTGCCCACCATTGCTGAGACTTGTGCACTCTGCTTGGACAGCTCTCAATGACAACTGCCGTGGACCCGGGCACAATGCTGATTGATAGTCAAGTGCGACACGTTATCTCACCTGGGTCTTATTCTAATGACGCACACCAACTGCTCTGGTGGTCGCTAAGCGTAGTTATCTACTATAGGACTATGCCCCAAAGGGGAACATGCGCTTTCACAATCAACCTGACTGGGTATTAAAGTTCTTGAGTTGGGAATTGGAAGGTAGCTTCTTGTTTTGGTCTAAGAAGTTTACTAAGTTCTTGCTCTTTCGAAAATATCAGCTTATATTCCTAGAATTTACAAAATGCTCTAAGAAGCATGCTACAACATTTTTTGTGGATTTAGTTCAGAAAATGTAATTCGGAATATTCGCAGAAATAATATTTTGTTCGGGCGCTCAGAAGTATGCTACATATTTTAAACAGATTAAATATTTAAAAAACACATTTCGAGTGATGAAAACTGTAATGTGAAATGTTGACAACTGGAACTTATTAATAGACATTTCATTCACATTTGGTAAAATTTCAAACATTTATATACAAGAATTTAGAAGAAGGTTTCGCAACTATTCTAGTAATGTATAATTACCTACTTTTTGATAGGTTGTATCGTCATTTAACTTTGATTGATCAAAAAAAAAAGTACACCAATTCCCTCATTAACCCATTAATTGTGTATAGCTTTTAAAGGGCATATGCTTGTCCATAATCGAGAAACAGCTCTGGCCACTGGGTCTATCTTATCACAGGGTTTTGGGCTTTTGCAGGCCAAAAATAAACGCGAGACAATGTTGTTAGATTTATGGCATTATTATTTTCGAACGCTCGATACAAATCGGAGTCATCATCCGCCGCCCCCACCGAAGGCCGTTGGCACAGTCAGTCGGCATCTGCGTGCTATTGACCAACTATGGGAATTTTTGCAGCAGCTGTACAACTCTGAAGACGACACGTACTCGCAGATACAGATACATATTATACATATGCGGCATGCGCTATGCGAATAATGTGACAAGCAATGCAATACGCTTGATTTCAACAAAATAATAAAAAAAAAAACAACAAGAAAACAATTAATGCCAAGGCGAATTGGCCAGCTCATTAGCCATTGGCTTATCGCGTTAATTAGAAAGCCAAGAAAGCAATCGGGAACAGTCATCTATCTGAATGTGTAAGCCTCCAAAGAGATAGGCAAAGCAAAGATAAACAACTATTTGCACAGTAATGCACACTCTAAAACTTGAATGCAGATAAAACTAATTTTAAATATAGACATAGAATCTTATATTTTTAGACTAGTCGTAACTAGGTCTATGACTTACATGCTCTGCACTCTGCTTTTGCAGTCTTGCTCCGAATCCGAGTTTCTTGTAGGCAGGCGTATGTCCTGCTGCCTGTGTGTTGAAATGCGAATCCAAACTTGGCTCCGGCAGTTTCTGATAATGCTGCAGCGTGGCTGCGCCCGTCGTCGACTTGGAACGCATTGTCACTTCGCTGTTGTTGTTGTTGTTGTTGTTGTTGGAGCTGGGGGATTTGAGCTGCACGGCCTCATAAAACTCGCCGTCGCCGTGACTGCGATAGCTGCCCTGCAGGCAATTGAAGCTACCCCAATCCGTTTGCAGATTTGTGTAAAGTGCGCTGTTCTCCTTGTCCTTCTCTGTCGGGGACTTGCCACCGCCGCCGCCGCCGGCCTGGCACTTGAGCGTATCGTAACCGTTGAGGAGCTCGCTTCTGATAAACTTTTCAATGAACTGACTGGGAGATTTGGCGCTCAAATTGGCAAAGAATTTTCCGCCCGTGTCGCTGAGGCTGCTCGTCGATCGCCGATGTGCGGCTGCTGCTTGCTGTGGCTTGTGATTCTTATGGGGCAGGCTGTTGCTCTTCTTCTGGCCACTGTTCTCGTCCGGGGATGTTGTTTGGTCCGTTGTTGTTGTTGCTTGCGGCAGGCCATAGATCTGGGAGCTGCTCAACAGACTGAACATATTGTTGGTCTTGGGGCTAAGGGTTTGCTGCTGGCTATAGCTGGCTTGGTATCAGGCACGGGGCAACGTCAACCTCATGGCTTGGCTCTAAAAAAGCGCTGAAAAGAAATAGAGCAAAGATAAGCTAACTGTTAGAGATGCCAAGCATAGCATAAACTAATTCAATTTCTATGATTTGTATAACTATCTTGCAATTGAAATTCCATTCAATTGATTATTAGTTACATGTGTGTAATAAATAACTCAATTAGTCGCCTATATATAATGTTTCAATTGTTCAATATGTTGTAAGCATTAAATTGTCATAACAATTGGACATGTTTATCGCATTGCTTTTACCCCGAAACAAAAACGTAAGACAGTGCACGGGTTTTATTATTTATATGCAATGCCTCGATTTGAAAGGTCAACTTGATATTGATAACTATAAATATTTATAATCATGTCAATAGCAGGAATCATGTGAATTTTGGAGTGAATTAAGTTTTCGAATTTTTGTCAGTTTGACAACCCGCCGATTATGTTACAAAAACTATCGTAAATTCATATTTTAAGCCATATTTATTTGTGGCAATACACAAGACTCCTGTTTTCGATTTTATAATAAATATCAAATGATTATCTTTTGCAACACGAAAGCTTTTCTTTCCACAACCACACTGACATTTCTGTGCATGTATATGTATTAGTGAGCTTTCGTTATGAAAGCTCTACGAGCTATACATCCATGCTTTGAGCTTGTGAAGCATCTGTGTAGATGTGCGACGTACGTGAACTTAGAAACAGATAAAGGGTCGTGTGGATATAGCTGATAACGCATTAATAGATTAAGGTTTATTATTCTGTTACAATCTGTTGTAATCAATTTCGTTTGCGCTAATAAATGCCAAGTATTAACTATGCTTTTTATTGGTTTAATTTCAATCATTTTCGTGGTAGACATTTCCATACTCTAACTTTTCATAGCAAAAAGTCTGTTATATGTTAAAAGTTCAATTGCTGCTGATTTGATTTCTTATCAATTAATGGTTTTTGCTTTGGTCGTCGTTTGTTGTCGCCACAACATGAATTTATAACAATAGCTCATTTATTTATTAATTTTTGAACAAACAAGCTGAAAATTGTTTCATCGTCTGCGCTTTGTTTGCGCTAGGTGGAAATTTCATGGGTGGGGTTGTCCAAAATTTGGTTTATTGTGTGTTTACTTGATAGATGTGGCATGTAGTTGGCAGCAGGCCCGTCTGGCCTGAGGCTCTATTGTAAACGTAACCTTGAAATCGGTGTTTTGGGTTAATTATGTGGCACCTGTGCGAAGGTTCTTGCTGTAAACTTTTATGGCCCCGATTTATCGATGTTTGTTTACAGACTATAAATGATATTTGATTTGTAACAGGCACTCAAAAGTGTTGCAATATGCGCTTGGATTTTATACAGAGATTTCCCGGTCAAAACAAATGGCCAGGTTAAGTAACTGGCTGTGTTCTTTTTAAACACTTTTTGGCCACCTTTGTTTCTCGTTGCCACTTTTGGCTATGCGTTCCGGTTATGGCAATAAATTTATGAACTGTAAAGAGAGGCAATTAAAAAGCGCCAAGAAAATGCGCAACAAACACAACGCCGACGCCGACGTCGACGTCGACGTCGACGTCAACAGCGACAGCGACGCTGCGCATGCGCAGTCATTGGAGTGGGCAGCGGAGTCGCTTTTCCTTTTGCAGCGCGTGCTTGAAGCCAATTAAGCTCACTGCAATGATCATTACACCTGATCATAATGATAATGCAATGCAAAAGAAATTTAACAAAAAAAGTATATCAAAAAGCATTTCCAAATTAAAAGTATCATAACTAACCATTTGATTATGGTTTTTTGTGTCTAGACGTTATTTTTTTTTTGTTTTATTTCAAATGGCCTGTGAGAAAGTTGGCTGAAAAAGTTTTGTAGCCAGACGAAATTTTTACAAAATCATGCAGCTAATTATAATTTGATGGTTGGTTATTTTTTTGTAAAAACCACACAGATAAGTAAAAAGAGAATTTGTTGCTCTGCAAGTTGCTTTCAGATATTCTTGAATATCCGATGTCATCATAATTTACATAATTTTTCGTATGTGTTCCTTGATGGAAAGTATTTAATACTGAAATTCTGATATGGTCAACTTTAGTTTGTAAATCTCATTAATTTTCTCTTTAAAACCATTTACCAGGGAATCAATTTATCATAAAATAGTATTTAATTTCTTTAATGTTTAGCTGAATGTAATGCAAACGTGTCTCAGATGATTCTGAAAGTCAATTTATCAAATAAATTCACTCTCCCATTTTGAAAAATATTAAAATTTGCAAATTTCCAAATGGTTAGAAATTTAATACAATACATTAATCAGAATTTTTTTACAATCAATTTAATCGCTTGGCCATATAACTTGATTTTCTCAGAAGCACTCTAGAGAAAAAGGTTTTAATTTGCCAATTCTTAAATTGGTTAGCTGAAATCAATATTGTGTATATATAAATATGCTAACAAGCTGCGGCTTACAATAAATTTTCATTTGATACCATTTCAAGCGTAAATTATGCAGAATCCTATCCAGAATCCTATCTCAAGCCGAGATCATTTATTATACACACAAGTTGTTGGTCAGTTTTTGTGCGTCTTGTCAATGGGTAAACATTTATTCACTTCAGGCTCTCAATTATCGCATTTGGAAATCACAATATGACCATAGAATGGCCAATATTGTTAAGGTGGGCCTATCTACTTACAAATAATCATTTGTCTAACTGGAAATGACCATATTTGTGTATACAATATTTATGCCACAATAATCTAGCAATAGATTCAGCATTTGTACGGCTAGATTTATTAGAAATTCGAACATTGACTGACAGGCTGAGGCGATCCAGCTAGCGAGCTAGCCAGCCAACTGGCCAAGAGCCGAGTCTAAACAAATTGTCTTAATTGGCCGAGACGAATGGGTTGGCTGCCTTTTTAGGCTCGAATCGGCAGCCGCCGCCGGCGGCGACGACAAAATGCTTCATGCTCTAATCAAATATTTGGTTGCCAAGGCGGATTTGCTTGGTGACTGGGAAAATCGTAGTTCAGTTGCAAATATTAAAATCTCGTTAATGCCACACAAAGCTGCTGGATTTGCTAAAATAAACAGTGCACGAGCTACGCCCCCAAACGGCTTACTAACAGAAGTGAACACAACTAAGCCCAAACATTTGTTGAAGATTAGCTTTGGTGGGTTTGGTATTCATATGGCAACAGGTACACTGTGCTGGTTGCACTACTACTGGGTGCAGGGTCTTAGTGCACACTGTACAGGTATTTGGCTGTAATCTTCGACCTACCTACAAGCCGGGGCACGGCCCGATTGCATGCAGCTGTGCTGTGCGATAAAAAGTGAAAGGCTAATGGCCAGAGTGTGCAGGACACGGCTTATTGTCACCCTGTGTCATCCATGCGGGACGTGCCAATGCCCGACAGCTTCGTCTAAGCCGCTCCATGGGTGGGGTGAGAGGCCGGGGGCAGGGGCATGCTACAATTTTAAAAACCAAATCGCTCGCCTTGGGTGGCGTCTCACGTAGATATACCAAAAATTTCCATTGCAACATTGAAATTTCATTTGATAAAGGTCGTTTCGTGGTCTCTTTCTGCTTGTTTGGCCACTTTGAAATAAATCAAAAAACGCAAAAATTGAGAGAACAAAGAGACCGAAAGGCGGGCATTGCATAAATATCGGCTACAAAAAGGACCCGAAAACCAAGCCACGATGATAACACGCCAAAGTGCGGACCCGAGCTACCTGAGTTGTAAGTGTGTACAGGGATTCGTGTTTACTTGGAATATATACATATCTAGAGACAGCAGGTATATTTGCCTAGAGCTAGTTTGACACTTTGATGTGTTGGCATTAATTAGTGGCCATTGATTCAGTCAATTGAAATCCTAGTCGAGTCACAAATGTAAATGAGTCGAGCTGGGCTCTAATCAAAGTCAACGATCGCTGTGAGACCCAAATGATACCAAACGAATGAAACATGCCAGCCATAACAAAAGAAAACTCCAAACAAAACTCAATATGCGGGAGACCCATAATGCCAGAAAATAATACAAAAAAAAAAAAAAGAACTTTAAAAAATCCCAACTGAAATGTTCTCGAAATGTTGCAATGAACGAACGGTAAATGCTATGAAAATGGGTCAAGCATAGATGGCAATTAAATTGTCAGCTTTTCAAGACGTTCATCGATCTTTTTTTTTGGAGCTGGCGGACTGCAGGGAAATATGCTAACAAATTGTCGGTGGGTCTGACAGTTGTGACCTGATTTTGGACGGCAAACTGAAAAGAAAACTGAACAAAAACAACATGTCGAGTGACAAAGCTGAAGGAAAATCACTTTTTGTAGACCTTCCATCATCTTGCATAACGGTTTATTGCCCGCCCTCCCCCCCTAGGCGACAACTGAGTTTGGCCGAAAAACACTCGTCGGGAAAACTCATAAAACTCAAGTGTGCAAAAGGTATTGACTGTGCATTACAATACAATAGAGAGAAAAGTTGCTCTGTCGTATCATTTTTTTTTTTTACACTTGACACGTGCAGCGCGCGATACGAATCGATCGGCACAAAACTATTGAGAAACGGACTGACCGACTGACTGACCGACTGACTGACTGATTGACTGACTGATGAGCGTTTGCGAAGTGTGAATGCGTTTGTGACTACCTGTCACAGACAGGTAAATATCATAGACCCGCAAAACCCACGCCGACAAACGCTATTCAAATTACTTTCATTCAAGCCGCGCGCAACTTGTGAATGTTTGCCGCGTGATTGATTAGCCAAGAGAGTTGGGCCTGACGCGTGTTCGTGAGGCGGTACCAATAATTGTTACGATGTCAGACCCATAACTTCGACTTCCGCATTGTCTATTGATTGGTTATCAAACGATGAAAAACATAAGTTTTACAGTAAAAGTTCAAATTGTTTTTCCAAGTATTTTACTTGTTGATGTTTGTATTGTAATATGATTGATATGATATGATAATATAATAATTAGCAAGAATTATTTGGATGCAAATTTCAAATGCAAGCATCTAAATGGGTTAGCTTGAAACTCCATTGTTCTATAATATGAACAGGAATGGAGCTGTCTGTAGGGCAGTAAAAAGTTAATATTCATAAAACGTCTTCGAAGATCTATTTCAGACATCCAATTGCATTACTCTCTATCCCTGTCTCTGTTGTTCCTGTTGGTAACATGACCCTTGACTCCTAACCCAGACCTTATCTTAATTGACTAGGGTTTACTTTACTTCTGAAGAATGCAGCTCTAATCCTCGCTCTAGCTAAGCTAATCTAATCTAATCCTTTGTTCTATCCTACAAGTAAATCCTGTACTAATTCTCATTGTTTACTCGATAAAACTTCAAGTTCTGCATGTTGAGCTGGATGAGATCTTTCACAATATGCTCTCTCCATATCCCTTTGCGTAACTTTCCATCTAGGGAAAAGCATTTAAACGAAAGTTAAATGCACTGTGGCGTTACAAATTTCACCAGTATCGTGTAGTGTAATTTTTATGAGCTGTTAGCTGCACTAAAAACTATTCAAAACCGAAACATGCGATAAAAAACCAACCAACACGCTTGGAAAAGATACAAAATGCAAATCAGTTGCGTACACGGCGGCTAATTTGTTGTTAAGACTACAACGAAAACAATAACAAATGAAAGAGGGTACAATTTCGCTGGCAGCAGTTTTTAATAGCTGGCAAATTAATGATTTTCAAACATGCAAATTAAATTTGGGAATCAAAAACTAAAACACAACACAAAAGAAAACAGTCAGACAGCAAATCAGAGAAAAAATGTCTGCCAAAATATAAAATACGTAAACTTGATCTACAACATTTCTTTTTGTTTTTAATATGTGCGCCGCCTGACCAACTAATTGCTGAATTCTTGGCGAAACATAAAAAAAGTGTGTGTGTTGTTGTTTATTCTCAAAAAGTGTTTTGTAAGAAACGGCATTGAGGTACATTGACCTTTTAATTAAATTAAAGCACAACAAGAACGTTGCGAAAATAGCAACGGGTATTATGCGCATTTTGTTTGGTTCTACCCATTTTCTAATCCAATTAAAAAGCATTGCGGGAACCCTACAAAACAAGCAAACTCGATGTTGGCTAACAAAAAAAAAAAAAAAAACAAATTTAAAAAACGAAACACGTAACAGCAAATCAGAGTACAGCCGACCAGCACGGAAATTGGCAAGTCAGAGACCCACAAATTTTGAGTATATCACAAGAAGTGTAATAGATATATTATGTATTAGATCAAACGAACTACAAGAACCAAATTCGATTATGATGAAAGGTTGTTTATTATTATCACCTTTTGTTGTCGGAGTGTTTTTTATTTGTATGAGATATACAAACGAATTGAATTCGTATTCATTGAAACAATAAAATATCCATTGAAATCTCAAGTATAATATCATTATAAGTTGTCATATTTGTTAACAATTAAGACTTGTCAGAAATTTAATATCTGATATCACATTCTCTGTATATTCTAGAATATTTTACAAAATCTATTAACACATTTATTTAAATAGCTTGGATGATAACAAATCTATACACATCTCCAATTGAAGCCATATTTGTGAGGTTTTCCAGCTATCTAAAATTTCAACAAATTGTTGTTGCAATAAAGAATTTTGTTATATATAAAATGTGATGTCAGAATTTTAGCCATGTTGATTAATATTAATTTTGATAAAACTATTTATGTTTGTTGTCGACTTAAGCTTTAATTGCCAAGTCCATATTTGTTAGGTTTGTATTTAAATAATTTTAGAACATTGAATGCCAATTAACATGTGAATAAATTGAATAAACGTGAATCACTGTCAGCTGCTTATCAAATAATGAAGACTAAAACGTGTAGATAGATTGAGCAACGACCTGAGATCATCTTTGAAGATCTTGTTGGCAGTATAATCGGCGAGCACATTGAACTCGGGCATCAACCCTTGCGTAAGCCGAGAGATTAACCAATTTAAGTGAGAGACACAGACGATGTTGTTGGCCAGAACGATTAGCAAACCGGTTGATGTAACTTTCCATTAACCGGTATTCAAAAATCGGGCCTAGGTTCAAAGTAAATTAACTCAATTTTGAACTATTCAACGTTGAACAGTGCCGCCCCCTTTCTCCTCCGCAGGCGGCGGCCTAAAAACTGTCATTTAAGTCGATCTATGCAATTTTCGCAATTTTGTGAAAATATACATCTAGAGCCGATAAGTCTGCGTGGTTAAATGCGTTGGCAGTTCTTAGTCATATGCTGACAACATTTACTCAATGGTGTCATTTACCCTATGGGGTTTTTATATATACCCTTACGCAGGGTATTATAATTTGATTGTGAAATTTGTAACGCTTAGAGGGAAATTATGACTGTCGGATCGGAGCTCCATATCATTTTGTTGCGAAGGAAACCATCAGAGTTTTTTTTTTTGTTTTGTCCACGTTTTGTCCAAGGTTCAACTCTTTTTATGAAGAACTTTTCCTTTGCCCAGTATTTTTTTTTTTGAGCAAACACAACAACTATTCTCCTTCACCATTCTCTTGCTACTTTTACATATTCCTTTAGGCACAATTTTTTGGCATTTATAATCCACATTTTGACTAGAGTATCTGCTAGTCGAAGTGCCGTTCATTATTATTTGTTTATTGTATTTCCTTATGAATATTTATTGTGAAATATGTGTGTGTTTTCACATGATGATTGCACAAACTGTTGAAACGAACAGCGAGCAATTCAGTTGGGTTATTCAGTCAAGAACTTGTTTGACACTCAATTGACCAAGTGGCGTCCAAGATCCCGTTGGCTGTGGCTAGTCGCTTACCTTCAGACACGAGCTTCCTTGTCCACGCAGAGAATTGCCGTTGAGCTGCAATTAAAAGTGAAAAATAATAAACATTAGCCAAGTCTCGCAGATGTAAGCCAGAAGATGTGCATCCTTTAATGTGGTGCACAGCTAAACAGCTAAAAAACAAACTGCACCAGTTTAGCGCTAACTGTAAATGCAGTTAATTAAAGCCCGCTCTGCGCCGGCTTTAATTAGCATGGTTTAAAGAAAGAAAAAAATGAAAATAACATGACATAGTCAGGTAGACAACAGCCAACTGCAATGTTCTAACCAAACTGCGGGAAACCTTGTGAAAGCGCCCCGGGCTCGGCTTACAGTTCGTAGCACGTCCCCAGTCCCAGCCCCAGGGCGTTGCCTGTAGCGGAAGCCAAGCACTGGCAGACAGCGCGCCAAGTCGACCCTAATTTCCTATTTAAATATTGTCAAAGCCAAGCAACAAGAAATGCAACAAAACAACACACGCACACACACTCAGGTAATCCAATACAGGGCTCCAGCCTGGGTCTTCCGTCTGGCGATGGGGCCTGGTCTTGACAAGTGTTTAGGCAAATACAAATAGAACTTCCTGGCCAGACATGCGTTCTGCTTGAACTGTGCCCTGGAGAGAGACGTGCTGCGTCTTAAACCAGAATTTCATATGCATCAGCAATAGTTGAGGAATTTGAAGATTTTGTAACTAGGTAAACAACAGGTCGAAGCACTGATTGAGGTTCTCAGTAAACGTTTAAACTTCGCTCACAAGTTGTAAATAAACCCTGTGAGTCTGTATAATTGAAAAAGCTATGTCTAGCCTTTTCATAGGCTTATAATTATTACTCGAGTAAATGTTCTGAAATTTGAAGTAGATTTTAAAAGAAACAAACAATGATAAAGGTCGAATATTAATATATGAGAACATGTTACATATAAGAACATGTTAAGCTATCTTGAAAGCCCCAACAAATTTCTGTCTTTTTGAGAGAGCTTCTCTTCGCATGCCAATGAATTTTCGCAGTTACCTCTAAACCAAAAACTTCAATGAAATTGAGTTTAAACAACTTTGAAATTCTTTTGCTGCTCAACAGAAATGGTAAATAACAAAAAAGCTACAATAAGCACTTTCAATCGTTCAGTAATAATACATAATCGGCAACAGCAGAAAAATAAATGCGTTAATAAGTAAATACATAAAATATTTAAACAACAAAAAAGAAGGGCGGCAAAAACTAAAAGGCAACAAAACAAAATCAAATTCAAAGCACATGAGTAAAGTGAAAAAATGCCAAGATATATATAAATATATATATCGGTGTATATAGAGGAAAAGAGAGAGAGAGAGAGAAAGGGAGTGCTCAGTTAGGATGTGTCGGGAACTCGAAATTCCGAAAATTAAATTATTGACAAAGAAAAATGCATATGAAATGCATTAAACATGTTCCTCCGACCACTGTAAATTAATGCCAACACAATGTCATTCTGCTTATTTATATGCATTACTCTGTTTTTGTTGTTGTACCTTTCGTAAAGTGCAAAAATTTAACAAAAACAATATTCGAAGGGGGAACAAAAATAAAATAAAATATAATATAGGCAGCAGTCTGAGCGACAACTGCACCCACTGCAAAAAAAAAAAAAAAAAAAACAAGAGACACAAAAATGCTGGAAAACAAGTTTCATTTCAGTTTGAAATGAAGTTTTAAATTAAAAACAGCTGTACACATGTGGAGCGAATGCAACAACAAACCAAAACAACAACAACAACAACAACAAGTTAACAACCCAACGAAAGTTCAGGGCTATTATTGTTGACGACTCGCTCTGAGCTGAGCTTTGTGAAGGTGTCGTTCCAAAAGAAATTCCATTGAAAATGCTGTAAATAAAAAATGGCCAACTCTGGTCTCGAGGTCTCTAAAAATAGTCCATTTAGTCGATTGGTGGTCGCCTTTTGTTGTAACTGGGTTATGAGTACCGCTCAGAATAAAAGGGTTTCAGCTGCTGAGAAACGTGGCTCTTCACAGGGTTCATTCACATGCACAAAAGAATGTCTATAGATAACTGGGTTGCCAAGTCAAGAGACCAGAGTTACGAGCCGGTAGAAGTACTTAAATGCAAATACTAAATAGTAGTACCTAGAAAAATGTTAAATGTGCTCAATTTTCATGCTCTTCTCGTGCTATCTGCAAAACACTTTTGTTTGAAGTATCTAAAAAAGGGTCTTTTTGTCAGTTGGAATGCGTATGCCCTTTCCCTAATGATATATTTCCCACATCTAATATTCAAAGCTTTTTGTTTCAAAGAGGACACATCGCCGCAGCTCGCACTCTATATTAGTACAAGATCTGAGTGTTGATTTCTTGTGAATTCTTAGCGATTCTCATGTAACTTGTTGTTCTTTCTACGATACACGTATCTCGGTAGACTTCACATGGCCCGCATGTATTTTGCATTTGTATTTCCGCAAAATTGTTTTCAACCTAATGTGCTTTTTATCTGAACAATTTAGCATGCATGTTAGCCTGCTCACAAGGTCCGGGTAACAATTGGAAACAGGGCGAACCGCAAAATTAAATTGTTATCTATGCAGAGTACAACAAAACAACAAAAATGAAAAAAAAAAAACAACATGTAACGAACTGAAGCATTTCAAATAAGCAAAGTTTAATTGAAAAACTGTAAGATAAATGGGCCTGCTGTGCGGTCCCGAAACCTCCCGCTCCCCCGACCGGGTTCACCTGCTTGCGCAATCATTTGTCTGAGGAGGAGATTCTTCAAGCGTCGGCGGCTTGCATATAGCATGCCTTGTTGTATCAAGACTGAAGACTCATAACTGATTAATAGCCAAAGCTTAAACGAAATGAAAGCGAAAAGGTTTTAAATTATCGCATTAAAACGCACAATGCCCGACGTGTCGTCTTGACTGCGTGTTATGGTGTGGCCCAAAGAAATGCCCAGCCTCGATTCCCAATCTTCACGCCCGCTCTCTGGTCGACAATTCTTTACACTTGAGAAGCGACGAGAGAGGTCGCTGTCGTCGACGTTGCAGCTCGGCTCGTTGATGATGTAAACGAAATTCAAATTTATGGTAATATCAAAGAAATAACAGTCAGATTTTTAAACAAAAAAAAAAAAAAACCAAAACCCGACTAAACATAAATGTTGCGCTCTACACAAATATCAAAAGTGAAAGTTTCACTTTTGTTTCAGTGCGTTTTTGAAAACATTTCCCGTGTGCGTTTTTTATATGCCTTTTAAATGAAGGCAATTTTTCACTAAACATCTCTGCCCCCGCCTATATGAATCTGCCTAATTGAGTTTTGGCTGCAATGCATTGCGTAGAGAATATAGCTTAAAAGACGTGGCCTATTTAAAGAGTTGTAGGATTGTAGAAAGCTTAATGAAAATGTAGTTTTGATAAATGGGCAACAAAATTGTTATACTTTGATTTAAAGGGTTACCAGATTAATCTTGAAATGGATAAAAGTGCTGCCAATTCAGATTCAATTGGATTCAGTGCTGCCAATTGAAAGTCTAAGTTCGGCTTTTATCTACAACTTTTTACATTTTACACTTAAAACTTAGTATATATTACCATATTAATCACATGATAGCCATGTTCAAGTGCTGCCAATTTATATTTGCCTGGAGATGTAATCAAAAGACGTTCAGTGCTGCCAATTGAAAGCTAAAGTTAAGTTTGGCTTTTACCTACAACATTTTTAACCTAACACTTAGTGTAATTTATCTGTTTATACAAATAGTTTGAGGCATTCTTTGTGATATTAGATATGCCTGTAAATATGTAAATCTCAACTGTAACGACATTATTATTATGATTATCATATGCTCAGTTTAACACTTTATGCCCAGATCGTGTCCCAGACCTAATTGATTTGTTATCTGAGTTAAAATGTTTGCTTAGAAAGTATCTGGGAAGTAATGCGCTGACAGCCCGTCGTGCTGATGTCTAAATGGTGCCGATAGTTGAAATTTTGTAGACCTCTCTCTGTCTCTCGTTAATTTAAAAAACAACAACGAGAAAAACGTAGGAATTTTTCATTGAGCAAGCACAGGCAAAAGCAAACAATTTAAGTGAAAAACTCAGCGGGATACAAAAAAAAAAAAAAATACAAAACTTTGGGGGGGCGCATTATCAAATATCAATAGATACCCAATTGAAGAGGCAGCACAGTCTGAAACTTAGAACTATGCCGCACAAGTCACAAAAAAAACAACAACAAAAACAACAGAGACATTGAAAAGCAAGAGGCTATACAAAATTTACATAATTTATTTAAAACTTAAGTCAGGGCCTGGAGACTTGAAACTTATGTAATCGATAAAAACTTGTAAAAAATGCAGTTCACTGAGAAACAGAGCGAGAGAGAGAGAGAGAGAGGTAAAGAGAGTGAGGGAGCACTGAGATCTGGGTAGTCTGGTATCGCATCTGGCCTCTGAGTCATCGACTTGTGACATTTTTCTTGAGCGTTTAAAGTTTTGACATTTGCATAGCCGCCCGAAAATGGCTGACAATGAAAATTAATGAACTGCAAGTCCATTTTGTATGCGCCGCCTTCTAATGTGGGCTGCTGCATGGACATAACATACAATATAAAGACTGAGAGCTAGAGCTAGAGAGGGGCAGCCATGAGTTAGACACGTGTCTCTGTCGGCCCACTTATGAGCCCAAAGCCGCTTTTGTGCACCATTCAACAATTCCAAAGTGCATATGAGTCAGAGTTGCGGCTCAGCGCGACACGAGTCTAGGGTGGCCGGGCCCCAACCCGCTCTGCCCCCCTTCCCTACCCTGGCGAACTCAAGACAAACAGCAGTAAGAATTATTTGTGCTTCGTTCCTTTGTTGTTCTCTCAGCCATATATGGCAGCATGTTGTCTATAGAACATTTTGAAATTAATGGAGTTTGTGCAGCGTATTGTGAGTACAAGTATAGTCTGGGTTGCCTGGGCTTGGCTGTGACGACGTCGTCGTGTCATTAGAACCGGAAAAAGGTTTATAAATGGGGAGTTAACGGGCTTTCTTTCGGGGCAAACACACACACTCACACACACACACACACACATCTCAAATGGGCGGGCAAATAGCATAACTAGCTAATGATTGTCATCAACTAGAAAAATTTGAGTTTCTGAACGATCTGGGCATGTTTTCCATAGCCCAAAGGTGTTGGTCAGGCGATAGCTTTAGGCGGAAATACTTGGTTGTATTTATGAAATTGTTTAATGATCGTTTATAAATGATCTTGTAGTCAACTTAACAATCAATGCATATCGCTAATGACGCTCTAAAACATTAAATAATTTGGTATTAATAACAGATTTTTTAGAATTTAATTTGAGTGGAAATTTGGAAAGGCTATCTTCCAAAAAAAACAAAGAAATTTAAAAAAAAAAACTAAAGCAATGAGCTGAGTTTGGCTAAAATTCAAGTGAATAAAAAATGAGCGAGCTAACATTAGTTTTTAAGCTGTTTCATATTCTATATGAAAATATAATCTTTCACTTTCTGAGGAAATAATTCAAGCAATGTTCACATTTAACACACTTGCCTGACAAGTGTTAGCTATGATTATATGGCATTATAAGATATTTTCATATAATTCAAAAATTTGCCTTGGTCAATGCACAAATCGCATTTTGCCATTTCCGAAAGGCAGCGATTCCCAATTCTCGGATTGTAGTCTCAATTTGGGCACATGCATTAAATGCCTTAAAAGGAAGGTAACTTCATTTAGCGGCCAGCTGAAATATAATATTTATAACATCTGCAAGTAGCCCCCTTCTCTGAATGTGCTTCTTTTTTTTCGTTTTTTTTTTTGTTTGGTTTTTTATCACAATTAATCAGTTAAGAGCTCCAGACGTGCCGTTGGTCTTAAAGAGTTTCGACGTGGTGCTTGGGCAATTCATTAAGTGCTACATCAGTCGTCGCAATTTATTTTATTTTTGGTAACAGGAAACTGAAAATGCAAGAGCACGAACTGAGGCTGCTTTTATTGTAATTGCTGCGAGACGGCGACGAGATGTGAGCGCCCACCCGAAGTAAATACATATAAAAATCATAATAAATAAGACTTGCTCGAACTGGAAGAGGGCAAAAAAAATAAATAAATAAAATCACCTAATTAGCAACACGGCTGCCTGACATTAAACGAGTTTTGCGAGACCACAATTTTACAAAAGTGTAGCAGGAACAGTGCCAAAAACGATAAAAATCCCAAATCCAAACACAAAAGCAAGGAAGCAACAGGATGCCTGGCAAGCAGTGGAAAACGAAGGAACGAAGATCAAAAGAAATGTTTAACAAAAGCAAATGAAAAATGAAAGTCTTTTGTTCATGGTATACGCCAAGTCATGCGTAGATCTTTTCTTAGAGCATATAGTATAGCTCCAACTTATGTTTATGGGCCAGACAAATTGCACAACTTCCTGGCCAATGTGCAGTGACTCGACATCATTCTCACAAGCTGGCGAATTGCCAAATACGATATACATATATAAATATGTATTTGTATATATATATATATATATATTTGCATACCCGTCGAGGAGTACGAGTTTGTGCAACATAAACAACGCAGTCATAATTGTATTTTTATTGTCAGGCGAAATGAAAATTACCCACGCTTTCCAAGCTGACTTCCAGCTCTTCGATGTAGTCACACAGAAGCCATTAAAGTTGCCACGGCACGAAAAAACAGCAGTGCTCTAGTCGGGTGCGCTCGACTGGCAGATACCACGCACAAAGTATCGCAATTTCTGCCATTTATACTACAGATGCCCTTAGCTCTATGCTATGGGAAATGCATTCTTAGTTCCATCAATCAAGTCACCTGATCTAGCTTCTATCAATTTAAAGTAATCTCCTTTGTTAAAAATGCATATTTATGGTTATTATGGGAATATCGAAGTGTTGCCTCCTTCTGCCTGTAACAAGCATTTGCACAAAACCAATATACCCATTTTTACACATTTTTCATTGGTACAGGGTATTGAAGGGAAACAATTGAATGCACAACACAAAAGAAAAAACACAAAAAATACATAGCCCAACCGGGAGTTGGTATAACAAAAAAAATAAAAACCTCATCAACTGATCACCGCTATGTGTCAGCCCGGTTGGAACTGAGCCTGAGCCTGGCCAGCACTGGCTGAAAGCTTTATGACCAAATAAAAACTGCACGTTTCTGCATAACTTGACAATGTTGTTGCTCCACGCGGTAGCTTGTATGTATATGTGTTTGGGCCATGTTCTGGGCCATTCCATTCAAGTTTTGGGCAGCAGCGGCGAGCCGCCATGTAAAGGCTGGCCCCAACAACTTAGCTGCTAATTAGCGGCACGAAATTGCCAGAGTAAATAAAAGTTGAAAAAGTAATGTGCTACCAAATGGAGAAGAAAGAGGAACGTGCCCGTAAGTCTACAGAGGAGAGGGGAACTAAACTGAACAAATTTATTATAGCAAAATTTGAATAATCTATTGGCCTGTTTTTTTTTCCTCATACAGGAATCTGCTTTAAAATGCAATTAACTTGTAGGTCAATTGTTTCCAACAGCTGCTCGAACTATATAATGAATCATTTAGGAATTTAAACTTATTCTGTACAACTAAAGCAGTACTAAAAGTGCAAAAGTCATTAATTTATAAAGTAATTGCTGTAAAGCTGTGCTGCAGCTATGATGTTAGAAAACAAAGCATTTTCTAAATCAAGACTAAAATTGCATATTAAAAAAAAGAAAAAACCCCAGCGTGACAAATATGGCAAGTTACGAATATATTTAATTACCGCTTTTGGGCATTTCGAAGCGCACGGTACAGTAAAGCTTGACACGGCTCGAACAGGAGTTTGAACCATGATTTGACCTCAATTTAGCGGCTGTCAACTGTCGTTTAGAATTTTGTTACGGAGCAAAGCTCATTAGAAAAAGTGCCGCGTGCCGCTTGGACTTGGACTTGGACTTGGACTTGGTCTTGGAGGGGGGAATTTTGTAGCCGGCTGTGTGTTGTTGTAATTGGACGCGCTTTCTGCCAGCTGCGGCCAAAAGCCTCGTGCGCGTTTTGTGCGCGTCTTTAAACGCGCACAACGAAAGTCGCTCTCACGTTTCGGGTTTCGGTTTTGCTTTTTAAAGAATTATGGCTTTTGAATTGGCCTGGTGGTCGATCTGGTCCGGTCCACTATTTGTTCACAGCGGCCTGTCATTTTGTCGCTCACTTTCAGCTACTTAGAAGCAGCCGGAGACGCAGACGGAGATGGAGACGGAGACGGAGATGGAGCCGAAGCCGTAGCCGGGTTGAATAAATTTCACCACTTTCATTCTTGGCTGTCAATTTGTATTTTATTGCCCGCTTCTCATTGTCGTCATCATTGGCGCATTGTCTTTTGTCCACCGTCTGTTTGATTAGCAACGCGCCTCTGGGAAGTGGCACAGGTTGAGGCTGTCTCCTTCTCCACTATCTCCCTCTCTCTCTCTCACGCGATAGTCTCTGATCTGTGGGCATTTGAGCAGGTTCCGCTTTGGCATAGGTTTATTTACCAAATATTTGTAGCATTGCAGCACGATTTGAAATCGCTTTTTATATGTTTTATGTGTTTCCATTTCATGGCACGACATTGTGCTTAAGAACTACACCGAAAATCGTGCAAAGCTGACCCATTTGAGGCTAAGGCAACTTGTATGTGCCTGTCTGTGTGTGTGTGTGTGTGTGTGTGTGTGTGTGCGGCATGTAAAACAGTCAAACTTTTTGACGAAAACAATCAAATTAAACAACAACAAATCCAATCGCATAGCAAACAACAATACCTTTGGCATAATCATAACGAATTTCAAATGCTCTTTAAATATATGAGCATAATAATGTTTATGCAGCTTCTCCTTAAATCTTTAATGTAATTATTAAAATAAATTGAATTAACAAATTGATCTCAACTAACTTTATTTTTTGTTATAGAAGGAGAAACAGATAGTCTTATAAAGCTGTCTAAAAAGCCATCGAAATGAACCTAGTTTTTTCAAAATTTTTTTTTATATAGAAATTCCATATATAGTTTTAAATTCTCAAAGTTCACATCATCTTTCTTCTATTTTTTTTAGGATACATGTCGCCTGCTACCTCCGAAAGACGAAATACCCGTTTAAGGTGAGTGTAAAATAAATTCAAATTGAAACCAAAACTTAAAGTTGTGAACTAATTTTGGTAAGTGCACTCACGAGTGCAGTCAATTTACATAACCCCAACTTCCCCACGAGCCACCCGCCACCCTGTCCCCTCCCCCCTGCCCACTCCGCCAAGCAGATGGAAACCAGGTCAGGCAATTGTCCAATGTCTGTTGGCTTATCGCTGGCATTCCCTTGGCTCAGCCGGTACTCGTAGTGCTGCCTGCACAATTAAATGGCGTTTATGATGGCACTTTATCTCTCTCTCTCTCTTTCTCCCTCTCTCGCTCTGTCTCTCTCTTTGTCTGGGTATCCAAAAACCCGCTATTTCCGCAGCATAGGTCCAATTTTCGAAAGAGTGGGGACTATGCTACTCTGTTGGATTGCCAAGTTTTTGGTTATTATTTTGTGATTATGGCCGAGCGACGTTTTCCGTTTGCAACATGACCGCAAATGAGTTGAAGAGTTGAAATTTTGGTTTTTTTCTGTATGTCTTTCATTTTTTTTTTTTTTTTTTTGTATTTTATTGGAGCACCATTTCCTCGGCATGCCAAACTTTGGTGTGACATAATTTCCACATGACATTCACATGGAATAACGGCTCGGCTGCCCCGACGAAGTGACCCAATTACAGGCTTCCCATAACTCTTTTTAATATACAATATATGTATATGCCTACACAAATGTGTGTATGTGGTATGCCATCCAGTTACCTTACCAACTGTGATCAGTCTGCTGTTAAATCCAATTAGATACAGTCCATTGGCCAGAAGCTGTTACAGTTTATTGCCTTGACTTTAGCTTTGTATTCTGATGCTAGACGACCTCTAACATGTATCTCATTTATAAACGGTTAAGATCCAAGTCTCTGGCCATTTCCATTTTGATCTATTAAGTGCCAGCAAACAAAACAAATCAAAAAAGTTTTTTTTTCTTTTTTTTGCGGCTAATTGTCCGGTCTATAACCAGTAGCCAAAATGCCAGCACCGCTTGGCCCTGGTCTCAAGCGTGAAATTGTATTACGCTATACATTTACTGTCGATAGCTGCTTCCGCAAATGGTCGACAGTAATACGTGCTCCGATATGCGAGTACAACTTAGGTATACTATAACACCCAGATGAGGTTAGCCCAATTTGGCAAATTGAACTATCAAGTGCATGACGGGCCGCCCGCTGGCAGAGCCAAGAAAACAGCTTGACAAGAGGCATCCGATTTCTGGCAATTTAGTGATGGGTTCTCTAATATTACAATTGATTAATGATATCTGACTTTATAAGTAGAGCTAAATTCATAAATGCGTTCCTTTTGGATAAAAAAAACGGTTTAAATAGTTCAGATATGAGTTGAAGGCTCAAAGTTAAGAGAGAGAGAGAGAGAAGAGGCTAAAATGTAGCCCGCATCCTGTATATGAAAATATGTATGGCTTACAATATTTTCAGCACAACGGGCGATTATAGTTTCATTAAACTGTTCAACTTCTTTGGCAAAACAAGATTTTAACCAGAATCTGGGTTTAACCATATGGAAAATCAGCTTTGCACTGAACCTAAATTCTTATGAGAACGAAAGGATACTAATTTTAAAATGCTTAAAGTTATTCAAAAAATATTCTACTTCACATATAACTTGTTTATCTAGTATCTTTAACAGATTTATGCGATAGCTATCGCTTGGTAAATGCCATCTCTAGATCCATATACGCCCACAACGTGAACAAGCTTCGCGTTGACAGCTTTAAGAGCATTTTGATGACTCTTCAGTGCTATTATTAATTTTGTTATTTCTTTTTTTTTTTGCAGATCACATTGTTTAAATAACTAATATAATAATAACTTATTTTGTTTGTCTTTTGCCATGCGTAAACTCAAGTGTTGGCTATATATAGAAGAATGTCTGGTCAAAAATGAAGAATAATAAGTAGAAAGAATTTAAAGCCCAATAACTTTTAGTTTCGACGCAGCAATCTCAAGAAGCGGCGCCTCAATGGGCAATGTAGACTTTTAATTAATTGTTGCCCTATTTGACAGGCTATGCAAATATTTGCACAATTTTTTGAATAACGTTTGCAACATGATGAATTGCCGGCACACGGCATTTCAAATTGAATAACTAGGTCAAAGTTTAACCTCGCCGTGGGTAAGCAAAAAAGTGCCAGCAACATTTTTTGATATCCAAAAACACGACCACAATTTTATTATACAATTGCACAAAAGTTGCTTAATTGTAGGAAAACAAACCCAGCCAAAACGTATATGAACAAATTGAGAAAAAAATTTGAAATAAAAGAAAAAATTAACAAATTGGCATTTCAAACAAATGATTAATTTGGCGACGAGCCAAGAGTCAAAATCAACGACAGCTAATTACGGCTCGCTGCGCATGCGGGCGCTGTCAAGGACAAAAACCCAAAGACCCCAACAGAGTGTCAAACGACTTGTATCTAAAAGTTCTTATAAAACAGAGAAAGTCAAGAGAAATGAAATAAGAGTCAGCAAAGCTAATAAACAACTTGTTTCTTTTTTATACCCTAAACCTATTAAAAATGGGTATAAGGGTATATTGTATTTGTGCAAAATCCAAATGTATATAACAGGCAGAAGGAAGCATCTCCTACCGTATATATATTCTTGATCAGCACCAATAACCGAATCGATCTAGCCATGTCCGTCTGTTTGTCTGTCCGTATGTATGAACGCAAGGATCTCAGAACCTATAAGAGCTAGAGGCTTGAAATTTTAGATGTAGGTGCTCCTAGTGCCTGCGCAAATCGATATCCTGTTTTTTGGGCAAATAATAAGAGCTAGAGTCACCAAACTTGACATAGAGCTTCTAAAATAGAATATATATATGCATTTCATGTTTAAAGAAGAGAGTTCAGGGTATCCCCTAGTCGGGAGCGCCCGACTAGAACCTCTTACTTGTTTTTTTTTTTTTGTTTCTATGACAGTCATAAAATATTTGACTTAAAAAACCTCCCAACTCAACAACTCGTTGTTGTTAGGGCAACAAAATATGGTATACACATATTTGTGCATATCATATTTTTTTCCGTCTTTAATAATTTCGCATCTGGAAGCAAGTAAACTGGGGAGCGGCTAGAACAATCTGCTAACCATTTTAAGTTGCGGCTGAGAAACTGGACTCAATTATAATCATAAATTGTTTGTTGCTGTGATCTTTGACATGCTCTTGCATTATGTTTGATTGAACGCTTTGGCTTCATAGAGCCATAGATCGACTGGGTTATATGGCGAACTGTTAACTACATAAACACACAGATACATATATATATATACATATTATGTATGTGTGTATGTTTTATAATGCCTCGGTGTGCTATTGTGGGTTTGGCTTTAATGAAAGTTGCTCGGCTTGGCTTGGTGACTTGGCATGACCCTGGGCAACACGGCAAACAACAGACATTTTCAGGAATTGTTCGAAGAGTTTTGTGCGGTTTGTTTTTTATGGTTTTTTTTTTTTATTTTTCGGTTTATGTATGTCTCTCATGCACACTCAACGTAATTCTACCTACACCTATGTACCCATATGCATACATATTTATGTACTTTTATGTACGGTCTCGGCCGAAAGAAAATGAAACGCAAAAATTTGCATGCAAGACAAAGAGGAGCACAGCAAATGAAACGGACACGAAATGCATGAATGAATAAATCCCAAAAAAAAGACCGCCACCGCCGCCGTCGACAGGGGAAAGAGTCTCAAGCCCGAGTTGGCCAGGGATGCGCTGTTCCCTTGGGGGTACCTTTTTCTGTGTTACCTCCGCATGCGGCAGGTGTTGCCCGGCTATCTGAGCTCTTTCGATGTTCTCTTCTGTTTTTAAATGCCCTTCTTGAGGGTAGCTTGATTGTGTCACATAGTGTGTAACCCAAAAAATATATACACTATATCTCGTCTATATTTTTTATGTTCCTGGCCATGCACTTTCACAACTATCATCGAATAGCATAGCTCTGTTATTCTTTTTTGGAATCGTTTGAATCGAACCACATTTAATATATTATTGACGAATATTACTACGAGCAAACGACGACAACTATCATAATGCTCTTTAACAGGTCCAACAATAGGCTTGTGTATGGATAACTTTTTGTTTTTCAAGATATATTAAGCAAACCCAGCGAGGACTATGCTCCTAGACTAGCCAGACTGTTATGTATATGTCTCCTAACATTTGTTCACAAGGAAGGGCATTTAGTATGCGGTGTGCCGCTTAAAACGTTTCGAGTTTTGGCCTTTCTTTGAGCTTATCTCGCTTATCTGGCGCTGCTGCTCGCACGCTTGTATCTTAAGCTGCGCCAGATCAGATAACATCAAGAAAAAACCGAAAAAAAAAGAACACAAATTTGTGAAATTGAAGTGTTTCAGTGCTGTTAAGGCGGCTGCTGTGCAAATAGATGAATACCTAGCGGGGGGGGCACTACGAGCGGCGGGGCCTTGAAATACATATAATTTTCGTTATTTATTTTTATTTTTTTATTTTTTTGACTGATTGGACAAGTGTATTGCAGTGCTTGGTGGCTGGTTCCTTGCCCTTCGGTTCTGTTTCCTAGTCTAAACGATTCTCTATTATTATATGCTTTTTCTTTGTTTGTTTTCTTTTTTATTTTTTTTTTATAAGAACTTGATAAATTTGTTTCTTAGCGCTTATTTTTTGATAAGTTCTTTATCGAGTCTGTGCAGCTGCAGCTTCTGTTGCGCCGCCTTTTCGGATGTTGTACGTCTTTCGGGCCGGCTTCTTCACAGTTTGCTCAAAGATTCGCCTCGGCCACGGGCCCTACCAACATTTCTTCCTCTTGCGAGTTGCTTTTTTTTTGTATCTTTTGTTGTTGTTGTTGTTGTTGTAGCCAAGTTCTGTTTGGCGCATGCGCCGCTGAAAACTGGTTTTAACAGTTTTCTTGTTGTTGGTTGTAGCTGCTGTATATAAGCATGTATATTTTCGTATTTATTTGAACGCTCCAAACTTTGCATTACAACACAACAACAACAACAATAACTAAAAGAACAACAACAATAGACAAGCAAGAGTTCAATAAATGTATAATTTTTTTCGACTTTTTAACAATTCATTTGTTTATGTTTTAGCAGCTGATAACTTGCCTATTTGTTCCTATTTTCTCAGCTGTTTCTCTTTTCTATATCTCGGTTTTTATTTCTATTCGGCAAAATTACAAAATATAATTTATTTGTATTGTACGCACCTCTTTGAAGACTTTACGTCCTATTAAACGCCTTGTTTGATTTATATTTTCTGTGTAGATTTTGTTTTCTATTTGCTTATACACAATTTTTGTATGCACTTTGTATTGATTTCAATTAAATTATTAGTTTCGTTTCATTTGTTGTTGTTGTTGTTGTTGTTGTTGCACCTTTAAACTTGTTTCTTGAAGCGATTTCTTTATAGTAGAGCCCGCTTAATTTGCCATCACTTATGCCTTTTTCTTGCCAATTAATTTCCAAATCGCATTCAAAAATTAAATTTCTCTCCGTTGACTTTTGTGTGCGTGTGTGTGAATGTGACTTGCTTTTGGCTTTGAACTTTGTTTTGCATTTCACAAAAATGTCCATAAACCGAACAAAGTAACGTCTTTCCAAAGCAAACGCGTCGTCTGCCGCCTCCGACACTCGTCTCCGGCGTTTAACACGTTTCAAGTGGCGTTCCGCGTTTTGCTACCAACACGGCCAGCAGTCGTTCAAGAACTGAGCTGAACCCTCGGCCACTTGGGAAACCAACTGCAAGACCAGCACAGACCAGACACTCAGACCAACAAGACGAACGACCGACCACATCGTCGTCGCCGTCTCCGTCGCCGTCTCCGTCGTCTTCGTCATTGTAATCGTCATTGTTGTGGATCGTGCGCTCTCCTCCATAGAGTCTCTTATCTCTCACCTGTGCTCGCGTCTGCTCACCTGAGCGCAGCTGTTTCAGTTGGGTTCCACATTTTGTGGATGCCATGTTTGAAACCGTTAAAATTTAAATTATTATACATAAACCTGGCTAAAACGTATAAATGTTACTTCAAATTCGATATGTTTAAATCAAATTTAAAATAATAATTTAATGGTCATAAGACAACTTTTTTGAGGACTTAAAAATGCGAAAAGAGACCTTTAAATTCATCAATCCAGCTGAGGAGTGTATACATTTTTTGCAGCCTATTTTTTGTCCGCCGATGCAAATAAGCAAATACCTAAACAAATTCTTCAAATGCGAAATTCCAAGTCTTTAGCTAAGCTGGGAGTTGTGAAGACCGTAGAATAAAGAGAATCGGATCGAATTATATCGAACAAAAATTAGAAGGAAGCAAGCATAATGTTAAAGTTTAAATTTGAGAGACTCATCATTGAGCAGGATTTATATGTGCTTATGTGTTTTGGTTATCAGAAACCAAGAATGAGGAAATGTAACATAACTTAAATATGAAAACATTGAAAATGCCTTTCTGACACTTTTCATTAAGTTTTATCTAAGCCAAAATAGTTTTGCGGTTCACAGAGTGGGTATATAAAAGTGGGAAACCCAATCGAGTAAACCAACTAATTCAATACAAAAAGTCAAGTTCAACATGGGAAACATACGATCCTGTACTATTATATGTTGTCTGCTGCTCGGCACTGGATGTAAGTTTTATTGAAATGGTGCAAATAAAATTTGAAATATATCTACAAACGTTTAATATGGCTTTTTAAGTGATCATGGGTAGCATCAGCTTAGCGCAAGAACCACAAAAGAGTACAAAATTATTCGGCGAAGTTATACCAAATAATACAAATACATTGTCAAGACAATCGGTTTCAGGTATGTCAACAGGTTCGTCAACAAATAATTCAAATGAATTGATTTCAAAAGGCAAGTGAACTTACAGTATATTTAAACGTCAACAGGATCGACAACAGAATCGTCAACTGAATCATCGACAAAAGGATCGTCAACAGGATCGTCGACAGAATCGTCAAAAGGATCGTCAACTGAATCATCGGCAACAGAATCATCGACAAAAGGATCGTCAACAGGATCGTCAACAGGATCGGCAACAGGATCGTCAATAGAATCATCGACAACCACATCGAAAACAGCAGCGACAACAAAATCGACAACAACATCAACAAAAGCGTCACCAACAACATCACCAAAAATATCACCAAAAACATCGAAAGGATCATTAGTTATATCGTCAACACCATCGACCCCAAATAAGGTAAGATTTATGGACTCCCAAGGTCCAAAATAAAAATAACCCAGACGTTTTACAGGATAATATCGAGAGGGAAAACGAAAAGATAAATCTCAAGATACAGCACACTTTAGAGACAACGAAAACAGGTCATTTTATTGGCAATTCGGAATTCGATCAGCAAACAGCACTTTTACGGAACGCGGCAGATCTGGATTCAAGTTCCTTGCAGTTGAAAATGCAAGCGTATCATAATTTTATGAGCTATAATTTCTTCAGACTCAAACTGGAAGCTGATCTGACCAGCCGAATCGATGTCGTCGATAGCTTATTGTTGGATGCAAAGATTGGCAAGCAGTGCAAAGCTTTCTATCGCAACCAAAAAAAGGAATTGCGTAGTGCCCTCAATGAACCAAATGCTTTAAAATCCTACAAACTGAAGTTGTATTCTGAAGATTGCCCCCATACTGAGTCCCAAGATAGCTGGGAATCTGAGGAAGATACTGCAATCTGTTGTATCTGGCCTCATATATTTCCCCTCAATCGAATGAAGTTAAATGAAAATAATTTACAAATTCCAGAAAGGAAATCTATCAAAGTACTAGAATGACTTACTAATAATTTGTATTTAACTATATATATATATATATATATAAATATAAACAACTGTAAAAAAAAATAAAAAAATATAACAACACTAGAATGCATTTTTATTTGATATAAAGTGCACTTGTGCCTAAAATTATCAAAATCTAATTATATATATAATAATATCTAATCAAATATACCAACAAAATTAAAGATCGAAAACATTTTTTTGTTCTTTTCAGGATAACCAGGATGACGTATAGAAAAAACCCTTAAGACTCCTGAGTAAGTTTTTCAGATATGTGATTATTTAAAGCCTAAAAAGGCTAGACTGAAAAAATACCCTGAATAGCACAATACAATCAATAGAATGGACTTTCAAAATTTCGTCAATCTTTAATCTGTTACTTAAGCTTTCTTTTGGGTCGGAAACGCAACCTAAGATGGGGAACAGTCTACGGATTGTTTTGTTTATTAAAATTTGATATTATTGACAAGGAAAGGAGATTTTTGAATGGTGTGCGCAGTGTGAATCGCATAGAAGGGTGATTAACAGTTGATTACAAATTGTTGTTACCAATTATAGACGCTTACATTTAATGAAAGAGTGTTTGTTTAATTCTCATATTTAATACTTACTTTAAGCTATTCAGCTTCTAAAAGAACCTAGAAAATGCAATATTCCGTAAATTATGTTTTCTGGTGACACTTGGGCGAACATAAAAAGTAAATACCAAAGCAATGTTCAGTTACGACAAACCCAATGCGGGCTAGAATTGGATGCCTTGGAAACTCCATAAATGTCGGCTTATAACTCAAGCTTATCGGGTAGCTGTGCACGCTTTAAAAGGCAGTCGAGGCAGATCGTCCGACATTAGTTAAAGTTAGAAGTTCGCAGACATGTCAATAGCGATCAAAGCGCTAGCATTGCTACTGATGCTGATGCAGTGCATCCGTGGCGAGTCCTTGCTGCCCATGCAGCAGCTGTTGCAGCTGGACAACATAGTTACGGACAGGATCAACGGCATGCTGAAGCAATACGAGCATTTGAGAAATCAAACGGAAAATCAAGAATTCCTACGGCAATATGAACGCCTCGAAATGGCGGCTGCTCTGCCCATCGCCCAGCTGGATGAAAAGATTAAGGCCTACAATGAGTATCTCGCCTACGATCTGTTAAGCCGCGCACTGGAGCTAAATTCAATTAATTTGGCAAGCAGCTCGATCGACTCGAGCTCCGAACAGGATCAGCTACGCGATACAATTGTGGATGAAACACGCGCCAAAACGTATAGCGCCTTCGAGAAACGGGTGCTCAAACTTTTAAGAAAACTGGGTGTCTATGATTCATTTACGGAGCGCGTCTTCAAGGCCATATTCAGCGATGAGAAACAACTCAAGAAGTTAAAGAAAAAACTCAAGGAACTGGACGATGACGACAACGACAATGACTGTTGCTTGTGGGACTTCATATTTGGTTTATTCTAGAGTTTTGGGCAAACCTTTTTTTATGTACTTCAATCTTGTTACCAGTACCCAAATGGGAATGAGTCGAAACAACTTTAAAAGAATACGTTTTTACATACAGTAGTTTATGGCCAACGTTAGTAGTTATATCTCACACTTTTTTAATTATTAAAGCACTTTATTTTATACATAGGTTTTATTGAAAATTGAAGCTTATTAAGGATTATTGTATTATGCAACAAAAAAACTGCATTCTGAGCTTAACTGATTTTTAGAAAATATATAATTCGTCTGGGTTAGCTCGGTTGGCATCAAAAGGCTTGACTTAGGGCTCGATTCCACTTTATCTCTCGAAAGGTTCCGTTGGTTTCCATATAAAATCAGTTTGCTTTTTATTTTTGGTCCTGGCTCGAGTGTTATGTGAGTCGCTTGACTTAGTGACTGCAGTAAGTGATTTACATGCGAGCTCCAGCAATTGACAGCTCGTTATGGTGATGAGAGGGCGGTTCACGGCTCGCGGCTCACGTTGCTCTGTGGCAAAACAAACAAAGTGCATTTAAACGTGCCGGCAGCCATCGACCATCTAGCCCAGCTACATATAACATACTGCAATCCACTTAGGCTGTCTGTTGCATCGGGCAGTGGCAAGGGGCAGGGGGCAAGGGGCAGCTGCAACGGCAGCGGCAGCGGCATCGATCGAAGGGCCGGTCCCATCGACTGAACCGGGCCACATTTCACTATCGTGCGCGTTGAAACAAAAAGTGTTGGCGTGCTGCTGCATCCTGGGCTCAGATCAGCTCTTGGCTAGAGTCAGACTCACAGTCACAGAGTCAGAGTCGGAGTCGGAGTCGGAGTCAGAGCAGATGCAATCGCCAGACAGTTGCCCACTCAGCATGGACGTTGCTCTTCCTCTTCTTCTTTCTCTGGCTGTTGCTGTTGTCGTTTATCAGACAATGTCGCGTTTGCAGACAGTTTGAAGTTTAACAAGTTGTCGAACGCAGAGCGCGGGGTTTATTTGTTTTACGTCCTTTTTTTCGTTGTTGTTAGCCGGCTTTATAAATAGCCAGAGACTCGACCATTGCAGATCTCTATAATACCTATCTCTAGCTGCATGTATGAGTGCCTGAGCCCTGATCAAAGGTCATGCAAGGCCTCAGTTTCCGTTTCAGCCCTCAGATATTCCACTCGCTTGACTATTCCCAATACAAACTGGGCACAAATATTATATTTGTGTATACGTATATTTATATCAATTATATTTACTCTCTCATATCATAATCGGGTCATCTTTCTTCTCTTATTTTCTCTTTCGCTTCTTAAAGCTTACGCTGGCGCTGTGGGAGATGATGGCCAAAATTGGCGTCAGAAACCAATTTGGTTAAGCAAAACGGGGTAAAGCGACTTTCATACAACATATATTGCTGTTATATGAACGATCGGACAGAAATGTAGCGCCTATTTGAAATTTACTAGTTTCCCTAGACGTATCCCTCTTTTGCCTAACTGACCGAATCACCTGGGCAAACCATCTACAAAGAAATGTATGTGAGGAGAAATGTTTCTCACCTGTGTCCTTAGTACGCAATAGAATCGTGCTGCAGTCCACAGCAGCCCATAAACTAGTTGAGTATCCATCCACATTTGTAATCTGTGCTGTTGCTACTGTTGCTGCTGCGCTGTTGTTGCTGCCGCGGCTCTGATTGCGATAAATCATTGAATGGCGCATTAAAGTGGAGCGTTGACATGTGAGCTGAGAGCTGAGAGCGGGAACAGCAGCAGCAGCAAACGGGGTAAAAAGAAAAAATGCGCACAACACGGAATTAATGTCAATAGCATTAGAAGATTGACGACAACAACAACTGGCAACGATCATGGATCTTTCCAACAAACTAAAGAGAGAGAGAGTGTGAGAGAGAGAGAGAGAGAGAGAGAGACAGCATAGAAATAGTCAGCAAAAACGGCAATGACAAACTTCTGACAATTAAAAATAAAAAGAAATAACTTTGCTCTGCGCTCTGTGGGCCCAGCAATAGGCCCCAAAGGGGAGCTGATGATTATGAAAATCGATAGTTGGCCCGGCCACATTTCAACTCTTTTCAACTGTCTGTCTGTCTGTCTGTCTAATCGGGCTGTCTGCTTGCCATTGACATGTGGTATTTAGGCCCTGATGCTATAATTGCGCATCAAAAAGCTATCATAAAGTGCACTATAAAAGGGCGTGGCCCAGGACTAGCAAGACCAGGTCTCGCCATGCACTACAGCCTGTTGTTTCGCCTGTTTCTAATGGTCTGCCTGCTGGGCCCGACCTGGGCCAAGCTCAGCTACATTCCGTGCAACGAATCCGATGTGGCAATAGGTAATCAGGCAGCGTCACTTTCCAGTCCAATTATTTTAATTCAATTTAATTTAATTCAATTGCATTGAATTCAATTTGATTTAAAATGCAGCCCTCTCGCAGATCATCAATGGGCTGCAGCCACGTCAGCTGGCCATATTGGTTATGCCCAGCTCGCGACTGTTTGGTGCGGATTGCGTGAATGATGACACCATCCAAGTGGACGAGTTTATTCAGCGATTGCATAGGCTCTACTACAAGTCAGTCATCTTTTATGACACGGAGCTGTTCTTTGATTATATCGAAGCCAATCTGCTGGGCGCCATCGAATGCGTCAATTTGATATTCCACGAACCAGATGAGCTATCGGCGCGCATACAGGAACGGCGACTTGCCCATCGGCTCAGCCTCTTCATCTTCTATTGGGGCGCCAGACAGCCGCCTAATGCGACGCGTGTGAGCTTCGAGGAGCCAATGCGAGCGGTGGTCATCACAAGGCCGCGTCGCAAGGCGTTTCGCATCTATTACAATCAGGCGTTGCCCACGGGCACCAGCCAGCTGCGTTTGGTCAACTGGTATGATGGCGACAACCTGGGTCTGCAGAAGACCCCTCTCCTGCCCAGCGCCGCCACAGTTTATGCCAATTTAGAAGGTCGCGTTTTTCGTGTACCCGTTTTTCATGTGAGCAACAAAAATGATCAATTATTCCTTAAATACCTCGATATTTTGACTAAGATCGATGCAAAATGCAAAAAGTTGTCGCCTGTCGCCTCTTCGACTTCCAAAGCGAGAGTTTGGCGACATCATAGTATTTTTTTCAGAGAAGAAATTATTTCCCATTTCTTCTTGGAGAATAGAACAACGCCAGCAAGGCGATATTATAAACGATAAAAACCTTTCTTCCGCGTTAAAATATAATAATACATAACTTAAAGTTAATAGCATTTTCTTTCTATTCAGTCCCCGCCCTGGTTCTGGGTAAGCTACAACAACGATAGCAACAATGTTGGCAACAGCAGCGAGGATCCTTTGGATGAGTACGAGAATCTCGAGTATAATGAGGTGAACGTGACGGGTGGACGTGATCATCGATTGTTGATGTTGTTGGCGCAGCATATGAACTTTCAATTTATGTACATTGAAGCGCCAGGCAGGACACAGGGATCTTTGCGAGCACCGGATGACAGCGGGGAGTCCAACGATAGCTTCACAGGTGGCATTGGAATGCTCCAAAGTGGCGTACGTAACGACAGATACCTGAAAAGGGAATAATAATAATAACTACTAATAATAATAATAACAATTATTAAGAATAATATTAATCTTATTATCATGTTCATATCAGAGTGCAGGGTATTCTCTAGTCGGACACGCCCGACAATAGCACTCTTGTTTTCCTTGACTCATTGAAATTGTTGTCTTTGCTTACAGCTGGCGGACTTCTTTATGGGCGATGTGGGCCTCAGCTGGGAGCGTCGCAAGGCAATTGAGTTCTCATTTTTCACTCTCGCCGATTCGGGCGCTTTTGCCACACATGCGCCACGTCGCCTCAACGAGGCCTTGGCCATAATGCGTCCCTTTAAGCTGGATATATGGCCATATCTTATACTGACAATTGTGTTCTCCGGTCCAATATTCTATGGCATTATTGCCATGCCCTTTAAGTGGCGCAGGCGTCAGCTCGCCGTAGACGTGGAGCACCTGGGTGAGCTTTGCGTTTATATGGCCTATATTAAGGAGATAACGCCCTGTGTGCTGAAGATAACACACACGCGACGCCCGCAGGCAGCGCCGCAGATGCCTCCCCAGCTTTTGCAGCGATGTATTTGGTTTACTCTGCGCCTGTTCCTCAAGCAATGTGTGTGATTCCTGGTTCTATGAAAATCCTTGTAAATCATATACGCTCCTTCGCAGCTTGCCATGAGTTGTACCACGACTATCGCACCAAGTTCTTGACCATTGTCTATTGGGTAGCTGCCACTTATGTCCTGGCCGATGTCTACTCTGCCCAGCTGACCTCGCAGTTTGCGCGTCCAGCTCACGAGGCGCCCATCAATACACTGCAGCGCCTCCAGGCTGCCATGCTGCGGGATGGCTATCGCTTGTATGTGGAAAAGGAGAGCAGTTCGCTGGAGATGCTAGAGAATGGCACAGAACTGTTTCGTCAATTGTATGCGCAAATGCGTCAACAGCAGCCGGACGATCACCTGGCCTTTCTCATTGATTCCGTTGAATCGGGCATCAAGCTGATTGCCGATGGCAGGGAGAATAAGGCAGTCCTGGCCGGACGTGAGACGCTCTACTTCAATATACAGCAGTATGGGGCCAAGAACTTTCAGCTAAGCCAGAAGCTATACACACGCTATTCCGCGGTGGCCGTCCAGATCGGCTGCCCCTTCTTGGACAGCCTCAACGATGTGTAGGTAGCACTTGTTATGGGTATACTCATAATAGTGGCGCATGCTTTCTTCTAGTTTGATGCATCTGTTTGAAGGCGGCATTTTGGAAAAGATGACAACCGCTGAATACGAGGCGCAATCCCGCAAAATGACCAAGGATCAATCGCAACAATCGATGGAGCTGGCTGCCGTTGAGAATGCCAATGCAAATGCCAATACCAAAAGCACCGAGGCCAAGAACCAGCCCCAGCACGCACAGGACAATGAGATGATCAGTGCATTAAACTTGCGCATGCTGCAAGGCGCCTTCATTGCCCTCGGCGTGGGCTTCTTCACAGCAGGTCAGTGGGTCAAACTTTTAAATATTAATTATGTTTATAAAACTCCATTTGCGTTCAGCTCTAATGCTCTTGCTGGAGCTCTTCTGTCGACGCCTCAATCTGGCGCTGCCGCTGCGCCGCTGCCGTCTCCGCTGGCTGCGTCGCTGGCGACGCTTCAAGCGGATGGCGCGTCACCAAACCGTGCGAATCTTTGCACCGAATTTGGGTTGACTACTTTATCGCATCGCTCTTTTATGCAAATCATTAACAATGCAAATACAAATGTTTCTAGCACAAACAGTGGAGCCGACAGTTTAGAATATATGTATGTGGGTGCAATAAGGAAGCATATTCCTATATAACTTATTCCGTACACTTATATATATTTGTGCTGACTTAAAGATTTAATTTGCTACTCCTGATCGCTTGTTTGTTTCATATTTTGGCACTTAGTGCTATTTAAACTCAAATATATATATATATATACAATATCTGAATAGTTTTAAATGAAATTGTTAAAAGTAGCAAATTTAATTCACATTTTAACGGGTTCTTTTATCATGTATAATATTATCTTCTGTGAACTTAAAAGATAGTTTATAAAAATACACAGCATAAAAATTTGCAGAAACTTCGATCGGAAAATGAAAGTCAGATTTTTATTTTTACTCAAACATAGACACGTCCAGTTCCTTATTTGAAGCATTTCACATCCCGTTCAAAACTAAAGGGATTTTTATAAATATTTTCCCAAGATTTGCATTTTTATTGTGCAGCAATGTTCATTCTTAGACACAATTCGCATCGCTTGAAAATGCTTTCGTGCTTAACCTAGTTCCACTGTGCTTGGCGGACTCCTTCTTCCGCCGTCGACAGCTTTGTTTGTCTTTGGCATAATTAATGTGCTTGGCCAGAAGACAAGCGGGGCTGCATGTTATAATTAATTTGTTGCTCAAATTGAATGCGGGCGCAGCTGCCGTTGCCTTTTGCTGCTGATGTATCTCTACAAGTTTGTGTCTTAAGTCATTTGTTTATTTTAGTTTTTTTTTTTTTTTTTTTTTTGCCCAGTGTGGCCCAGTTTCCCAACATAATTTTTATAATAATTTCCCATTTCCTTTTCATAACTAAGCCCAAACAAACAAAGACCCAGACACAGAAGCGACAAAAACAAATTTGTCCAGTATCTGCCAGAGAGCGTAAACATTTTGTTGTTCCGTTGCCCTTAAAACATAAAACGGTTTACGATTTTCTTGCCGTAATTAAGCAAAAAAAAGAAGACCAAAAATAAAATGATGCACAAATTAAAACGTCTTCTTCTCGTCTCGGCTCCAAAAAAATGCCTGACAGCCGGTCAAGAAATTGACTTTTACTTTGGCCCCACAAAAGACGAATTGCTGTGTTCATTGTAGAAAGTGGTTCTAGCCACTTTTCTGCTCCGACGGGTCGTTGCTCGTTGCTCGTTGGTCGTGCCCGATTCCTTGGGCCTGTTCCATCAACATTACCATGCGCTCTTCAAGTGTCATACGGCGCGAAAGTCAATTGCATGTTTGCTTAACTGCCATCAGCTGGATATTGTGCTCGTACTCAACGTATGTATATTGGTTTCTTCTCGGCTCGGTTTCGATTTCAAGAATCCCATATATCATTGTCGTCTGTCATCTTCAGGTCGGAGCGTGTGAGAGTTTTCAGTTTCGTTTGCGCTGACTCTTGCTTTTGGGGGTAAATTGAAGCTTTTGGCTGTTTTTTTTTTGGTGTTGTTGTTTTTTTTTTTTGTTATGTTCGGCTATGGCCTTAGAAAACGTAACGCCCTAGGGCGTACCTAGAGCCATTACTAATTATATAGTTTCTATTTTGCTTTCCAACGGAAATTTATACCCGGCCCAAAATGTGCTATAATAATATGTCCGATGATCAGAAAAAAAGGGACCGATTCGAGCAGCGAAGGTTACAGCGGATCATGTTAGGTGCGATGTGAACTGGGCCCAGTTTATAGCCAAAGAGTTAAGCTTGAACACAATTGTCTAAATCATCAATACACATAAGAATGATTCAGCATTGGCTGCTGGAACACTCGCAATCAAAGCGGATTTATGCTGCAGTTTACCATGTTAACTGTGTTAAATGCATGTTAATAGAGGAAGTCTTCAATGTTAGTTATTTCAATAAGGTCACCAGCTGAAATTGAAAAGCTTCTCTTGTAAATTTGTTAATGTTAGCAATAAACAGCATAAACAGAAGGCAATAATTCATGTGGAGCTCATTAGTGCCTTTTTGTCACACACAAGACTCGTCATTTTTTTAGTACTCTATGAAATATTCTTAACCAAGCTACCACTAACGGTTTAGGCCTGGATTCTTATCGGTTTTGGTAACTTGTTTGCCTCAGTGCACAATTGGGGCACACAATCAGCTAACCTTAGGAGAGTCGTATACAAAATTTGCTTATGCGCAGCTCAAACGCTTCAGTAATTCGCACTTGGAAGAAACTTGGATGTGTGCCCATAAAAAAAAGGCCGCATACGCAATCTGCAGAGTCGTTTGTGGGTGAGCCACAACGGCTGACATTGAGGCACTCCAGGTCAAGCCAGGTGGCCAAGAGTTGCTGCTTCCTGAATGGAAGCTTTCTAGCCGGACGGACCGCATGTGCAATATGATGGATGGCTTTTGACGTGCGTTGCGAAAACATACCTGGCCAAAAATTTAATGTACCATGAAATATTGTTAGCCATTTCCATTTTCACACAGAGACTGAGCGACTGAGAGAGAGAGAGAGAGAGAGAGAGAGAGAGAGAGAGAGACGTTAAGTAATAGGCCTAGAGTTGGCTAGGGACTCGCCAATGCTGCGTATGCTTAATCTGCAGTCCAATGCTGCTGTAGTCCACCCATGGCTAATTGACTCTCGGCCTGCGGCGTCGGCGTCGGCATTCAAGCGTCAAATTAAATGAAAATGAACAAAATAACACTTGCAACTGCAATTTGGCTGATGCTAACGCTGATGCTGATGCTGATGCACAATCCAGATCTGCAGCGAACGAAATGAAAAGTCATCATAATCAACAATTTTAAAATATTAGTTTGCACAAAATGCGCTGCGACGCCGACGGCCAATGATAGTGAACTTGATTTGGGGCCAATTTTCTCTTTCATTGGTGGCCACGGTGACCACCACTACCTCCAGCCGGTTCCAGCTCCCAACGCATGCAAAAATGCCAATTAATGTAAGTGTGTATAAGTGTGTGTGTGTCTGTGTGTGTGTGTGTGTGTGTGTGTGTGTGTGTGTGTGTTGCACTGCAGGCCGGCATAGTTTTTTATGCACCCTGAATTCATTGAAAATATGTAGAAGGGGTATAATAATTTTATACAAAAGTATGTAACACAAATGAAGAGGACTATACCTGTTGAAGACCTTCACCCACAGTCTTCACTTTTTTAGACTATATTAAATTTTATAAGGATTGAACTATAAAAACCTAGACTAATCAATAAGATGTATCATAGACATAGACAAGTGCCAAACGAAGAATAGCTACTTTGCTAGATCGCAGCTAATTGCAGGATATCTGCCAGTCGGGCAACATAACTCCTTTTACTTGTTTTTTCTGCAAAAGAATCTGCAGTCATCGATAGAGCAATGGAGCATTGCTGCGATGAGGCGACGAATCGACGATGCGATGGCAACCACTTTCTAATCTAACCCACAAGCTGCAATCGCCGTCGCCGTCGCCGTCGCGACTGACGGCGTCCACAATTTTTGGGCTCAGACTTTGGAGACTCTTGACTGGCTTTAGCTATTTTTAAAAGCGCACTTTTCATTTCTGTGTCGTTTCTGTATATCTTTTTCTTTTTTTTTTTTGGCGGATGCGCCATCGTTGTGTGCTGTGCTTGCCCACTTTCCCAGACTAAGTCTAAAATGCGGAAAAATAGCGAGAGTGAAAATTCGTTGCCGGCATAAATTAACTGTAAACTGTAAAATAAAAAAAATAGATAAATAAAAAAAAAAAAAAACAAATATGAAAAGCGATAGCGAGAAGTCGCTTTTGCATGAACAAAAGTGAAAAGTCGCCCAGCAATTGGGCTTTTAAACAATTCTTATTACCGTAATTCGCTCATTTGAATGCACTTTCAAGTTGAGATTATGTTGAACAGTTTTTGGGTCTATTACAACAGCCGAACGAAGCTAATGCCAAGTGAAAATTTCTCCACGCACTTGCGCTGATTTAGTTTGTTAGACAATTGCGTTGCTATTTTTATGGGCTTTTTGAAAGTGCTTACTACTTGTACAATCCGTACATAAAACGGCAAAACATATACGGCATACGGCATACGGCAGCACGCCATGAACTTAATTATACTAACAGTTCGTGTTTGCCGACGTACGCAAAAGTACATTAACAAATGGCGCACCGCAATATGCTGCTATGAATATGTTGAAATATTTCTTGAAAATTTTAACTTTAACGTACAAATTAATGCAATGATGTGCAACGAAGCGTGCAGCATGAAAATGTTTGGGCCAAGCAGAACGTTGAACCAAAAAATGAATTTGCAATCTAAGTACATATGTATGTATGTATGTATGTATATGTACATCGTAGTAATTGTTGCTGTATGCTTAATTATCTGCTGCTGCTGTTGCGGCGAGCATACGTCCTCTTCTTCTTTTGTACCCTCTTCATCTTCTTGTTCAGCGTTTTGCAAGCGCAACATCGTCTGGTGTATAGTCTTTTGCGCTCTAAAAAGCTGCAACGGCCATTGTACAAAGCAATTAATTTGAGGCAAATGAATAAAATATAATGGAAATGAGCATTAGTTTGAAGGCTGCTGCTGTGGTCGCTGCCGCCGCCACCATTTCTGTGGCAGCGTTTGCTGCTGACCCAAATTCACCGTCAGCTTTTCCAAAATGCAATGTTGCAAATAATTTGAAAGTGTAATTTATGACGGCGACACGACGCTGGACTTGGACCTGGACCTGGACCAGACAACGGCAGCCACTTAACAACTTTCAATGCACTGCATAGCGTAGGCGGCTTTAAGCTGGCAGTCTTTTGTTCGAACACCCGGTAGGTCTCTATTTACCATAGACCATAATGACATTTGTATGTGCCTCGCAATAAAAAGGTTAACATACACAATGAGAGTATTGCTGACGGAATTTTCAAATGTTGGCGCGAAACTCACCGCTTTTTTGCCATTCGCGGCTTACTACACAGCCAAATGACTGAAGTCTTCATGCTAGCATTATTCGGATTTAAAGCAGTCTGCAAAGCGGTCACACTGTTTTCAGCCATGTGCGACATATTTCGAACAGCACGAAAAAAAAAATATTAAGACAATGCAGAACCAATATGAAGACACTTCATCTTTCTTTTGTATAAAATAATTTATAAAAATAAAAATTTTGGTAGACTGCTGAAGTTATAACAATGAACGTTAAGTAAAAATAATTTCATTTAAAAATATAATTTTATTTAGCGTATAAAATTGTGGTATTTTTTATCATCATATATTTAATTTGACCAAAGGGACAATATGGCCATCTTTTTTAGGTATGCACGCAGTCTGGCAACCCTGCAACGCGTTTAATGTGCTACTGCTCTCTCCCTGGCTTTCTTCACTCTCCGTCTCTCTTCAGCAGTCCACATTCGAACGTACGAAAGAACAAACGAGCAGAAGGTTTTTGTGCTGGAATTTAATTTGTTAGAGAAAGAAAAAACAATAATAAAGTTTTGCTTTCATTCCAAACAAAATATAGTGGATAAAAATTAGACTACCGGTCCTCCGTATGCTGTTATAATTACTGTGCCAACGTAAATAAAACCAATAAAGCCATTGTGTGTGCTGCGCTGGGCGTGCGAGGCGCAGCAGAATCATAATTTTTGTGGTTGCGTAAAAGGTAAATTGCTAAATCAAGCGTAGACGCAGGCAATTCTGCAAAATAAAATTCAAAAGCTAAATACTTTTAAGCGGGTCTCAACGTTGTGCAATTTTTAAGTAGATAGCGGCATCTTTCCGTTGAAGTTATAATTTCGTATTCGTTTGTGATGTGTGTGCAGCGCATACATATTTTTTGTCTCATCGTCGCCATTTTTAATCAGTCGTTTTTCGCTGACGTGTGTGCTCTAGGGTTGTTTCGCTCGCACACGCTGTATTTGTTGGCGTCGATAGTGTTGTAAAACACCGTTCATTGTGCATTTTATTTAAACAAATTTTGCAGCATTTATTTTAAGCAAAACAATCATTTGAATTATAATTTGTGTTATTAGTGACTTGCGCGCACAATGGAAGACCTCACCAAAAACATAATATTCACAAACGCTATTAACGGCCAGCCAGCAACCATACAATATCAAACAGCAGACGGCACCATACTCAAACAACCCAAAATTGAGGGCCAAAAGACCGACCAGCAGCCCACCTTCTACTATACAACAAACGTGAGTGCGCGGCGTCGCCCGGTTCAATGATCCGTAAATTTTTAAATGCTTTTTGTGTTCTTTTAAATTACAGGGCAATGCGGGCACTGTGAACTTAGCACAGTTGGCCACCTCAGACGACAATAAGACGTGCTACATCGCACAGCCAGTGGGCGGCTACAACTACGCCTTGGTCAACGGAATGCCGCTGAATCAGGGCACCGCTCTGGGAATAGCCACTGTGGATGCACAGGGACGCATACAGATTGTCAATCAAAATAAGCCCATTGCGGCGGTAAGCATACCCTAACAGGGTTATTTAGGAAAGAGTTAGCAAAATGTGGCTGAATTTTAAATGTCAATTCAAATAATTAAATTATGTTCGCAAAGCTCAATTATCAAAATTACTTGTGAGGTGAGCTCAATGCAAAAACTATCCCTAATGAAAGTTCTATAGAAGTATATATCTCAAATATGAATTCGTAAAGGCTTCGCCTACTTCGCATTAACAAAATGATTGCTAATTTCGTGAATTAATGAACGCTGCATAGACAGGAACAATTTTGATTGCGCAAAATATTTATCAAATATCACTCAGCATTTTTGCTACCGAATAGTCAGTTTTGTAATATGCTTTCGCTTCTCTCTACAGACTATTTCACCACTGCAAAACACAATATCAAACATCAGCTTCAAGTGCGATGTCTGTTCGGAGATGTTTCAGCACCTGGCGCTGCTTAATGCTCACAAGCGGATGCACACAGACGGCACGGATCCGCAACAGCACAATTCACAGCAATCATCAGATGCCATAGCAGTGGTCAATGCACAGGGCCTGGTGCAGACGCAGAACATTATCACCGGCAATGGACAGATGGGTCAGATTCAAATCGTGGCTTCCGATACGCTGGAGCCAGTGCAGCAATCCGTAATGCAGCAACAGCAGCAGCAGCAACAACAGCAGGCGGCACAGCAACAACAACAGCAGCAGCAACAGCAACATGATAACTCCAAGTCGAGCAAGTGCATTAATTGCGGCAATCCAATACTGCATCAGTCAAAGCGCAAGGGGCCTAAGCAGGTGCGCTGCGAGTCCTGCATGCAGGCGGAGCAAGCGGCGCAACAGCAACAAATATTCGTAGCACCCGATGGTAATTGCTAATATACATTTATTTTATATTATTATTCACTCGCTGCTTATCTCTTTTAACAGGGCAAATGGCGCATCCAGTGCAAATCATATCAACCACACCACAAGCGCAGGCTCAACTTCAGCAAATTGTGGCCCAACAAACTGGCGGCACAACGCCCAAGCGTGAGCCCAGCTCGTCGGGTCATCATCCTGTGAAAAAGCGCAACACCCAACAGATGACCAAGTGTCAAAAGTGCAATGGATCCGGCGTAGTACTCATGGGTCAACAGCACACACACCAGCATGGTGGCGCCGGCGGCTCTGTCAAACAAAATACGGTCACCGTCAAGACCGAGTAAGTTAACAAACAAAAAAAAAAAGCGGCAAAAGCCTAGAAATCTTCAAACTGTAATTTATGAATTTATTTATTTATAGAAATCCCAGTAAACCGTTCAGCTGTAACATATGCGGCGGCCTCTTTTCACGCTACTCCAGCCTGTGGTCACACAAGAAGCTGCACAGCGGCGAGAAAAACTACAAGTGCACCATCTGCGGATTGGCATTTGCCAAGGCTGTCTACCTAAAAAATCATGCGCGCATACACACTGGCGAAAAGCCTTACAAGTAGGTGTATCTAGTGGTATCCAAGCTTTCCTATTAATAATTTGTTTATACTTGTGCAGATGTCAAACGTGTGGCATGCAATTTTCCCAATCGCCGCATCTGAAGAACCACGAGCGGACGCACAGCGGCGAGCGTCCATATGTTTGCGGGGTGTGCGATAAGGGATTTGCGCGCCATGCTACCCTGTGGAACCATCGCCGCATACACACCGGCGAGAAGCCTTACAAGTGTGAAATATGCGGCTCGGCTTTTTCACAGGCGGCACATCTGAAGAACCACGCCAAGGTGCACTCCGGCGAGAAGCCTTATAAGTGTGAGATATGCTCGGCAGCGTTTGCCGATCGTTTTGCGCTGAAACGCCATCGTGGTATACATCAAAAGTATGGACAAACGGCGCCCAGGCAGCCTGCCGGTGATGGTATGGTCGTGCACAAGCAAGAGCTGCCCGACATGGATGACGATGCGCAGCAGGAGGTCATAATCGGTGGTTTATAGATAAGAGCAACCAATGCCAATGCCAAGACGACCAACACAGCGACGACTACGGCAGCGGCGGTAGCCTATCAATCGGGATCGGGCGCAAGCCAGGAAACGGGCGGAAGCACAGGCACATTTCCAGCCCAGCCCTATTCAGGCTACTACTATCAGGAGCAACAACGACAGGAAGAGCAGCCCCAGCAGAGCGCCGCCTTTAGTGCTAGATCAGACTATTAAGCTGGCGCCTGTACATACATCATCGAGACAGAGGAGCATCGTCATCATCACCATTATCAGCTAGGCACCATTAATGTTTCATATTATGATCATTATTTTTTTTTTTTAATATCGTAGTTCATGTAGGGCTCTATTAATTGGGCTTGGGGCACTCAAAGGGGTGCCGCCAAAAACGCTTTTTTACGTTAAACTAACAAAACGAATCGAACCTAATTTATTCATAGATTGTAACATAGATACGGCGCAATATGTGGTACATTTAAGTGTTATAGTCTACTTCCGTATACAAATTGTAGTTGTAATTTACACGGATTTATAAGCGAGGGGCGCGTTAACCGCATGAACAGCAAATACGTAAGAATCTGCGCAGGCATGTATCATATACATAATATACATCGGCATCGATCCGCAAATGTATATGTATATATATGGGTAGTACATTAATTCGTTTATAAACAATACTAGCGATAAGAAGATACAAAACAAACATTTTAAATACAATTTATGTAAATCTAAATAAGTATTACACAAAACAATTATAACTTTAATAAATAAATCATATTTGAATAATTTAAAACTTGTTCCTGACTGTAAGACATTACGCTTAGATAGGGCCATTATTTGTAAGGGGTTTTTATAAAATACCGTCCAAAAATGTTTATAAAACCCAAAATGCTTCATAATTTGAAAAGTTTCACCATGATTTACATGTCCTTTGGCCCAGCGGTAGCCCTGTTTCAATGCATTCGTTGTACCGCAATTTTGTAATGGTATCCTATTAAATAAGACATTTAAAGGACAATGCTTGAAACGAATACCTATTCTTAAACAAAAGGTCAGGGCTTGATAAATCGGTAAAAGGAAATCAAAATCATAGCTGAAATAGGCAAGATACCCTACTCTTAAGAGAGTGTGGATTTGATAAGGCTGAGCTGCATTTCAAGCAGCATGAAAAATAAAATAGTGAATTACACACACACAAAATGCATCTTCCGTTTTGTTTTTTGTTAGCGAGGGGATTGTGTGTGGTGGGGTGTGATTGGATGATGGATATATATATAAGGTGGGTGGGTTTGGGTGGTGGTGGTTGGTCGTCGCGGTCTGTAAATTATTCCCCTTATATGGGATCCCGCTCTCTTATTATTGTCATTTACATTGACGACTCGACTCTCTTGGTGATGAAATATTATGAGTTGGCAATGTTGTCGGCGGAGAGGAGGAGAAACAACACAAACACACCTTCATATGTCCTCTCTTTTTGCTTCCCTGCTTCTGGATCTGCAGACGATACAATTTTTGCTAACCGCTCTTCAATAACATTATTCATCATATAAATCGCACACATTATAATTTAAACACGTTACACAAGCCCGCGTGGCGCTGGGACAACATACATATCTATCACTCACATATATATAAGCTTAACTTTATTAACGGAACAAGAAGATTAATACTTACGTTGCATTTAGATTATGGTGAGAAGGCTCGATCCTCGACCCGATCCATCCCTTGCCAAGCACATATCCATTAAACCACCGACGGGTCTTAAACAGCTAGTCTTTAATTTTATACATATCGGACATTTTTCATATTTTTTATAACAAAAATACACACTCCTGCTGCGCGGATTCGAACTTGAGTCTACAATCTCCATTCTATAGATAATCATTATCTGCCACCGCAGCACCACCGGCACATGTTAAATTAACACACATCAAAAAGGTATTTAAAGTAGTCATTTCTTTCACCCAACAATACCTTTCTTTATTTTTATTAAATTGTCATCGCGGCCTGGACTCGAACCTCGAACCGAAAATCTTAACTAATTCCCAATTTTATTTCTATTTAATTACTACCGCTTCCTGTAGTCGAACCTTGGCCCCAAGTCTGGATCTATGCATTTTAATACAGTTGCCCCTTCTTTTTGAATTGTTACCGCTGCCGGGATGCGAACCTCGCACCGCAAGTCTCGATCAACGAACAGATCAAGTGTAATCTTAGAGCTGAAAATTGTTAGAAAAGCAGACATAGATATATAAATATAACATAGGTATATGAGTTTTATTTAATTTCAATAGTGTTTAATGCATTTTATTTATTGTTTTTCAAGTCCTTCCCACAAGTACTAAAAAACTTACAGAACTCATTATATTTTTGAGTACATCTCTGCAAAATTGTGATCATTGAAGCGCGTTCACTCGCATATATGAGTATATGTATGTATGTATGTTATGTTGGTTGCATTTGTATTATTTACACAAAAATGTATAAACTGTGGTGTTTGTTAAGCAATTTGAACTAGCAAAGGTAAATGGGGGAAGTTACAGATCTAAATATTTATTTTAGCTATGTTAAAAGCGAATTTCAAAATTGATTATTGGGCATTATTTTAGTTTTTTTGATTTTCAACTCTAGTATTTAGTACACAAAATTTACTAATGGGTATATTTAAGCTAACCTAGACTTGCATTTGACTTACACATAAATTAAAAACCTAATTTAAAAGGCTACGAAATGTTACGTTTTGGATGGGCAGAACAAATTCAACAAACTTTAAATAAGGCCATAGCAAACAATTTGCTTTTGTTACGTTTAACACATATAGAAGAAGATATAAGTATGTATATAGTTACTTAAGTATTTGTAGTTAGTTGTTTATATGCTTTGTTAATGTTGTGTCAATGTGACTTTGCATTATAAAAAGTGAGGTTATGCATCGAGTTGCGCCGCAGCTTATATAGGAAATAGTTTTGTGTTTGCTTAGTACCCAAATAAAAAAAAACCTATGTGGGTCCTTATGCTATGACTGTTGCTCGAGTTATTATTGTATAATATAATCGTCAAAGTGTTAGTTTCTCATTATTTGGAAGCTGCAGGATACATATTAAGGACTGAGGCTACTTGCAGTGATATCCATTTCATTTTGGATCCCACTGTGTTTGCCTTACCTTTGAGTTATATAGCGTGTAGCTTTTGCACGTTTCACTCGAAAATGCTGCCACTTGTAAGCTCAGAGATATTGTATTTTAGTAAAGCTTGACTTACTATCGTGTTAGTATTCAAAGTTAGAAGATTGGTTTTCTGTTTTAGTCTTCCCTCCAAATTATAGTTTTCGATAATTTGAAGAGTTTCAGCAAGGTCTGCCTAGATTTGATTCTTGGTGTACCATACAACGAGTGTTTTTTTTTTTTTTTGGTGTGGGTAGGGAAGGGATAACTACTGATATATGGAGTTGTGGCAGATGCCATACAAGTGCTAACACGTCCACTAGCTAACTAGCTAATTTTAACAGAGGAGAGCCGACTAACTAACATGAATATTTAGAGTACAGAACAATAGAAGCAACTGGTTAGAGAGACTTAAATATTAATCAAGAGCAAGATCTGGAAGCGGTTGAGTTGTTGTTGTTGTTGCTCACATGCGCGTGCTCTCCAGGCCACAGCCTAGGGCATCATTATATGCGTTCAGGTTATGCGGGGGCGTGGCACTGCCACTGCTGCCGCTACGCCTCTGCCTGCTGCAGATGGTGCTGCTGCTGCTGTCGCTTGTCGCCTTCAATCAACTCGCTGGGGTGGTGCGCGTGAGGAGCTCATCATCGTCCAGCTGAGCGAGAGCTGCCGGCGAGCCGACATCGATGGTGGTCACACGATTTCCGCCACCATCCGCCGCCGATGGCAGTTTGATGAACTCGCTGTCCGTGTGCACGGGCATGATAATGCACACGAAGCTCTGGCCCGTCTGGGAGTCGCGCGGGTGCAGCGTAACCGGATTGAACTTGTCCGTTTGGCCCTCCGTGTAGCTCTGTAGGCGCTGATAGATCTCCGGATAGTGTTTGCGCAGCAGCACTCCACGCCGTGAGAGTATGTCCAAAATGTTGGACAATATAAGTTCCCGATTGCCGGGCGCGGTGCGCAAGCCCGGATTGAAGGTGAGTATGAGTATCTCGGTGCGCTCCGGCACGGCCATGACGGCCAGTGGCTGCTGTAGAGCTTGCTGCTGCAGCTCCAGCTCGGCGAGCACGGTCTTGCACAGCTTCAGCTTGGCGCAGCGTGACACTAGCTGGCGCTCCCAACGCACCGGTGCCTGACCCATGCCCGGTGCCTCGGAGACCACGCAAATGGCCACGTAAATGAGCATCTTGGACTCGGGCTTGTATTCAGTGCTTAGTTTTAGCAATTCCGAGTACAGTTCCAGACCCATTTCGGCTGGCATCAGATCTGGCCAGCGTACATAGGATGCCTCGCCCATGCACTGAAATCCATGCTTGATGAAGCCCTCGGCGGCCTCGGCGCTGCGAAAGAGCACACGCACCACGCCACGGCCCTGCGAGAGGCTGCCCTTGCGGGCCAACAGGCTGAGATGGCGCTGCGAGTCGACGTCATCCTTGCAAGTGGCTAACACCTGGCGGCACAAGTTGGAGGCGCGCGAATGCAGGCACGCCTTCCGATGCTTCTCCCAGTGGGCGCGCCTACACTCACGTGAACAATATAAATGGGTACAATTGTGGCATGACTTGTACAGCTTCTTGGCATCGGCGGGCGTGGCGCTGGCCTCGCACTTGGTGTTGCGACACCTGATCTGCAGCTGTTGCTCGACGGCAGCTCCGTAGATGCTGCCATTGTTGATGCTGTTGCTGTTGCCCTTTTCCGCCGTGTGGGCATGGCTGTTGGAGTCGCCCAGCGATACGCGCCGATTGCTGGCATTGCTCTGGCCCTGCACCTGTGACTGTGATTGCGACTGGGACTGGGACTGGGTCTGGCACTGGGTTTGGGTTTGTGTTTGTATTTGGGATTGTGACTGATTAAGCTGCTTCTGCTTTTGGCTGGGCGCGTCACCCTCGCTGCGACGGCGCAGTAGCTGCTGCTCCGCTGCCGTCAGCACCTCTAGCTGCTGACCGCGACTAGCTGAATCTGCTGTGGAATATAAGTGCGTATAACAGATTAGTCAGCAGGCGTATAACTGCTAATATAACATATAACAAATAACAACAACAACAACAATGAGCATTCAATGGGAGAGGTTTCTGCTTGTCTTATAATTGGCACTCGCATGCTGCGCTCTTATGGGGAGAGGAGTGTTTCAGTGTTGCAAAACGACGCAAGCGCAGCGCAACTTTGTTTTCTTTATATATGTATGTTATGTATTTTTCTCAGTGTAATTTCGAAAATAAGAACAAAAGTAAAATGTCTAAGCTAGAACTAGATATGCGATTGATGAAAGAGTATTTGAAAGTAATGAATTTAGTTTAACAGAACTACAAAAAAGATTAGGAATTTGAAGGACTTTATAAAAATAAAATTCATCACTGACTTATAGTTTAGAGCTGAGTTATAGATTAAGTATTGTATATAGTTATATAGGTGTATATATAGAGCTTTATATGCGAACAACAAACAAGAACGGAAGTTTAGTTTTTGCCTATACCCATTTTTAATTTTATGTCTCTTTTACGGTTTTATATCATTTTTAAAACATATTTTTGTTGTTATCTTATTGTTTTTTTTTTTTCTTTTTTAGTTTTTGATTTGGGTAGCGGTTATATTGGAACAAAAACTTACAGGTTCATACCTGTCGTCGAGGACCCTGGATTAATCGCCGCTGCCGCTTGATTTCTGTTGTTGTTGCTGTTGGTGTTGTGGCTGTTGGAGGAGGAGGTAGCTGGCAGTCCTAAAAGTGAGGCTAAGACATCTTCTAGCGATGCGCTGCTCAGCGAGCGTTCAGGCGCTTTAGATGCAATTTTTTTTTTTCAGTGTGCCCAATTTTATATAGTAATTTTTTTTTAAATTATTATTTTGTTTTTTTTTTTTTTTTTTTTTTTTGGGATAATAATGCACAGCACAAAATATAAGAATACAAAAACAAATAGTTGTTAGGCTTGAAAAAAATGTTTAGCGCATTAAATGTTCTTATAACTAAATATTGGGGTATTACATAAATATATGTTCGAACGAAGTGAATTTATTAGAATTAGAATTATTTAAAAATTACACTGAGAAAATGTTTTATGTACACAAGCCTAAGGTGAGTATTAAGCACACTTAAAGAGCAATGGGTAGCTAAGAAAATTCTACTATCTACTTTAGCTAAAAACAAAACACAGTAAGAAGTAAAAACAATTCATAAACTACAAAATTATAAAGATTTTTTGTATAAAATATAGTTTAGTTTTTATTGTAGCCACCATTAGCGAGGGCTGTGCCCGCTTTGTAGTCGTTATATAAAGCACTTCGATATCATATCTTTTTTTTTTTTTTTATATAAATTATAAAAATTTTTACAAAAATTATATACCCAGACAAGTATGTGATCGAAATAGAAATCTCTTCGAATCGTTCGTTGCATTTAAATGATAATACATCATTGTATAAATATATAAAAAGAAATCAAATTTATAGCACGCTATGTTGTTAAAAACAAGTCTGTTTTATGTTTTGGGTGGTTAGGTACGTGAATTTTTCTAATTTTAAAAACCAAGCCTAAAATTGAAAATTCCAAATGACGAATTGATGTTTGGGTTGTGCATGAGAATTTTTAACTGAATTTCAAATGAGTTATGCCAATGAGAATCATAACAAACTTATGCGCAGATAAGTATGCTATGAACAATTGAATTGCATAAAGTTATGTGACAAGAAGGGACGAGAGTACAATAATAATAGTTATAATCATAATAATGATAATAATAATTATAATGCGGATTATGACAATAATAATAATAATAATAATAATAATACAATATTAATTAACTGTATGCCATAGCTGTGTGTTTATTAAAAATTAATCATTAAAATTAAATAGTAAATTTATTAAAATAGGTTTTGTAAACACTAAAAATTACTCATGTACGTTTTGCATTTGATATAAAAAATCAAAAAGTTGGTCAATTTAAAATGAATGTGTGTAAATGTTGTTCTCTCTATTTGCAGTTTCTCGTAATTTACAATCGTTAAAACAGAAAAGTAGCCTAAAATGCATTTGCACTTAGCACCTAGTGTATAAAATAATTCAATTTCTTTGTTACGATAAAAAATCAAATGTAGAAAATTGCATTTCAAGCTACATTTGTGTGTGTGTGTGTTTGGGTCGTTGTGTGTGCGTCTAAAAAAATCATAAGGATTTTAGCTACATATCAAAAAAAATATATGTACGCTTAGCTACCATACATATGTTACATATGTGTATGCACATATATTTAGGCATTTCTCATTGGTGATTTTTGTGCACATTAGAAAACAAATTTGTGATATCAAATTTTTGTTGTTGAAATAAAACAAATCAAATGGATATAAACTAGATCAAATCTAAGCACGCCAGCAGGTCATATATATATGGTGGACTCACCGCCACCGCCGCCGACCCGGCTAAGTCCGTTCATGCGTAGTGGCGGCTGTCCAACGGCAAGCGCCGTTGTGGCATCCAGGTGTAGCTGTTGCAGGTGTTGATGCGGCTGCTGGTGCTGCTGTTGGTGTTGGGTTGCGGGCGGGCTGCTGCTGCTGTCAATGACGGGCGTTTGCGGTGAATCCAGCGGACGTGTGCCAACAAAGCTGCTCTCAAGCCAGCACTTTCTGTGGAATACGAGAGCACAGATTAGTCAACGTTCTCAATAGCGCTATAGCTAAGGGTAACAACAACAAACACCAGGCTAGTAAAATCAATAAGTGACGCCACAGCAGCTGTGACTCAACTGGACCCTGCACTTGTGGCAGTGGCAACATGGCACTAACCTCAGACAACTCTTTGCATATTGTTGGCCCACATTGCAATTGGCAAAAAAATTGGTTTTAACTATGCTATACTATTTAAAGCACTGCTTGGACCACTCACAATATTTATGTAATTATTTTTACTTTCGATTTCTTATAAATATTTCAGTGCGCAGCGCTGTTTGCGTAGCGTCAGGCAGCAGACGTGGCACACGAATGAAACGTCGAATGGATGTGAACACACAGCAATGGCAAAGCCAAATTGTGGGATCGAGAGCATAAAAGAGGTGGCCTTTTCCTTTTTGGCTGGGTTGGGGTTTGTGTGTGTGTGTGTGTGTGTGCGAAAGAGATGCACACGCCACTTTGGCTGCTGTGGAGGGTTGCTGCGGCTATTTCGCAAAGGGGGCCACTCGGGCGCCGGGCTGTCGGCCTGATTACAGACAAAACAGCCAACATTTTTTTCGGAGTTCCTTAAGTAGCACACTTTGATGCTCTTCGTGAAGAGAAGGCCCCCTTCTAGGATAATCTAATGGGGAAATAACCGTAATAAGCTTTTCTATAAATATGCAATTTGAGCTCATTTGAATTCCAGTTCGTATTGAATATTTATCACTTGACATATTTTGTGAGCATATTTCAGATTTCTAATGTGTTTGGTTGTGAATCAAATTTATAAATTTATATAACCTATTCATACTCATAGATTTATTGATATTGCATAAAATCTTTTTGTCAAACAATTTCAATTCCTTAGCACGGACTAGTTATATATATATATATTTTTTTTTTTGCAAATGTTACTCAAAAATAACGGACCCCACTCGACCCGACAGATACACTACCAAAGTCTGCTCGGCTGTTTCATATAGATAAACAGCATTACCGCGTTGACCCATTTGCCATAACAATACAGCTTGGATTTGTGGCAGCCTGTCTGTGAGTTGCTCTACTTTAATATTATTGATTTTCATAATGATTGCCACCTGCTAGCTTGGGGCCAAGTGAGCTCCACTCGAAACGTGGACAAGTGGCGCTCGCTGTGGGAGCTGATAGGGACATATCCTAGAATAGGTAGCCCCACAATAGACAGGGCCCGACAGCTGCATTGTTGACATATAAATTGCATGCGACGTTCGGGGCGAGGCCTCGTTTTGCCTCGCCTCGAGCCTTATTAATAGCGACACGGGACAGTTTGCACTGACATCGCACAGACTGTCAGATTCAACATGAAAGCGAAATGGAATCAATTTCAATTTGAATGCCATTGTGCCAATATTGATAGGGTAAATCTCACATGATTTATGCTGATAATGCAAGTGATTCCGATTCTGTGATTGCCACAATGTGCAGCAGATTGACCGGGTCATTGTGTTGGGCAAATGTTATTAATATATGGTCATAATAATGGTTGAATCTGATATCATATCGTATTAGCAATAATAATTGAACCCAACCGGGTTACGTAATATTGGTATTTGTGGCCAAAGCAAAGTATAATGATAGAGATGTGTGGGTTAAACAAATATTTACTACGGGAAGAAAAAAGACTAGGGATTACTTTTAGAGTAGAATTTAGGTAGAATATCTCAAAATTTCCTACTTCATGTGTGTGCAATTTCGAATGTAATAAAAAAACAAAAGAATTTAAGTATTTAAAAGATTTAGTTTACATAAATAAATGGCGTACTAATGGAAACAAATATGCAAACTTGATTGCTCGTATTCTTTATCTTTTTGTGAGAAAACATAACAACATAAATATTGCAATAAAAAAATGAAAATGTATATTAAGAGTCTGCGTCTTTTCGAAATTTTTAAGGCATAATTTAAATACATAATAACACTCCACAGGAGAAACAGTTTTGCTTTCTAATACAATAATCTAAGCTAACAAAGGTTCACCTAATTCAACTTTATCCACAGCTCTTCTGCATAAATCCTTAAACACTTATATATTACACTCATGTAAACAAAAATGTAATTTAATAATCTTTTGCTGAGTACTTGGCTAACTTTTAAACAGAATTAAAATTCCTCATAAATATTGATAAAAATCCTTAGCATCCTATCTAATCTTTGCCAAGCACAAGAATTGACCTGACCCAATTGTGACTTGAAATTGGCAAAAATCCAAGCACTTTGTGCCCGTTCAAGTTTTAAGGTGAAGAGTTTTGTTTAGTCGTTTAATTTTTTTTTTTTTTAGTGTTTTTAGTAGAAGCCAGCACAGATATAGAATATTTGGTGTAAGTAACACATGTAGAATAGCACGAGAATTAGTCACTGGTTAGCCACATGAAGGAGACGCTGAGACGATGAGGAGGATGACATTGCCCAAATATGGGATCTGGAGCCTGCTTACCTCTAGACATCGCTGTAGGCGTGGCAGTCAGCTAACCGACTGACCAAACCGACTCTGAGTGCTGCAGCTGGTGCTGTGGTTGGACTTTTACAGGTAGCTACGCGTTGTGTAGTATTGCCGAAGAGAAATGAAAATTTTGTAGTGGTAGGAAATAATGAAAATGATGTGTTTTTAGTGAGGTGTGGGTGTGTTTGTGTGTGTGTGGTATAAAGATATGAACTGAGATTTTCATGGAACATATGATCAAACAGTTGGTAAGAACAGCTACACACAGATTGGATAGGGAATAGGGAAAGGCGACAACTACGACAACTTGAACACTCTATAAATATTTTGTGTGTGTTGGCTGCAACGGTTCTCTTTGTTCTCTTATTCAATTTGTTTCGTGCCCGATCCGTTGCCTACCTCGAATTGGGACTCGTCGAGCGGCTGCGCTGTTGCTGCAGCTGTGCCTGCGCCTGCGTCTGATCGTTCACATAATGCACTATGGCCGAGGTTACCTCCTTGATGGAGCTCTGTATCTCCGGCGTTACGGGCTGCAGCCTTCGCACACCATTCGTCGGCGTCGCCGTTGTTGGCGATGTGCGTTGCGCCAGCAGCGAGTTGGCCAGGCTGAAATGCAAGAGGAAACAGCATATTAGATATGGACAGGAGACAAACTCAGTTAACGAACTTACCGTTCGTGGGGCGTGCGCTGTGAGAGCTTCTCAGTGCTGCGCCAGCCTAGGTAGGGCTGACGATAGGAGTTCCTCAGGACACCGCCGGGGGCGCCGGCGCTGCTGCCGCTGGCCACGGACATGAAGCTGCTGTTGATGGGCGCGCCGCGGGCAAAGCTGCCGCGCTGCGAGACGCTCGGCGATGTTTGTGTGGAGTTCAGATGCGAGGTGGACCAGCGTGTGGCGCCGACGCCCTGGCCATGGGCCTGATGTGCCGTCGCCGAGCCGCTGACGCTGCTGCTCTGGCCGCCATGATGACTGTGCGCCGAGGGACTCAACAGCAGGGGACTACGATCAGAGCGCTGCGAGCCCAGCGAACTGAGCGAAGTCGTCTTCGAGTTAAGGCCCTGCCAGCGACCCGAGTCCTGTGTGCGCTTGCGCGTAAAATTGCCCGGCTTGTAGCCGCCAGAGGATGCTGGGCCAGCGTTGCCGGCACCGGCGCCGGCGCCATCTGGCGATCGTGCTGCATTTTGATTGTATTGTCGGAACCAGTCGGGTATATTCAGGCGCTGCAGCGATGCCTGCACTCGCAATTGATGCTCGCTCAGGGCGGCCGGATTGTGATCGTGCGATTTCTGTAGCTCATTCTCAGGTGGCTGTATCAAAAGAGAGAGAGGGAGAGAGACAGAGAGAGGGCAAGAAATAGAAATAGATTAGAAATGAATAGTCAATAAATTAAATACTACAACTAGTTCGTTAGCTTTAGCTATATTTAAGAGGAGTTCGTGTCCTATAATCTTAATCGAAATTGTTTCAAATCGATACTCATTTCAGGAGCTGTTATAATAAATAAGATGAGATACTTAAACGAACATTGGATCAGTCTGTAAACTAGTTCAAATTCGTTAATTTTTAACGCTAGACTTGTTTATTTTTATCATAATTAAAAGATAATCAGTTCGAATTCGATTATTTATAAACTCCGCTCATATATTTAGCAAATACTTTGTCCACGTCTGATTTGACCTTTAATACTCTAAACAAGTTTATTAGAACAAGCTCGCACAATCAACAGGTTTCGTGAAGCGGTTTTTATAGATTGCCAACCCTGGGCCTAATGCCAGCTGAGATTGGATGTGTCCATCCTCCCAACGAGATGATTTATTGCGTGTGCATAAGCACGGACACTTGAATGATATAATTTTCCTTTCTCTGGGTCTTAGTGTGTGGGCAATTGCGATGAGTCAGCAAAGCGAAAAGTTTTCGATAACTTAAGGCAAACTTTTCGCTTTTGTTTGTTTTTGGCCATTGTGTCAATCTGACGCTGGCCTTAAGAGAGTAGCCGAGGCAGCTGCAATGCAAAATGAAAACAAAAAAAAAAAACTACACAAAACTTTTTCTGCGACATTTCTAGGTTATGCGGGGGAGTTGGAAAATCTGACGAATGCCCAAGTCCTGTGGTGGTAAATAGCGCATTGGGTCAGGTCCGGAGCAGGCCTTGAGGTGACAAGTGAAAAACTTATGAAACAGATTATGCAGTAGAGACCTTCCTTTTTTGTCACCTCAAAGATTTCGGACAGATTTACTATTTTATAAATTGATGTTTTTCAATTTATGAGCTCAAAGCCAAGCTGATAAGTAGGAAATACATTTGTTTAGAGGATAAACTATATTTTATGTAGTTTTTGTAGTCATGTTTTACACTAATTCTCTATGCAAAGTATAAGGATAAAGAAAGGCGACTTGAAGGAAAAATGTCATCTCAGAGATAAGAGGAATTAATGAATTGAGGAATTAATGAATTAATTAAAAGTAATTAACAAATATAACAATTTTTATTATTCATGTAATTATTTTCTATATTGATTTTAATTTATATTATTTTAATAGTCAATATTCTTTGGTTTAAGCTAGAGTTGTCTTAGCTGAAGACCTTATCCTGCTTTTATACTTTCTAACTAAATTCTTTACTTATATTAATCATCTAATAATTTTGGCCTTGTTGTAAGAGAAATAATAAGGTTTAGCAAGTTTTAAATAGGCAGGTCTTTGATATTTAATTTGGGTGACTTTGGACTGCGTCTAAGTCCCTTGCTCAAACTGGCACACACACAAGCATACGCACACTCACATTGACTACTCTCAAGGCAAGTGCTTAATAAAAGATTTCAAGTGCATAGCAAAAACTTGAGCTAGCATCCCAAGTATCAACAATGCTGGGCTACCAACATTTTGCCTTGGCTGTAGCGCAGTGTAAACGACAAAAGTGCACAGTCGCAGAGAAAGAACGAGAGCGAGTGCGCTAGGCAGTTGGCAAAGGGGCAGAGGCAAGTGTTGTAAAACCTGAGACAGACAGAAAAACAAAAGACAGACAAAAGTTAATCACAGTCGTCATACACGTATGCCAAGGCACTTCAGCGGCTCACAAAGGCGGGCAGTAGTAGGGGCGGGGCGAGGCGGGGCGGGCAGGCGAACGACGGCGTTAGGAGCAGTTGCTGTCGTCAGTTGTTGTCGTGTGCAACGAGCAACAACATCGACAGTTGCCGTGCCGCTTGCCACTGCAATTGAAGCGTCCATTGAAAGTGGTGCAGTGGTGCAGTGGTTTAGTGGTTGCAGCAGCAGGCGGTTAGCTGACAGCTGCAGCTTGTGCAATGTGGGTCATGTTCTAGATGCCGGCAGCCGGATTTGATGCTGATGTAAATGATGTAAATGATAAACTCGATTATCGCACTAACAATTACCTGATCGTATTGCAGCATATTGTTGTTACTGTATGGTATATAGAATATTTATAGTATTTTTTTGTTTCTGTATGTTTTAGATTTTTGAATTTTGATTGAAAACACAATGCATTGGTTGGTTAACAAATTAAATAAAACTGACACACACACACACACACGCACGCACATACATGTCAAAACTCAATTAGCACGCACACATACAGCTATGCAAAAAAAAAAAGAAGGAAGTCAATAAAAGCACCCACACAAACGCACGCAAGCTCACTTACTACACACACACACACACACACTCACACACAGGCGAAACTGCAAGCCATAAAATAGGCACACCCCAAAAAACCAGAAACTCTCTCTATGTAGATAGAAATGTGTTTCAAAATGTATTTTTATAACTTTGGCGCTTGGTTGATTAAATTTTTGGTTGAACGCGCGCCCCAAACGCAGCCGCGAGTTGACCTTAAAAAATAAAACGTTGACATGCAAAAACGCAGAAACAAAAAAAAGAAAATAATTCTGTCGAACGCACGATACACCAATACACACGCCTGTTTATATACATATATATATATATATATATATATATATATATATATATATATATATATATATATATATATATATATATATATATATATATGTGTGTGGAGCATACTATGGCGCAGCGCGCGCATCAATTCATATTTTATTGTCAAGGGAACACAGCGAGCACTAAATGTTAAGTAGAGGGGGGCCATGCACTGGCCAGCGGGAAGGGGCGCTGCTTGGTAAATGCGTTTTTGGGCACTTTAAGGGTTTCGCTGTCTGTGTGCGAGTCGCGCTTAGGCTAAATGAATTAATTAAATTTGGCTTTTACTTGGGCAAACATGACGCGCGCGACATGCAACACACAAAACAGCAGCACACACGCACACGCACACACACACGCACACACTACGCGCTAGACTACGTTTGCCATTTCCGGCGCAGAAATGTATGCTACGCTTTTGAATTTGTGATAGATACTGAGTTGAGGCCAAACCAAAGCCAAAGAGCCAAAGCCAAAAGCAGTTGTAAACGTTTTTATGGCAGCTTTGGCGCATGACCAAAACAAAGCGAACGCAACAGCGGCAAAGCTTTACTTTTATAGCAACAGGATGCAGGCATCGAAATGCCCTGTGCTCGAATCGCCCTGTGCAAGTTGATAAACAAAAAGCGCCAGCAACAGGCGGCACGTTCAAGTACAATCACAACCACAACAACACACACGCACACGCACTCACACACACACACACACTCACACGTGTATGCTTGTCTTCACACTTGACAACTGACAGCTGCCTCGACGTGGCAGCGGCAGGGTGTCATCAGTTCGTCTATATTTAGACCAGGTTACCAGCAGTTGACAGCCTGTTAAACTGAAGCAGATTATCGAGATGATGCAGCCAGAGCTGCCAGTCGACAACCGTGTCACTGGGTCGCCCAATAAGTATCTGAACAGGGAATTAACAAAGGAAATGGCACATCAGGGAGGAGACAATCACAATGAAAAGCCGGGAAAAAGGATAAGTCAGTGGATTATCAACTGCAAATAAATTATGAAAATAAAATAGGACAATTTATAAAAATATAAACTCTATTTCAAATAAGTGTGAACATGTGTGAATGTGCTTTGAGGTGTTTGTTTCCTTAAGAACTGCTGATCGGCATAATGTTACACCGATTAGCTAAGAGTTCGTCGAATAATTCAAAATTGCTTCTCAATAATAAAGCTATCGTTAGAAAGGAGAAGCAGCCATATAAACGATAAAACTCTTTTAGGTATTATTCAAGATGGCTTGAACCAACTTGGCATTTACAAGTTTATAGTAAATGCCTAAACACGAGCAGCGTTTCATTAACATCGGACTACTATCATATAGATAAATTTGAAGATCGGTCCAACAATATTCTTAGCACTCCATAAGGGCGCCCCTTTCTCCAGACATTTCAGTCAAACTCGTGTCAAGATCTAACCCTTTTATTAAAAACCATCATAAATTGCTATCTGAGTTGTAAACTTTAATATAAAAATGTTTTGCAAACAAATCTAAGCGATACAACATATATATAATAATAGTATAATAGTAGAGCTATGGAACTAAAGCTATAGGCACTGCGAGAGTCGTGCCAATCACAAGGTCAAGTAGCGCAAGGCTTTGTCCAGAAAACGCTCCTCGGCCGAGCCCTGCGGACAGGCGATGCCGCGTCGCGACTTCGATGACAATCGGTCATACTGATGCTTGATGGTGCTGTTGAGCAGATGATCACAGTTCTCGGAATGATGCACTGTCTCCGCCGAGGGCGCCTTGGCATATTCCCGCTTGAGCACCATGCTTATGATGCGGGAACGTGTGGAGCGTTGCTTGGGCTTGCTAATGACCTGAGAGCGTGGACGCAGCGATGGTGTCGGTGATGAGGTGCCATAAATGCCCGACTCAGCTGAATCGGAGTCAAGTCCAGTGCTGGAGACGCCGGCGCAGCTGCAGTAGGTGACACTGCTGCGTGGCGACTGATGGGCACTGCCATAGGCCTCGTCGTCACAGACATCATAGTCGGGTGCGCTCTTCTCAGGCACTGGCAAGGCCTCGCTGATCGCATAGGGTATACACTTGGCCTCCATATACATGAGGGGCTCATCCACAGCCTCCTCTGCGCTGGGCGTCGGACTGACGCTGCGCTCATTCTCCAGCTCCGCAATGCGCGCCTCATGCAGCCGCTGCTCGCGCCGGTTTTGACGTCGCTCGTGGCGCTCCCGTTCGATGCGAGCTATTGTCTCCAGGCTCTCCATGAACAGACCTAGGTCGTGCTGGCCAAAGCGAGCCGTGTCCAGGGTATATGTGGTGGATATCGCACCATAGCTGGCGGGATCCATGAAGTTTACGTACTGTGTGCAAGTGTAGGTAGCCATGATGATGTTTCACAAATATTCAAGAGAAACTTTGATGTGTGTTTGCTTTGAAGGCTGCTGTGCAACTGTTGACACTGGACAAACGCCGATCGGTTTATATATCACACAGGTAGCTGCTCGAAGGCCGCACAGCCCACTGCCGGCCCACCCGCCCGTGTGTGAACAGGTAGGCGCGGCTTACCTCTGCGCGCCGCCCCCTTGCCCAAAAACCCTTGTGCATTTTTCTGGCTAAGTGCAAGCTGGGTAATTAGGCTGTGCCTGGGTTATTCCTTGATTGCTTTTTAATTTCGGCATTTCCAAAATTCTATAACGCAGTCGGGCACACGTGTTCGCCGCCTATGGCATAGAGGCCGGCGCTTTTATAGCCTCTCACACCAATTGCATTTGTCAGTTGGCACCTTTCGCATATTTCGAATTCATGCATTCGCAGGTCGCCATAAAACGAATGCAAATCGTGCCAGACACCTGGCCAACATCTGCTCCGGCACATAGAATAGCCGGTGCATAACTGAATACTTGCAGTTAAATCTAAATCAATATGTCGATTGGCAGCACAATTTGCACTTGTGCCTTAAGCCGACAGCAGCTGACAGAGGCACAGAACGCGGGCAAGGCAATAATAATTGCCCTCGCTTGGTTTCAATTTCATATACTAAATACATATATATTTAGTTTATTTTTATGCTTATTAATGCTGCAAGGATGTGCAACTTTCAAGGTAAATGCCACACCAACCCCTCGTTAACCCGATTAAAGCACGAAATTTAAATTGCATTGCAACCTTTCCGCAAGTGACAAGGTCAACTAATCTATAAATAATGCTGACAAGAGTTTACATTGGCAGCACTAAAAATTAAGGCAGCGAATCAGTTCATTAACAAGTGATAAGATTACCTGTTCTTATCATTTGTGCTCATAGAAAAGATAGCATATTGAAACATATATAGACTATTAGGTATTTACAGGCTTTGTGAGCCCTTTAATTAAGGTTGCTTATTCGATTTGCGAATCATTAAAAAACACAATAGTCGACGTCTTGGTTTGGAATGTAATTTAAATACAGAGTATATAACTTTAAGACTTAAAAATTTGAACAAAATTGGGATAAGCAATTGGACTGACATTGCGGCTGTCATTTTGAATATTTTCATTTAAAGCAGTTAGTTTAAATAGTTATTTCTAGCATTTAAAACCCTTTCGATTGAACAGCGTTAAGAATATGTAAGACTTTCGAGTTTTTCTAATATGATTTTCATAAAGTGTAGAGTCGCCTCGAAGTAAAGCCAGCCTTAACTATGAACTGAACAAGCGAGTTTGACTTATATCCACTTCATCTTAAGCTGGCGTTAGAGTTTTAAGCAAAAGATTAGCCGTACAAAAACAGAGATCAACAGATTATCTTTGAGTATACAAAGTATGGCTTAAGGCAAAGCTGGCTTAACTAAATCTACCTGTTGATTTCGGATCAAATTTCGGCTTAACTTTGTCTGTTCAGTTTAAGCACCGATAAAATGATCCGTAAAGTTGCAAAAGTGAAAACAGTACATTTTAATATATAAACTCTTTGCTGACATCAGTCAACATGTTTAAACTCATCTTAGCTCGTGGAAGTTTTGATGAATTACATAGAACAAAAGTTACTTGAGGGACACCAAAGTCACACGCTGAGTTCTGATAGATGAGTGTCGCATGAGCAGAATGGGTTTCCACATGGTCAGCCAAAATGGCCAAAATCAATGGAAGCCGAGTAGTGAGGAAATGGCTTCGAGCTCGTCTAGACGTCAGACAGACAGACGGGGACGCGACAAATTGAAGGGCGCGTCGTTGAGTAATTAAACTCATATATTTGTAACTTTTGGAACGTCTGCAAAATCTGTTGATGATTAAGTGCCTTTGTTTTGGCTGGGCAAGCAAATTAAGTTTTGCAGCTTGCAAATGTGCAGCTGGCAGCTGCCTCGAACTCAAGCGAGATTCATTTGAAAAGGCAGCAGATGAAATGCACTTGAGAGATGACAGAGATCTCTCAAGGTTGGAGGGGGCGACAGTGTGGGGACAACTGCGGGCATTTCTTGTAAAGCTGTTGCTGCTGAAAATCCATTGAACTTTCAATTAGGCACGTAGCTGCACAGCAGTGGAGGGAGTGAAGGCACTTAACCCATTGATGCCGCCGCTTTAAACGAGCTGCAAATTGTTTTCAGCCACTTAACAGCTTTAATTAATTGCCTTAAATTAATAAAGCCGAAGCCGCATTAATTTCGGCGATTTATAAACTGATTTAGAGTACAAACAAACTTACGTGTTAAGTGTTCGGATAAAAAAAGTTCTAAATATATACACATATATTTTGATACGTACCTGCAACAAAAGGAGATAGAAATAAGGCAAATTAGTTGAATTGTTTTTAGAATGCATCAAATTTATGTGCTAGCTACAGCGACTCGGACTGCACCCTACGGAAATATCAATTTACAAAAACATAAACGCCAATTGGCAAATGACAAGCCCAAGACGACAGACTACAAGCCACAGCCGGGCTGGGGAGATGTTCCAGCTTGGGCTGGGGGCAGGTCAAAGAACAGCACGGACAGTGCCGACATTCATCGAGTCGTTTGTCGTCGTCGTTGGAGTTGGGATTGGGGTTGGGGTCTGATGGAAGCGAAGAACAACCCAAACAAACAACCAAAACTTCAATTGCTTCACATTTGTTAAAGACAAAGCAAATCGTAGAGCGAACGACAGAGGCGTAGTGCTTAGGCCTGTCAAGCGGGGGCTGCTTTAGCAAGAGCCTACAATCGAAAGGGGGGAGAAATACTGAATTTGACGCTTAAACCCAATTTGTTTAAGTGTGTAGAAAGATAAAACTCTGCTGAGTGTTGATCTAATAGAATATTTAGAGCTGTGCACAGTCAAATTGTGTTAAGAGTAAGACAATTGAGAAAATATCTTGTTGGAGTTGAATTATGTACGTGATCAAGAGTCAATTTATGATGTATTTCATATGCATTAGCTATACAGTAATCGAATAAAAAAGAAAATTTCCAGTGCGATGCGAACAATGTATTTTTCTTGAAATTGTTTTTAGACCAATTATAAAGATATAGCGAATATCTTTAATATTTGTTAATTTTATTTATATATAGTTAATCTTAGCCTGAGTCAAGCATAAAGCCCACATTTTTAGCAACTTGCAGACCTAATATAAAGATTATCAAATATCCCAAATATTATTTATTTTTGTATTTATTTAGCTAATCTTAAGCTCAGTCAAGCACTGATCAAGCACTTCTTAAGAACCCATCATGGGCCTAGCAAGAATTACAGCTCTCTCCAACTCCAATGCTAAACGATAATAGGGTCAAAATAATAAATGCAGCAAATGAAAACAAAACGCGGTTGCGTGCCGATCTTCATTCGAGCGAGCTGGCGGCTATTTATAGGGCCCATTGTAATAACTCCATCGTCAGCGGAAAGTGATCCATGGACGGAGGAGTGGCCAAGGGGGGGGGGGGGGGGTCATTTAGAGTAGCGCGCGGTGGCGTGCCAGCATAAACTTCAAACAGATGTCAAGCCGCCGGTCGCGTAATTATTATTAATGTGCTGCTCCCTTCCAATTTCAGTTTCAATTCCAGACAATTTCCAAACCCAACCCAACCCAATTTCAGCCCAACAGTTTTCATGTGATCTCATCTAGCAAATATTCAAAGAGCTATGCGCCTCTGTTTTACATTAAAAATTATTGCCACAGATTTTTTACTTCATTCTTTCTCGTATGTTTGTATTTATTTTTTGAACGAGGCGTTTACTCGGTCCGCGGGTTGTTGAACCTTCGGCCAACAACATGTGGGGCGGTCTGCGATTTGCTGTGCTTTGCGTTTTCCCTCCCAAGTGCGTTCTCTGCAAATGAATGGCGTGCTTTGATAAATGGCACATGGCACCGTAGCCGCAGCCGTAGCCGGACCCGTACTTCCATACTACCACCCTGACCCGTAACCCCAGTCATAGCTTCTACTCGTCGCCTTATATGGCTTTCTTTTCCAACGCTAATTCATTGTCACCATTTGTGTTGTCCGACTTGAGCATCGCTTGGAGCTGTTACTGAATCGCAGCAAGTCTTTCCATTGATAAATTGCACTCGAAAACCCACGCACTCAATCAGTTGAGAACCTCTCTGATAGCTACGCTTAAATTGCAACAATTTCGCGCTTTGAGGGGGCGTTTAACCAAAACAAACAACAACAAATCATGAAAATTGCAATTTAATGCTGACAATTTTGATGGAATTTCAAATTGATAGAGCAACGAATGACGCGACATTTGCAAACTGTTTCAAGAAGATTAACTAAAAATGTATATGCAAATAATTTTTATAGCTTCAGTGTTGTCTATATTAAATCACATGAAAACTGGTCCAACGAGAAGACATGTTTGAAGCCTAACTGAAATGTTACAGACACCAAAGTCTTAAAAAATATGCCTTTGTTCGCCCTTCTTCGCGATTCTCACGACCTAAGACCTCTCTCTCTCTCTCTCTCTCTCTCTGAGCAGATAAGCGTGATACACGCTTGTTATTGTTTTCGCCTCTTACTATTCCGATTCTATTCCATCGTGTGAAACCTTTTTTCTAGCTGCTTTTATTTCCATTATCACTCACTCATTCATTCTCTGCGCAGAAATATATCGAAATCTGTACCTGAATTCATGAAAATCGCATAGAGAGGCGCAAATCACGAAACTATTCAGCCTGCCTAACGTGCATTAATTGCAAATGCAATAAGTAGTAAATATTATTTGTCATGATCGTAATATAAACCGCTTTTTCGACAGCGTGGATGTGCAAATTAAGTCAAATCTGGGAAAATTTTAATAAGCTTTAAATTTGATATAATTAAGCTGTGGTTATGGCGAATGGCTATCGCTTGTCTAACGCCTGTTTATGCAAGCGCCGCCCGCCACGCGGCATTTGCCACACAATTTTGTGTCGATAGCGGGCAAAAAACGCAGCTCGCAACGCAAATGAAAATGAATTGAGTTACGCGAGAGTTGTGCGCAAATGCAATTTGGCTTTTGTTTAATTAAATTTCGTATGGCTTTTGGGTTTTGTTAGTGGCGCTTTTGCTGGGCAACTAGCCAGCACTTAAAACCGATGTACAATTAACTTTAAAACAATGCAAATTGAAACCAAAGCGAAAAGGTGGCCAGCACAAAAATGCCCGGCATGCGGCAGCTTGGCAGACACTCGGTCAGTGGGAGTTCGTAGCACCTTAGCATTTGCGGGCCCAACAACAACAATGTAAATAGTAGAAGTCGCCGCAAATAGTATTTGTGATTTCTCATCCGAACTGGGCCAGTTGGGGCTGAGTCAGCGACGTCGAGGTGAAAAGTGCGTTTTGCATAATTTTCTGGCAACTTAAGCAATTGAATTTAATTGCCTAAGCACGGGCGTTAATTAAGCTAATTGCTGACATCAGCTAAGCCAGCCAGACAAATAGCATCGGGTGTGGGCTGAGAAATCTACAGAGCCTCAGACATATACATTCGCATATAGACAGTACATGTTGGATGAT